TCTAAACTCTAGCTATTTGGGTTTTTTCAAAGAAGATTTTTAAGTTTTTGCTATACACATATAAGGAAAATCAATGACCCCCGGGGCGGGCCAGTTTTGACCCCCAGGCTTTTATTGAACATACTTGGTAGACACCCATTAGAACATGTTTCATGCTAAATATCTTAGCTCCAGATCTTTTGGGTTCTTTAAAAGAAGATTTTTTAAGTTTTTTACTATATGCATATAGGGAAAAATCAATGACCCCCCGGGGCGGGGCCAATTTGACCCCAGGGCTTTTATTTGAACAAACTTGGTAGACACTCACTAGAAGATGTTTCATGCCAAATATCTTAGCTCTAGCTCTTACAGTTCTTTAAAAGAAGATTTTTTAAGTTTTTACTATATGCATATTGGGAAAATCAATGTCCCCCCGGGGCGGGGCCAATTTTGACCCCAGGGCTTTTATTTGAACAAACTTGGTAGACACTCATTAGAAGATGTTTCATGCCAAATATCTAAGCTCTAGCTCTTAGGGTTGTTTAAAAGAAGATATTTAAAGATTTTTCTTTCGGTTGCCATGGCAACCAGAGTTCTGCATGGAATTAAATTCTTTGAACAATTTTTAAAGGTGACCACCAAAGGAACATTCCTGTGAAGTTTGGATGAAATTGGCTCAGTGGTTTATGAGGAGATGTCACAATGTGGCCATACCACGTGACTTTTTGGGTACGGAACACGCCGATTTTTCACCCGATTCAGGTATGTTTTTATTCACAACTTATTTATTACTCAACCGATTTTGATCAGATAAGGCGCAGAGTACCCGTAATTATATCAGCTATCCACGGTATATCAAAATTCTGAAAACCCCTGAATGGTTTTTGAGAACATTCGAGTACAGTTTTCTTTTCATAGCCTGGGCCGAGGGGAACGGTACACACTCATTTGCCATAACAAGCAATTTCTAGCAAGTCATATGTTTTTGACACTATTTCATAGAAAAATACTTGTTAAATCTGATATATTTACTATGTCCAAATTATCGAGTGAATGCAGTGATGTTTTAGCATAGTTTCATAAAGTTATGTTGAAATGGTACGGAACACACAGTTATTTCAAAAAGATACGGTACACACACAATTTCTGTCTTTGTAATTAATTCTAAAAATAAAAATTACTAAAATTTAATTTCAATTATAATGTGAGTGATTTTTTTCATAGTTATACATTTTATTAATTTAAACGAGAACCCAGGGACCTCTTTTGCAATGTATCGTAATGCTTACTTTTAATGTTTATATGTATTTGTGCACTATATTTCAAGAGATCAACGCTTAACATTTACAACCTCCATGTAATTGTCCTATTTAAAATCACCTAGGGTATGTTAAACACTTCAATCTTCACAGAATCAGGTAGTTGCGCTCTATAGAAAGAAAATGTTGTTATATAATGCTGTGTTTATTGTTGTTTTTTATTTTCTTTTAGTTTAAGTGAAGTAAGATATGTCTTTTTTGCTTCATCCTGAAAAAATAAACAAGGTCATGACCTAAATCGCTAAAAAAGTATCATTACTTGATAACAATTTATATATATTTATATTTTGTTAATAATAAGCAAGTCATTAGGTACAATTTTGCAATATCATGGTCATGTTTAATTAAATCAAATCACAGAAGGCACTGAATTTGTTTGGGTCTCAGAATGTCAGAAAGGTGGAGGCTGTGAGATTGTAAAACCAATTTGTTTTTGTATAGTGCCACCAATGTTGTTTCTAGTATCATAACTGTAGTAAATTTGGCTATAAGGCTTATTGCAAAACACTGATATGTAATGCATTGTTTATTTGGCTTAAACAATTAAAAAAAAAACAAAAACAAAAAAAAAAAAACATGCCTTAACTTGGATTTGAACTCAGGACATCTCTCTTCCTAAAAGAGCGTGTAACCCCTCGACCTCGGGGAAGTTATAAGATAACAGTCTGAAGAAAACCATATCATTCTAAATTAGGGTTTGTAACCCTTATTTATTTCGTTTGACACTGATGTAAATAATCATGGAGCTTAATATTACATGTATATCTGTAAAGAATTACACAATATTTGAAATCTTTGACCAATCGGGAACTACTTTTTCTTCTCCCGAGAAGGCTTGAAAATTAATGCGCCCGTCATTTGACAATCTTAACACAGTGATCCCCCCTTATTTTTTTCAGCGTTAGAGTACATATAAAGGTAAGTAACCGCTTCCAGGGGTTCGGACTGCTTTCTTATTTTGCAAATTAGCATATCAGAGCCTGAAATTTCGCTACCATTATTTGTTTTGTCTGACGACCCAAACAAATAAAAATGTAGTCGCCATTGCTTAAATTTTTAATGTTTAAAGGCATGAAGCTTTAAAAATAACTTTTAATTCATGTAATGAGGTCATTTTTTGGTTTGGTTTCACGGCTCATAAAACTGACATTATCATGTGGCGACTTTCGAGTTTTACAAGTGCCCCTTTGGGTACAAATAAAGGAACGAACGGGCACCTGAGTAAAACGACCGACATTCTGTACGGTAGTAAGAAAACTTTCTCACATAAAAATAAATGTTTATCCTTACATGTATATGTAACAAGGTTACCTTGTATAAACTACGGCTTACGTTACGATATATAACAGGCCTTGTTCCCATATGGGTTCTTCAAATTATCAAATTATTAATTTTGATTTCACGTAAAACTGCGAAATATATTTGTCCATATGTAGATAATTTGATAATTTAGATACATGCAGTTAGTTTGGGACCCTGGCAGATGATTTCTACCAAATATTATGTGGCCGAAAAAAACTTTAAACTTTCCGTGATTTAAAAAAATCCTCTTACATCAAAACCAGCGTTTTTCCTCCAAATTCGATTATTTAAACAACATTTTGCAAGGAACATATATTTCCAACTTACTCCTAACTTCTTGTTAGTTTATATATTCATACTACGTTTAGACAGTCATATATTCGAACAAACAAATTAAATGAAATAATAATCACACATAACAGATGTCCATGAATTTCACAATTCGTTTTATAATCAAAAGAATATACCTAATTGTTTCAAATGAAAATCAAAACAAAACACATATTTTGAATGTCTTCCGTATTCCTCCCTAAAATTTTAACATTTTATAGCCAAATATTAATTGCTCAACATATAAAATCGAATTTTGCGCAACGTACTCTCAAAATGTTCTTTTATTTTTTGAATAATCCTGTTTACATCAAACTGTAGGCATAATGATACTTTGCAAAACAGGTCCCAGGGTTCTCGTTTAAATTAATAAAATGTATAACTATGACAAAAATCACTCACATTATAATTTTAAATTAATTTTTTTATATATTTTATTTTAGAATTGTTTCAAAGACAGAAATTGTGTGTGTACCGTATCTTTTGAAATAACAGTGTGTTCCGTATCATTTCAACATAACTTTATGAAAATATGCTAAAACATCATTGCATTCACTCGATACATTGGACATAGTAAATATATCAGATTTAACAAGTATTTTTCTATGAAATAGTGTCAAACTAGAAATGTGTCCATAGGACACGGATGCCCCCACACGCCACTGTTCTGTCAATCTTATGACTCTAGGTCAAATATTGTTTGGACTACATGTGCCACAAGTTGAAAACTCAAAATCAACAAAGGGCCATAATTCTGTTAAATTTGGTCGCAACAAAAATTCCTTCCTTTACTACCATCTACACATTAAGGTTGTTAATCCCTGGAAGTTTAAGCAAAATCTGCCATCTGGTTTAAGAGGAGTTGCGTTCACAAAATTTCTACATAGTATATAATGAAAAAATCAACAAAGGGCCATAATTCTGTTAAATTTGGTTGCAGCAAAAAATTCCTTCCTTTACTGCCATCTACACATTAAGGTTGTTCATCCCTGGAAGTTTAAGCAAAATCTGCCATCCGGTTTAAGAGGAGTTGCATTCACAAAATTTCTACATAGTATATAGTGAAAAAATCAACAAAGGGCCATAATTCCGTAAAATTTGGTCCCAGCAAAAATTCCTTCCTTTACTATCATCTACACCTTAAGGTTGTTCATCCCTGTAAGTTTAAGCAAAATCTACCATCCGGTTTAAGCGGAGTTGCGTTTCACAAAATTTCTACATAGTATATAGTGAAAAAATCAACAAAGGGCCATAATTCTGTTAAATTTGGTCGCAGCAAAAATTCCTTCCTTTACTACCATCTACACATTAAGGTTGTTCATCCCTGTAAGTTTAAGCAAAATCTGCCATCCGGTTTAAGAGGAGTTGCGTTCACAAAATTTCTACATAGTATATAGTGAAAAAATCAACAAAGGGCCATAATTCTCTTAAATTTGGTCGCAGCGAAAATTCCTTCCTTTACTACCATCTACACATTAAGGTTGTTCATCCCTGTAAGTTTAAGCAAAATCTGCCATCCGGTTTAAGAGGAGTTGCGTTCACAAGATTTCGGGACGTACGGACGGACGGACTGACGGACAAGTGCAACGCTATATGCTCCCACATTGTGGGGGCATAAAAACATATGACTTGCTAGAAATCGCCTGTTATGCCAAATGAGTGTGTACCGTTCCCCTCGGCCCAGGCTATGAAAAGAAAACTGTACTCGAATGTTCTCAAAAACTATTCAGGGGTTTTCAGAATTTTGATATACCGTGGATAACTGATATAATTACAGGTACTCTACGCCTTATCTGATCAAAATCGGTTGAGTAATAAATAAGTTATGAATAAAAAACATACCTGAATCGGGTGAAAAATCGGCGTGTTCCGTACCCGAAAGGTCACGTGGTATGGCCACATTGGTCATATAAAGCAAAAGTTTACGGACGGACGCCGGACGAAAAGCGATCACAAAAGCTCACCCTGTCACTTTGTGACAGGTGAGCTAAAAACAATTTATCTGGTTATATCTGGTTACTTTAAGAATTGTTATTTTTCTATTTTCCTGTTATAAACTAAATTCTTTACCTGTTTTTGAATTTGCTCTGGACTTTTCAACATCAGACCAACAATAAGTTGCTTCACAGTTTGTCTATCCTGGTCATGTATTTTATTTGGAACGTCATCAATCTAAAATATTCATAATTTCATACATAAAAATGTTATCAATATATAAATCAGTCTTCATATAATAGTTACCATGACAACAAAACAATGTTTCTCAGAAATGTGTTTTCATCAACCCTGGCAATACAGGTCAGACAGGACACACTTTTATCATCATAGAAACATTTTTTCTCACTAACCAGATAGAAAAATCTGTAAATGTTACTAAAAATAGCGGTGTTGGAAAATCTTATCTACAGCATGGGCTTATCTCACACTCAACGTGCAGCACTTCTAAAAACGTATTCCTACACATACGCGATTCACTCCTATTTTAACAAAAATGAAACGTCAAAAGGACAAAATGTATTAAAAATATGTGAGCTTATCTATTAAATTGTCCACGGAATCAAAATAGATTGATATTAACTTTCACACTGCAATGAGTCCTACTCTACCTAGGTCCGCCCTTTTCAACATCGATGTGTTACTAAAAGTAGCTTACTTTAAAATATCGCAAAATTCTTCAAAAAAATCGGATATTATGACACTTTGCCTGAAGAACATCCATGTTTTCTGTTATGATAACGATGCTTCTTGATGACGAATTTCATTTTGATATATTTTAATTGAATATCCGGCCAAAATAACCGAATAAGTAGAAAAATCTTTGCAAACGGTAAACGCTCTTAGGCAACCATTTAAGTATGGACTGAATTCCTTATAAACACTTATATAATGACACTTTCCGACTTTAATATTGATGTGTTTTATCATGATAACCTTGCTTTTTGATGAGGGTCTCATATGAATTTATTTTCATTGAATTGTTCACAAATAAACTTGGTTAGTAGAATTTTTTGCGGACGTACGTCAGGCGCCTAAGCCCCGCCCCGCTTTTCAAAACTAGGGCGTAGCAAGTAGATCTAGTTTCACTGATATTTATTGTGTCCAGGTGAGTGAGAAAAATAATCAATCATTGGGTATATAGAGGATAGGGAAATCCCAACCCTCGGGCAATTGGTTGCATCAGGAACTCGCCAAGACTCGTTCCCGATGGAACCGATCACCCTCGGGTTGGGATTTCCCTATCCTCTATCTAACCCAATGATAGATTCTATTAATCTTAATTTTCATCTATAATTCCCAAAAATTTGTTCATATATATGATATATTATACCTACAATTAAATATGAAGCCTAAAGATGTAGTCCAAGATAGGGGTACTCTGCAATAGTGTCTGAAACAAGTAGGACAGGACATACTTTTGTCATCAAAGAAACATAATGAAATCATTAAAACAAGGAAAAGGTTATGTTAAGGAGAACAACTTGTTTTGAAGACATATTTATTTCTCAGAAGTGTTTTATCTTCAAACTTGTATGAACAAGTAAGACAGGACACACTTTTGTCATCAAAGAAACATAATGAAACCATTAAAACAAGAAAAAGGTTATGTAAAGTGTAAACTTGTTTTGAAGACATATTTATTTCTCAGAAGTGTTTTATCTTCAAACTTGTATGAACAAGTAAGACAGGACACACTTTTGTCATCAAAGAATATAATGGAAATCATTAAACAAGAAAAAGGTTATATTAAGGGAAACAACTTGTTTTGAAGACATGTTATTTCTTCAGAAGTGTTTTATTTTCAAAACTTGTATAAACAAGTAAGACAGGACACACTTTTGTCATCAAAAAGAAACATAATGAAATCATTAAAACAAGAAAAAAAAGGTTATATTAAGGAGAACAACTTGTTTTGAAAACATGTTATTTCTCAGAAGTGTTTTTATCTTTCAAAACTTGTATGAACAAGTTAAGACAGGACACACTTTTGTCATCAAAGAAACATAATGAAATCATTAAAAACAAGAAAAAGGTTATGTAAAGTGTAAACTTGTTTTGAAGACATATTTATTTCTCAGAAGGGTTTTATCTTCAAACTTGTATGAACAAGTAAGACAGGACACACTTTTGTCATCAAAGAAACATAATGAAACCATTAAAACAAGAAAAAGGTTATGTAAAGTGTTAACTTGTTTTGAAGACATACTTATTTCTCAGAAGTGTTTTATCTTCAAACTTGTATAAACAAGTAGGACAGGACACACTTTTGTCATCAAATAAACATAAAAATCATTTTAAAAACAAGAAAAAGGGTTATATTAAGGAGAAAACAACTTGTTTTGAAAACATGTTATTTCTCAGAAGTGTTTTTTATTCTTCAAACTTGTATGAACAAGTTAAGACAGGACACACTTTTGTCATCAAAGAAACATAATGAAATCCATTAAAACAAGAAAAAAAGGTTATGTAAAGTGTAAACTTGTTTTTGAAGACATATTTATTTCTCAGAAGGGTTTTTATCTTCAAACTTGTATGAACAAGTAAGACAGGACACACTTTTGTCATCAAAGAAACATAATGAAACCATTTAAAAACAAGAAAAAGGTTATGTTAAAGTGTTAACTTGTTTTTGAAGACATACTTATTTCTCAGAAGGGTTTTATCTTTCAAAACTTGTATAAACAAGTTAGGACAGGACACACTTTTGTCATCAAAGAAACATTAATGAAATCATTAAAACAAGAAAAAAAATTGTGGAAAACAACTTGCTTTGAAGACATGTTATTTCTCAGAAGTGTTTTATCTTCAAACTTTGTATAAACAAGTAGGACAGGACACACTTTTGTCATCAAAGAAACATAATGAAATCATTAAAACAAGAAAAAAAAGGTTATATTAGGGAGAAACAACTTGTTTTGAAAACATGTTATTTCTCAGAAGTGTTTTATCTTCAAACTGTGTATGAACAAGTAAGACAGGACACACTTTTGTCATCAAAGAAACATAATGAAATCATTTTAAAACAAGAAAAAAGGTTATGTAAAGTGGAAACTTGTTTTTGAAGACATACTTATTTCTCAGAAGGGTTTTTATCTTTCAAACTTGTATAAACAAGTAGGACAGGACACACTTTTGTCATCAAAGAACATAATGAAATCATTAAAACAAGAAAAAAATTGTGGAATCAACTTGCTTTGAAGACATGTTATTTCTCAGAAGTGTTTTATCTTCAAACTTGTATGAACAAGTAAGACAGGACACACTTTTGTCATCAAAGAAACATTAATGAAAACATTAAAACAAGGAAAAGGTTATGTTAAGTGGAAACAACTTGTTTTGAAGACATATTTATTTCTCAGAAGGGTTTTATCTTCAAACTTGTATAAACAAGTAGGACAGGACACACTTTTGTCATCAAAGAAACATAATGAAATCATTAAAACAAGAAAAAGGTTATATTAAGGAGAACAACTTGTTTTGAAAACATGTTATTTCTCAGAAATGTTTTATCTTCAAACTTGTATGAACAAGTAAGACAGGACACACTTTTGTCATCAAAGAAACATAATGAAATCATTAAAACAAGAAAAAGGTTATATTAAGGGGAACAACTTGTTTTGAAAACATGTTATTTCTCAGAAGTGTTTTATCTTCAAACTTGTATAAACAAGTAAGACAGGACACACTTTTGTCATCAAAGAAACATTAATGAAATCATTAAAACAAGAAAAAGGTTATGTAAAGTGTAAACTTGTTTTGAAGACATATTTATTTCTCAGAAGGGTTTTATCTTCAAACTTGTATAAACAAGTAGGACAGGACACACTTTTGTCATCAAAGAAACATAATGAAATCATTAAAACAAGAAAAAAATTGTGGAAACAACTTGCTTTGAAGACATGTTATTTCTCAGAAGTGTTTTATCTTCAAACTTGTATGAACAAGTAAGACAGGACACACTTTTGTCATCAAAGAAACATTAATGAAACCATTAAAACAAGGAAAGGGTTATGTAAAGTGTTAACTTGTTTTGAAGACATACTTATTTCTCAGAAGTGTTTTATCTTCAAACTTGTATGAACAAGTAGGACAGGACACACTTTTGTCATCAAAGAAACATAATGAAATCATTAAAACAAGAAAAAGGTTATGTAAAGTGTAAACTTGTTTTGAAGACATATTTATTTCTCAGAAGGGTTTTATCTTCAAACTTGTATAAACAAGTAAGACAGGACACACTTTTGTCATCAAAGAAAAATAATGAAAACATTAAAACAAGAAAAAAATTGTGGAAACAACTTGCTTTGAAGACATGTTATTTCTCAGAAGTGTTTTATCTTCAAACTTGTATAAACAAGTAGGACAGGACACACTTTTGTCATCAAAGAAACATAATGAAATCATTAAAACAAGAAAAAGGTTATATTAAGGAGAACAACTTGTTTTGAAAACATGTTATTTCTCAGAAGTGTTTTATCTTCAAACTTGTATGAACAAGTAAGACAGGACACACTTTTGTCATCAAAGAAACATAATGAAACCATTAAAACAAGAAAAAGGTTATGTAAAGTGTAAACTTGTTTTGAAGACATACTTATTTCTCAGAAGGGTTTTATCTTCAAACTTATATAAACAAGTAGGACAGGACACACTTTTGTCATCAAAGAAACATAATGAAATCATTAAAACAAGGAAAGGGTTATGTAAAGTGTTAACTTGTTTTGAAGACATACTTATTTCTCAGAAGGGTTTTATCTTCAAACTTGTATAAACAAGTAAGACAGGACACACTTTTATCATCAAAGAAACATAATGAAATCATTAAAACAAGGAAAAGGTTATGTTAAGTGGAAACAACTTGTTTTGAAGACATATTTATTTCTCAGAAGTGTTTTATCTTCAAACTTGTATAAACAAGTAAGACAGGACACACTTTTGTCATCAAAGAAACATAATGAAATCATTAAAACAAGGAAAAGGTTATGTTGAGGGGAACAACTTGCTTTGAAAACATGTCATTTCTCTGATTTCCCATCCGCTCGCCAGGGGAGTTCCTATAATGCAACCTGTTTTTGAAACGAGCCTAGAAAATGATCACTTGAAACTGTGAATAAAGGGCAATGATAAAGAAAACTTTAAACTGCCAAATATACATATGACTGAATTTAAATATAAAATTGTGATCAAATCTTAATGACCATGATATTAATGGATGTTAAACAATGTACAAACCACTCTCCAATTACGCTTCACGTAATTTTTGAATGTTATAGCTGAGGAGACACGTATTGACTGTTCGGCATCGGCTTTATCTACCAAGTTCAGTAACAATAATGGATAATTCTGATTGCCTTCCACTGACTCAAGGAACTTCTCCGCTGTAAAACAGATAAAAATGATTTACATTTCAATAAACTCTCCAAATAAAGGAATTATGAATAATTCTGGCATGTAAATTTGTTTTGTATAGTTGGGTTTCGAGACAAACTGACAGTGTAAATTTTAAACAACTTCCTAGCTTTACTGATTGAAGTAGACTAAAGGTGCTCCTTCATGCATTATTTCATTTCTCATAAATTATTTATAAAGGAATCCACGGATGTGAGGGGGAAATCAAGTTAAAGTCAGCCAGCAACCTTAACCGCTCTGCCACCGAGGCCTAAAAATAAATGATGGTTTTCTTGAAATACTCAAGTTTGTTTGTGCTTGCATGTCTACATCTTGGTCTCGAAACTTAGACAATCTTCATGTGATTAAAAGCTAATAAAACTGTCAAACTTTTTTTCAGGTTTTAAGTCACACACACATTTCTAAATAAAGTACCATGAATGTCCCTCTTCACATTATTTCAGGCAGAAAATGGACATTTCAGGTGTATAAATTTCTCACATGAATATAAATCCATAGTTAATAGCAACAAGTCAGCCAAAGAACCCACCATGTGAAGCTTGAATTAGTCATCTTACTATTTCAAGGAACAGTAAACAAAAGTTTGAAAATTAAGAATTCTTTGTCACCTTAGTGCAATAATTGATTGATTCTTATTAAATTTATAAGAACTTATTCCTTTACAGTAGTGAGGTGACAAACTGTCATGTGATCAATCAGTAATTGCATAAAAAGATATGGTCACAACAAAAATGATTCTAAAAAGACTACCAAAAGACTAGTAACTGATAATATTCTGAAATAATATCATTGTATTTCTTACACAAACAGAAATATTGTATAATACCTGGTTTTCTGACAGCTGGATCAGGTGACAGGGTTTGCTGTAAGAAGTTGGACAGTGTTTGCAGATTTTCATCTGTGATCTCCATCTCTTTTCCTATGGACAAAAAAAAGTTATTTTATACATTTTGTCCAATTTCAGCATCTCACTCTGGTACTCCATTAAGATGTAAGTGCTGAAGTATACATGTTTGTTTGTGGAATAATATATGTTTAATTGCTGAGCTATATATAAGTATCCAGAAATTTTAACAGCCCTAACAAGAGCTGTTGGTAGGACAGCATGCTTGATTGATAGTAAAAGAGCTTTGATAATGTAAAATTTTCTAAGTTCAAAAAGGGCAAATTTTTGTTTCAAATCCATGTCATAGTTATAGGTCTTGGAGAGTGTCCTATTATGCTCTCAAAGAAGTGTATACAATTTCAACTTGTTTCAAAGCCAAATATCAGTGGACTTTGAAAATATTTGAGGTGGTACACAAACTATAACATAAAAGATTGGCCATTGTTCGTGTGACTAGGATAGCTCTACATATTCTTATCCAATAGTTGAGGTAAACACCAACAGCAACTAACAGTTTATTCATGTTTGTAATATAATTCTTGTTGTAGCGATTGCAAAGTTCTTGTGTAGTCACTTTTTTATTTGTGTTGTTTTTTTCTCTGTAATCTAATTATAGCTCAAATTATAATATAGAACAAAGGTTGCCATTAAGAATTTATGGAGTAGGCTGAAATATAATTTGAGGAGGCCAAAGCAGGAGACACTGAATTTTTTAGTGGGGTCTAGGGGCATGCCACCAAGAAAATTATCAAAGGTCAATAACTCAAAAATTAGGAAGTGCAGAGTATCAGTTCTTGTGCACTGCACTTCTTCTTAACGAGATCTATCATCCTATGAAGTTTCAATTCCATAGCTTTCATAGTTGAAGAGAAATGGCCCGGACAAAATTAAAGTATGAAAATTTACAAAGGGCAATAACTCAAAAATTAAGAAGTGCAGAGTACTGGTCCTTGTGCACTGCACTTTGGGTTATTGAAAGAAGCATGCATACCCAGGGAATTCCCGAGGATTTTTTTTAAGCGCTACATTTTTTTAATTAGATGGGGGTGGGTGCGGGAGGGGGCCTTGACCCCCATACCGCATGTCGAAACTTTTTGCCATTTTAGATGTCAATATACTGCTGTGGGCTGTTTTTAAACAAATATTGAAAGCTTTTCACTTGATAAACATTTTCTTAATTTTTATTTTTTACTTTTTCCATTTCCAACAATTCAAATAAATAAACAATTATATATTTAAACACAAGTTCACAACATGTGATCAACATTTATATGTATGTGTGTGTCCCATTTAAATGAGTATATTTCAGTTGTTTTTTCTTCATTAACATCATTAAAAGTGGGCCTGTCTTCTAGGTTTGTTGTCCTTCCATGCATTGACTGCCTTCTCAAAGTTGAAAGATTCTAATGGGGGTCCTTGAAGGGAGACGGCAAGAAGATAGTTTAGAACTTTAACAGAGAGACAATTCCTGTTTTCAGTCTTAACTCTCTTCAGGCAGCTGAATCCTTGCTCACAATCTGAAATTAATAAATGAAAGTAATCATTTATGTTAACCTCATGTCTTTTATTTATATTGTTTGTTTGCTGTGAATTTTTGAAAATTTAAAACTTCCAGCCTGTTTAAACTTAACTAAGTAAAAAAAATTATATTTGAAATGTTGAAAAACTTCTAGCAAAGTGTTACACATCTGCAACTGTCATTGGAATTTCATTAATGTTCAAGAATGAATGAATTTAATAATAATTACCTGCAGTAGAGGTTGGGAGGAGGAGACCCACAGCAGTAATTCTGTAAAGAGCTGAATGACTGGTAGAAAGGTTGCCAGTAATCCAGGTCATGGTCTGGTCGGCTGACTGATCAGTCCCCTCTAGACTGGCACGTACCTGGTGCCAGTGGCTGCGGCACTGCTCCATATCTACACCAAAGTGCCTGGCCAGCTCATGTATGTCCTGACAGACCAGTGCTAAGGGGTAGGACACTTCACAAAGCTGTCCATGAACAGGTTTGATTAAAGAGGGCCTGCAAAATTAATATATTTTTCATTTTGGGGATTCAGTGAACAGAAACATATTACAAGATATTTCTAATTAAAAAAGAAAATGACCAATTGGCTGTCACTAAGTGGGATTGTTGATGTAAAGTTTTTGTTGTTGTTTTCACTCAGTTGCAAGTTAATAATGAACAGTCGTAAATGTTTTCAATGTTAAAGTAACCATCAACCAAATTTATTTCTGAATATCTATGCAGTTTAATTCAAGTAAAATACGATTATCATTGATTTATATATTAAAAAGCAAAATGATCCTGAGACAGTTTAAACGACATTGCTCACAAAAAAAAACTCTTAAAATTGATAGTGAACTAGGCTTCCCTTATTCATGTTAGACATATTATTTTTTGAAATCTTAATACTACAGTATAGTACAACTAATTAGACTTGTCAAAGAGACACCGAGATAATTTTGGACGGGCGCTGTCGTAACGGTTTGACAGTAAGAAAAAAAGTCTGTAAAATGGGTCAAACCGTTCACGCCAAATTAATTAGGCTGTACTACAGTACTGCTTAGACGGAACGATCATAAGAAAGTGAAAAATGAAATTGAACATTACACTTATATCAAGACAATTAACCTATTCATCCCTAAATATCAAATTGTTATATCGCATGTCAATTAATGCCAATTATATTATCAAAACAATAAAAGTTATTACACCTACCTGAAACATGTAAATATCACACATGCCGCGGTTAAATTGCACCCATCTCAATACAAATAATTGACAACACCTGAAAGTGCACCAACAGTCGTCTGCAGACATCGTTGACAGGTGTCTGTGACGTCACACAGTCTAAAGGCAATCAGTGTATCGGGTAATTAACTACACAGGACATGTATATTGGCTTGTTTATTTGGCCAATTGGGGTTAACTTATAGACACAATAGAAAGGAATATCGGTCATTTTTTAAAGCGCTATGATAATTTTAAGCGCATCGGGATTTCTTGTTTTGAAATTTTAGCGCATCGGTGCCGATGCGCTAAAAGCGCCTGGGGAATTCCCTGATACCAAGTTAGAAGTCAATCCGACTTATAGTGACTGAGTTATGCTCTGGACAAGCTTTAGGGGACACCCACGCGGACAACGATGCCAACGCCGCAGACATCGCTGACGCTGCCAACAAAAGTAACCCCTTTTCAAGGCGACACAAAAAATTTTAATTGGCGAAAAAAATTTTGGGGGGGAGCCAAGGCAAATGAGCATTCTAATGAGATTGGCGCTATATCGAAGAGCGCTATATCGAGGCTCCAGTGTATGTATATTTGACTTTCATTATAATTTTGAAAAGTGACGTATGGCCAGCCAATACAGGGTGTCCTGGCTAGTCGTATGTGACTCACGTACGACTAGAACTTCTGGCTAGCGGTACGGGCCCGTATGGCATGCCTCTTCCTATTTTTTACGAAGTCCAGGACTGATCTGGTTTACATATTGACAGTTTATGCTTGGTATTAAAGCATAAGTGTTTTCCACATCATAGGCATCATTTCATTTCATATTAAAAATTAGAGCAGACTGAGAGTGAAGGAGTGGTGCATTTCATTTTGTAAACCTGTAGAATAGCTAAGCAACTGAAACATCTTGTCAAAAGAATTTACTAAAATATCGATAACGTGGCTTTTTACAGAATATTATCGTATGTTGTCCTCGTACTTAATTCATTCATGGGATCTAAATAACATTTCAAAATTTTGTTTCTACCCCACCCGGCCGTTAACATTTGGCTTTTTTTGCGCAGGAACAATTTAGTTACATTTTTTATAAAAGAAATGAATAGGAGTAATGATTTTACCAGTTTTCGTACTGCTACTAAACGTAAACTGTTGTCAAGTCAATCTATAACTTATTCAGTTCATAGAAATAAAAGAAAAAGCATGGACAAAATTTTAAATTTCACTGGTGGCGCACTATCAAACGGTGTTGTGTAAAGAAAACGTATCATGAGAAATACATCTACTATCGGACACCAATCAAAGTAACGGAAATATTTGTTTGCATTTACGTTGTAGAAATGCAATTATTTTCATTTACTTTTTTTAATTTATAATATGCCATAATAAAGATGTTCTAGCTAATTTGTTATTGTAACGCAAAACAAAATTAGAATATGAACATCCTTTAATTCAGGGACAGTAATACCATTACCAGGAACGTTTGTTATATTATATACAGATACATGTACACGAACATGTAATGACGAACATATATACAAAAGCAGCCGGATGTATATCGATATTTACACTGTAATATATATTCGGTCATTCATATATTCATATTTACACCCATAATTACACAGGGTCATAAAGACTTGCACAGCTATCAAAATTTTTATGTCTTGTTGGAATATTATAGCCATAATTTCATGAAATTTAACTGTATGCTCCTGGTTGACTTGTGTTGAATTCTCAATTTCGATTTCGATGCTCTGCTTTAATTAAGATGATGTTTTTGGTAAGTGAATTAATATACATGCAGACCTGGGGTAATCACTAATCGTAATCATTGATTTTTTAATTGATTACATGATTACACTGTAATCATCATGTAATTGATTACCTTGCTCAAAATTGATTACATTAATTGTAATTAATCAATTACAGCTTAAATTCAGTCTGTAATTATGATTACAATTTGATTGATGTTGATTACTTTCAGATTTTATATGAAACTATTGAAATTCAAATGATTTATTTCACATGTTACAGTTTAACTAAGGTAGTAAAATATCAAGTGAGACATTTTAAGACATCACTCACAATGAAGAAATAAGTTTTAATCCATACAGTTAACCAAATTCTAACTGAAAGATAGACATCATTGTTTGGCTGGTATTCTAACCAAACTGTCAAATCATTGGATTGAATTTCCTAAAGAAACATCTGGAAATGTGACAGCACAGTGCAAATTGTGCCCTAGGAAGATAAATGGATACACTATGTCACATTCAAATTTCATTACCCACATAAAGGTATGTTAAATTTTGTTTCACATATTTTGGTTTAACCATGTTTTAAAAAGTTTCAAACAATGTAGATAACTTCTTTACTTTGCATATTCTAGAGTTTATGTCGGATGCATATTACCATATTTTAATTATATGCAACAGTTATTTTGTAAGGTGATAGACAATGTGTCTATATTATAATGGATACTGTTGTACCATTGAAGTGTTTGTAAAGAAATTGATAATTTCTTTGTAAAGTCTATTGTCTCTTTGAATTCCCATACAAAAATTTATTGTTTTCACACCTGTTTTAACACCTGTATACAGCATACTGTACAACTGACACTTTTCAAAATTTCTGTTGCAGAGAGTTCATTATGAAACCTACACCAAGAAGACTGAGGACCATTCTTGCATCATCGGCCCCTGTAGAGCGTTTGTTTAGTGTTGCGGGTAAAATTTTCCGTCCTGATAGATGCAGTCTGACTGACAGATGGTTTCATGAACTTATGATGCTAAAGTGCAATGCTAAAATATGATAAAGTGATGTGACAGTAACTAAAAGTGTGTTAAAATGATGACTGTTGATGAGCTGGAAATCCTTTGTGTATATAATGTATATAATGTATATATTAAATAGCAAGAAGAAACTTTTGTTTATAGTTGTACATTGAATGTAATCAATTATCAATCAATTACTTTCTTAAAGTAATTGTAATTCAATTGATTACAGAGGCAAGTCTGAGTAATCAATTGTAATCAATTACAATAAAATCTGAAAGTAATTGTAATTAAATCAATTACTGATCAATGTAATCATCCCCAGGTCTGTATACATGTACACATTGTATATTAATTATTTCTTCGTTTTCATATTGTAATTAAGTAATGTAAATAATCTATATTCCTCTAAACAGCTATAAAATGTTATGAATGGTATATATAAAAATATTACAATTAAGGCAATTGTTTCAAGTTTATATTAACATTTGCGCAAAAGGAAAATATGTTTTATATATCAGATTTTCTCAAACCATTCCCATTAGCTTACACTACCTATTTTACGCTTATAATTGTATGGGTCAATATCTATAATAATAAATATATAGAGGATATTCAAGTTTTTTCTATAAATACATGATTTATTTTCATCGGGTGGTATGAAAATAAATATTTCATGAGTGGCGGTAGCCACGAGTGAAATATGGTAATTTTCATGCCACAAGATGCTTGAGTATTAAATTCAAAGCGTATTTTTATCCTGTAAGTAACTGCTCTACATCAAGTATGTTTACAGTCATTCCATTAAATATAAAAACACACACACACACACACAAAAAGACCAAAACAAACACAAAAAACACAAGAAACGGAGGTAAGAAAAATATCTCTTGAACTGAAAAACACGACCAAAACCAACGTTATATAACCAAATTTTTGTGCAAATGATAAGCGTACTACGCTTCATAATGATTTACACACTTATTGACTTATAAAATACGCTTAAACGTGCCGCGATTAAGCACAAAAACACACTGGCAGTAACAAAAGTTATCATAAGAACTCCAGGACATATTTTGAGTTATCGCAAGAACTCCGTAACATTTGAAAAATCGGGTATAAATTTATTAGCCTGGGCTTTATGTTTGCAACTCTCCATAATAATTAGGTAATTAAGTATAGCATCGAAGAAGATCACAAATGAAAAGGTCAATATGTACGAATTAGCAAGTAATTTGGTAATTTTTCTAAAAACTACCAGATTTTTTTTAAAAAAAGGCGACAAAATATGGACTAAAAGATTTTTTCTGAAACAAAATACAATATGTAGGGCAAGCTTAATTATCAAAGTTAAATTTAGCACCTCAAATTCCCCATTTAAAGTTAAAATTAACCATTTTTTAAGCGAGTTCTCCAAGTATATAGAAAAGTTTTCCACAGAAATCCGTAACGTTTTCCAGGAACTCCGTGACAGTTATCATAAGATCTCCAAACAAGTTATCATAAGAACTCCATCCTTCGTGTAACACTTCCTCCCCCATGAGAAAGTCCCTGCTGGAGTGGAAGATACAAAATCAACTGAAATGAATGTTTTTTATTGCAAAAGATGAAAATCGCGTGCATAAAGGTCAAACATACACTAAATAGGCAGACTACAAGAAAAAGAAAAAGTCGCATTGAAGGTTAATTTCATGGCCACTGCTGTACGAACACATCTGCATAATATTAATACTACCATTTTCATACTGATGTAAATGTCTCCATACATAACCTCCAATTCCTTCTCAACATTTCATTTTTTTAATTTACTTCCAAATAGAAAATTTCGTTTAGGGTCCCAAAACATTATTTTACTTGGGGACCATAAGCCTTTTCATGGAAAGTTTCATATTATAGTTTCCATGATAACACATCATATTGGCCCGCCCGCTTAGATCAATAGGTAGGAGCGTCGGTGTCTAAGTTCGATCCTTGGGCGGGCAATGTTTTCCATGCCGATTTGATAAGACATTTAGTCTAACATCATTTGTCCTCCACCTCTGATTCATGTAGGTAAGTTGGCAGCTACAAATCTTTTTCCGTTCCGTTCCGCTAAATATCATTATCTTAGGGGATATTTATACTTTGCGGAACGAAACGGAATCACAATAAATAGAGTTGAAGACATGGTTTGTACACAATGCTGACTGTAATAGTAATATTTCAGCTTTATTAGTGCATGTAATATCAATTTATATATGGCAAGCATGTTTTCAAATTTAATTTGTTTACGATGATTATTTATATTTTTTAGAATTTTATATAATACAAAATGAGTGTACTGGAAATGACGGCCATTCGATACATATCAAAGAGGTCCTGATATCGCTAAAAATATTTAGATTGTCAACTCATTTTTTTTTTTCATTCGTCAGTTTATATGAATAATAAATATTAAATTACTGCAACAAGTGCAAAAAATTTAAATATATAAATTTTATGGCGATAGGATTTCCTATTTTGACTAAGTCAAGAACATAGTTTTTAAAACAGGTTGCATGTAATAAATTCGTGTGTACCTGTAATATACCAGGATGAAAAAATCCATTGACAAGAAAAAATAAATCCTGTTCCGTTCCGTTCCGTAGAATATCATTATTCTATGGGATATTTATACTTTGCGGAACGAAACGGAACAACTGTTTGCAGTCCCGAAGATTTTATATAAATAATGTCCATTTAGAAGTGGGTTTTCAGATGGTTCAGTTCGAAAAAGCCCTTGATCGACTGTTCGCTAGGCAGTTTCAATATTTCATTATTTTTATTTGATATATTTACATATTAGTAAAAAAATTGCTGTGCCCCGTGTGGTGCCTCAATGTTTGTTCCGTTCCGATTCGTTCCGTTCCGCAAAGTATAAATAGCCCTCGGACCGTATATATTGCAGTTACCATTGCCGTGTATGACCATACTCAATAAAAACGAATCTGCAACAATTTCAATTAATTTTGCTGTTTTGGGCGCTTTTTGATAATTAAGGGTTCAATTTTACCTTCCTTTCTAGTCACACTGCAGATAACTTTTACTTCTTGTTAAATCTGCAATAGTTGAATCTTTAAAACAGACTAGAAAACTATAGAATTAAAAGCTGCAAGCTTCCAGATGGCAAAAGTATTTCGAAAAAATAAAACTTGAGCAATAAGATTTTCAGAAAAGTAAAAAGATCAAGTGTTAAAAAATTACAAAACATGCCAACTTTTAACAAGAGAAATTTGCTAATTTTCAATGTAAAACCCAGTAACTGGTTTATTTTTTCATGATGATGTTTTTCAGGTTATATACATGTATTGAACTGATATTTTGGCCATTTTATAAATTTGAACGCATATAATGCTTCAAACTTGATACAAGTAAGACCAGTGTATGATTTGAAACTTACAAATTTATGCCTTTATAATCATCGTGTTACTTAACCTTTTATAAATTTGAACGCATATAATGCTTCAAACTTATGATTTGAAACTTAAAAATTTATAGCCTTTATAATCATCATGTTACTTAACCTTTTATACATATAATACACAAAGAATTGCAATGTATAAATAATGCATCTATGTACAATTTCATGACAACTAATATGAATTCGTACATTACACATACAGAAATACAATACAATGTATCAGTTAACTTCTATGTACGTTTGCATGGGGCTAGATATTCGCATAAAACATATATACATGTATTACATATGTAGAACTTTAAATTAAACATTTATGTACCTTTACACGAGAATTGATTGTAACTGTTGACCAATATGGAAGGCATGGCTAAATTTCTAATATCATGTACATTATCGCTTGTAATCAACTTAGCAAATTTAAACATGCAAGTAAACCTCCAGTAATATTTCTTCAAAAATGTTGTTCGGAGTTCCTGATAAATAGGACATATTATTATAACAAAATGGAACTCGTCCTCTAATTGATTACATGCTACACAGGCTCTATAAATTGAAGGTACACTGTGGGGTTTTCTCCATCTACCCACCTCTATTTCTAGACGATGAGAAAACATTCTTAAACGTGACATAGCTATTCTATACTTTTTAATATCAACAATATCTAAATATCTACTAAAAACTGAAATCATTGAAAGTGTGGTAAGATAGTGCTTTTGAAGAATTTGTGATTCGGGCATTTAAATCCTGTTTCCATGTGTCTCTAACCCTCTGGTTAAATACATAATAAGTATATATAATTTTTATAGACATGCAAACTTTAAAAAAAAAATCGAAATTTGAACTGGGAGTCTCCAGAATAATTCAGTTCCGCGGTCAATAATAATTGATTTTAAGATAGTTTGTGTTGTCATTTATTTTTCTTTGTCGCTCAAGTTCTTGTTTTTTTGTAAATCATTTTCGCTCGAGGCTTTATCAACAGAAAAAGAATGTTTTTGTTTTGAACATATGCTTACATTGTATTTTATAAAGATAATCAGGCGAAAAGCTGTTTTAAATGTAAACATATGACTCAGAAATTTAAGTAGGTTATTAATATCGAGCTTTACAAATGACCTTTTAGTTTGTAAACAAAAACCCTTTATGTTCCAAAACAAAAAATGTATATATGGAAGGGAATCAAGTGTATGTTATGTGCAATTTTAATTTTCAGTTAAATTGATTCATGCTTACCAGGTTACAGACATATACTTTTATTTACAGCTTGTGAGAAGCTGTAAGGACTCAATAAATTTGATAAATCCATTTTAATATCATCCATTGACCTCGAGATCTATAAATATCATTTATAGTCACAATACATGTACATGTATAACTTTTGCTCATCCATTGTCATAAACAGATGCCTTTTATGTCGTCTGCTTAAATCTGACAATACAATTGTTCGGATATACATATGTTGATGATGTCGTTGAAAAATGATTGTTGTTTTCTATAGAAGTTGTGTAATCGATGTGACAGATTGTGTGTTTGTGTATATGTAAATTGTTGGACAAATTTAAATGAGATTTAACTTATAAGACATACATACTGTATTTCTCTACTGTTTCGTTGGTTTTTTTTTTAATGCTAACGCACAATGTAGAGTTTGCTATACATATTAGTATTGTCTTTTATATGGATGTAATCAATACACAATAATGCCAAATGGATAAAAATCAATCTTATATGTGAGTTTATATGGGCACGGACGCTATAACATTGACCGCCGATCTTAGACTAAAGAGTGTTTGCGTTTATCTTTTCGGAACTCACTTGTCTCCGAAAACTCTAATGTCACTTTTCAAATTTCCTTAATTTGTCAAATTTTGATGTAACAAAGTGCTGGAAATATTAAGAATAAAAAATGATGTTATTAATCAATAAAGAAGCATCTAAAATATCAGATTTCATTGCAATGAACAACATAAAAGGAGTATGTCACAGACGTTGAAATTCTTCGGAGTTCGTCGCTTAAATATTGTTTGTCATATAAATGACAAATGTTGGCATCGATTAAATTGTTGTGATGAGATTTAAAGATGATTATATATCTGTTTATACTTTGAAAACCAGCTGTTTATTCTGACAGAATTTTAGTTTTGGAACTACTTTCTGACAGTATTTTAGTTTAGGAACTATTCTCTTTCAGGAGCAGTCAGTATGTAAATCATGAATGGCGCCTTAGCAATATTATTCAGTTCGATTTTTATTTGGAAAGGCAAGTTGTTTATAATGATAAATGATGAAACGTTTTCATTTATTTGAAAGATCTTTACGGTATTCTTTATTTGTTATTAGTATTATAATAATTATATTTGTTTCCAAATCTGTTAGTATAATAATAATTATTGTCGATGATATAATTTTCTTTATATTTATTATTATTATTATTATTATTAATAATAATTTATTATTATTACTATTATTATTATAGAAAAGGCTAAAGCCGTCCATATGGCAAATACGCCGAAAATAACAGGGACGGCTTAAGCCGTCCCTATGGCAGTGAAAGGGTTAACATGGCAGTGAAAGGGTTAACACATTGTTATTTCTAATTTCGCTCAACATTTGTATGAAAAAAATACTGAAACCTTTTTTTATTAAACAATTTAATACTTTCATTTGATTCAAATGCTATATTAAAAAATACAGTTTAAAAGTACAAAATTTAAATCTGTTCATTTAAAATTATCATGCTGTAAAAGCTAAGTACAAAGTCAAAATCTGAGCCTAAGTTGTAATCTGCCAATTTAATGACAGCCTTTCTAATTTCACATTTCACATTTCTTTCAATAATTTCAGTCATAGATGAAATATTTATTTAAAGGTATTTGGATGAAATTTCCTATGTATACGAATGTGTTTTGTTTTTTATTGTTAGTTTTGTTGATGATCTCCTTTCATTATTTTCTGCAGCAACAAAAGGGTTGCCTTTTACAAATGACAAACAAGCACTTTCTTCCGACTCTGTCAGATTTCTGGTTCTAGCAGACTGGGGTGGATCTCCCTACCCTCCCTTTACAACCGGAGTTCAAGTTAGAGTGGCACACCAAATGGCACTTAAAGCGGAGAAAGAAAAAGTCAGTTTTGTGCTTGCTCTTGGTGATAACTTTTACATGAATGGTGTCGTTGGTTTTTACGACGAACGTTTTAAGGTTGTTGTTTCTTTTCCCTTTTTATTCATGTATAAAACAATATCTATTGTATATATGGTCTTACATGTAACTCTTTTCAAAGCAAAATATTGATATTTACTTTAGAGACACAGTTATGTAATTATTCTACATACAAGCAAAATTTTGGATTTTTTATTTTGATTTTTTTACTCAAATATTTTCTTAAACACAAAATCATATTTTGACAAATGCGTATACAGAATTTCGTGTACACGTGTTTAGTGTTTATAATCGGTGTTTACAGACGACATTTGAAGAGGTTTATCACCAGGAATCACTGAATATACCTTGGTACATAATTGCTGGAAATCATGATCATTATGGCACGGTTGAATCACAAATCCTATATTCCACAATATCAAACCGATGGTGAGACATTCATTTACATATACATGTATATTGTAATATATACAATCAGTCCAATAAAAACAAACGTTTTTCTTTAGCTTTCAACTTTTGTCTTTTTTTTTCTTTATTCCTTTTTTTATATGTATTGTAATGTCCCTTGCGGGGGTATGACATATGATATATGCATTCATTTGGAACATTATTACTCTGATAATTACACAGCAATGTTGGGTACATGTATGCTGCACTAAACTTACACTTTTGTATGAACATATTTGGCCTCACTCACATAACAAGTAAATTGCAGTAGTATTGTCACAAATATTCTGAGCATTATTTTTTGAAGTATATTGTTTTTTCATGAAGGAATAAGCAAAAATGTCTGTTATATAATTATACATGTAACTTGGTTATAAAGTAAATTGGTTTTTAGCTATAAAATATATTTTACCAGTATTATCATGTTTTTAAATGTCTCTTATAAATCTATCGATATTGGTCCAACATGTTTTTTAATATGATTGAACATTGTGATGTATTGTATATATGACATGCTTGGAATGAGACAATAAACTATTAAACTATATAAAAAAAATTTATTGTAAGGTGACTTTATATGAAAGTATGTAATTCTAACCTTCGTCACAGGTCTACTACATTTAACATTGTCACATTTCTATTTGTTTTACAATGGAAAAGTTGACTGGCTTAACTTGTGACGTCCATTTAACTTTTCTATTGATTGCCATTCTTATTAATTGGGACAAAACTGCTTTTTGATTACGTTGTACATGCAAAATTAACAATAAAGTTAGAAGTTGTTCTTGTCAATAGACGTTATCCGGAATTCGGCAAATTTGGTGTTTTCCCGTACCGTTATTGCTTCACGGTGCACTACCCGTAGCAATTAGATAAGTCAACCTGTTGCGCTTATTTTCGAATCTGTGACTGTAAAAGTTTGTTTGTACTGATAAGTTGGGAAAAAAACAAAATATTCTTAATATTCCGAAGTAAGTCTATTATTGTTTGGGGATGTAAATGATTTATGTTTTAGTTTATATGCTATTAAGTACTCATATACAACATATTTTACATGCTGCAAAGGAATTTTCCTGACTTTTACTACAAGGAATCTAAGACTTTACCGGGTGGAAAAGTTTTGGACATTTTATTTCTGGACACTTATATTCTCTGTGGACCTACATATAACACACCCTTTGGTCATCGTATACGTGCTCCTCTGTATTACTCGTGGGCAGAAAGTCAATGGGAGTGGATACAATCTAATCTAAAGGAGTCCAAGTGAGTTCTCGTCTTGTTTGTTTTATCAGGATAATATTTTAAAGACATTTTTCTTTGTTTTTCTATTCTTTTATCTGAGTTCCCGGCACACCGTGCCAGGGTGTACTGAAATAATCTACACAATACATGTCATATTTTTTTTAACTTATAAATTGAATTTACTTGACTAATGATTCATATAACTATTATTTTTTATAATCGTGTATAATTGTGCAATGTTGTTTATTACTTCTTGTCATGTCATTGTATATGTCGAACGCAAAGAGGATGTAAAGACGATAAGAACAAGTTATTTTCATAATAATAATAATAATAATAATAATAATAATAATAATAATAATAATTACACTATTTATAAAACAAAATTGCAAAAATGCAAATTTTGCAAATGGACGCTTCAAAACGGTATATTAACCTAGAAAATGTATGCATCAATACAAATTGTTACAAACGTTGGTAAAAAGGTACAGTAAAATTAAGAATAGTGCCTATAGCTGTGGTTAGTAACATTGTGTAAAATAAATGTAAATAATATGGTATGTTTTAAGCAATATAAATGAAATTTGGGCTCATATTTGTCGAGGTATTAATTCTTTTTAACGAGAAATTTGATTTACAATAATATTTTTCATGTAATTTTCCTGTTTTATGCTTCCGAGGGATCATTATTTAAGATTTTTTATTAGTCGAGTAAACGCAACTTTTATAAGAACGAAATACTAATTGGACCTAGAGTGGTGGTTTAGGAGATAGATTTTCCTTTTGACAATACTATATCCACTGACAATTATATACAACACGTGAACAATTATAATCAATATTCAATACTTTTCGAGATCTCGTAATTTTAGAGACCGATTACCTCCTGGTTGTTAGGAACACATATCATGATATTCTCTGGCTGGCAGCAACGGTCCTACAAAACTTCTCTATGAAAGACTCGAACCTCTTCTATATGAATACCGTGTAACGGCTTACCTGTCGGGACATGATCATAATTTACAGGTTTGTTATTGTTTTATAAACTGTAAATTTAGTGATTAATCTCCCAACAGCCAAACTTTCTAAGATTTCCAACGACACGTACAAATTTTTCATTTAAAGTGCATTATATGGTATAAACTACCAAGAGTTGCAGAACTTTCCCCTTTTTCAGTGGCATATAGGTAAAAGACTAAGAACATTTATTCTTATGAGTGAAATTGCCTACTCGAACATCGTAAGACGGATGTCATGGTCGCTATACTAGTGGTAGTTGAGTTGAAATGTTTATTAAATTTGTTTTAAATACACAAGAATAAATGATATGGATTAAATACATTGTAGCTTTTTTGGCATGAAAAAACTGAGTGTGTTGACATGCAAACTGCAGAATTTTCACACGCTGATAAAGGGTTTATCAAAATTTTAGATTCCACCCATAATTGTATGAAATGAAGGTGTATGTTTTTTTTTTAAAATGTCCTTTAGACCAGTCTTGTTTTATTTATACCAACATTAACCAATGTAATTCATGAAATGTATAATTTTTTTCTTTTTAGAATAATGATACATTGTACTAGCTCCCGAACAAAGGCCACTGTTACACATTCCTTGTGGTGGCCGTTGTTGGAAAGTGTGACTGTTTAACTGTTTTTTTTCTCTTTCTTTTCATTTTTTTCATTGGACACATTTTATAGATATTATATATTGACATAATATTTTTGAAAAATGTCTTAAAAAAACTTTAATTTCAGCATATACAGATGAAAAGTAATGGAGCAAAAATGGACTACTTTATAATAGGGAGTGGCAGTAATGTTGATTGGTATCTGGACAGCAAGATAGTACCGGATAATTCTCTTAAATTCTCTTTCGCTTATAGGAAAGACGTTGGAGGATTTGCGTTCCTAGAGGCATCTGATTTAAGTTTAAGAATTGTTTTTATCGATAGTGAAGGAAATGAAAAATACGAGTATAATATGCTACCGCGAACATTGCAAAATGATGATCAAGAAACATAATAATTATAATGTATAATATATCTGGCCAGGTTTGAAAACTAATTATTGTTCTGTGATTTTAATCGTATCTAAAAAAATCTATTTTCATACTTTATTGTTTTGTTATCAGATCTATCTATTATATAAGGAATCAGTCGCAATTTAACTTATTGGTACAACTAACAAACTTTCTACACATGATTTCTTCAATATAGAATCAAACACTATTTTTATAGTCAAATATCGGTTTCACTGCTTTTGACAAACTGGGTACAAATATGTTACTTTATATGTTATTAAAATTTGTTAAATCCAATATGTTTTCTTCTTATTACTATATGTTTGAGATATTTTGATATTGTTCAATGTCGTTATTGTTTTGCATACACCGTTGAACATGGAATAAAAATAGAACCTCATTGACTTTACAACGGAAGTTGAGTCTTATGAATTCCGGAATATCGAAAAGGATAAAAGCATTTTACTGTTAGTGCTGTTTTTATTTTTTAGTCGCTCAGTTGTTGTGTTTTTTTTTAAACTTGAAAGAAGGAGATTAACTTTTGCTTTCCTGGTCTGAAAAGAACCACTCACTTTCTATATGTCTTGGTGTATGGGCTACTGGATGATACTAATACATGTAAATTACATGCTGATTGCTTTATCCCAGTTATCTAAAACTTATCGTGCTATATATATTTGAATATAGAAAAAGAAAGTATATATTTTGCACGAAAATAGATCTTTAAGAGAGACAAGTGGATATTTAGACAATCGGAAGAATTTTGATGCATTTGGCACAGCAGTATGATATATATTAATACAAACTGTTCTTAGGAATCAATGATATGTATACACCCATGGAAACTCAGACGGTTTAATCTCTTGGGATTATGGCAATGGTAAACTGTTTTGAATCTTCTACACATTCACAGCCTTTTTAAAAATGCAATGTCCAGAATCGAGTTGTTGTGAGTTATTTGTATTTTTACTTAATGGCTGTGAGATCTGGGGATTTGGAATTAAGTAAATAATCGAAAAATTACAATTAAAGTTTCTAAACCATACCTTAAGTCTCAAAAGCTGTACACGGCGTAGCAACTCGTGTACAGCCATGAGAGCCGATATGTATAGCTATTAAAACACAAATTATATCACGTCTGTCAAAAATAATACAGCCAGTTCTATCAAGTTATGTTCCAAAATGTACAAATGTACTCACTTTTATTCAAGACCGCGTACCTAAAAAAGGTTATGGTCTTGCATGAAACACCTGATTATCAATATTATAATCAATTAAAAGCAGATCTCAGATACGACCGAGTAAATAAAGGAGGTAATTAGAAATATATCTTTCATAAAGACTTCGACAAATTCTAAATAAAAATCTATATTTATTATTCTTAAAACTTATTAATAATATAATAAAAATTTGTTGTATAAATATGCTACTCAACTTTTGCTTAGCACCATATGTTTGAGTGTAAATATTTTTTGGGATGGACGAATTTAAGCCTATAAATGAGTTTTTCAACGATTTTATGCTAGAGAAGAGGATGAACCCCCTCTGAAAATTTCAGAACATGCAGCGTGTTTTGCAAATTTGTTCAATTTTTTTTTTTTTTTTTTACAGTTTTAGACTTAATACCGTGTGTGTGACCCGACAGCTAGACAGCGCCTTCTCATACTCCCTATTTGGTTTCTGATCGTTCTAACGGGTATGACTACCCATTCTTGGACCAACATGGCTTCAAGCTCCTGGATGGTTCTTGGTTGCAGCTGACGAGCTGAAATTCTAACCTGCAGCTCATTCCACATGTGCTCTACTGTATTTAAGTCAGGTGAGCGAGCAGGCCAGTCCATGTGCTTAATATACTCCCTATCTAGGTAATCCTGGACCACCCTTGCCCTATGGGGGCGAGCATTATCGACCATTAGAATGAACGGATCGCCGTTTACTCCAGCATACAACCTAACCTGGTTAACTAAAATGTCGTCTTTGTCAATGTGCCTCTGTTTAGCACAACCAGGTCCGTTCGTACATCCCAGCTGATGCCACCACACACCATAACTAACCCACCTCCGTAGTGGTCATGCTCAGCAATATTTGCAGCCTGAAACCGTGCACCTCGTCTTCTCCAGACTCTAGCACACACATCTGTGAAGTCTAGGCAGAACCTGGACTCATCAGTGAACAGAACGTGTCTCTAGTGTTGCAAGGTCCACCGTGTATGTTCCATGGTTCATTCCAAACGGGCCTGGTGATGTCGATGCATCAAGGAGATACGTATGCAAGGTCTTGCCTTCATGCAGCCTTCTACGTACCGTCTGCGTTGAAACACCGACCTCCACAGCATTAGTAAGACCATTTCGAAGAGAAGTACAATGTATTAAGGTAACGAATGCCGTTATGTTTATCACTCGAAATTGAAACTCAAACTACAGTAACATGAATATTAATTAAAATACAACACAATAAGGTACAACAATATTACGTTTATTTATTAAAAGTATTAGCCACTATTTTAAAAACAAAACCTTCTATGCGACTGGCCATTGTACATTTGTTTGCTTAAATCTGCCCATTTACATGCTGATATGAAGATAATCCTGCGATTCAATGTGAAGAACACATGACTGGGCGCCAGGTTTTCTTCCTTTCAAGCAAGGTACATTAAACTATTCCTTTGTAATTATAGTACCTCGCTAGCCAGAATCGTCCGCGGTCTTGAAAATACTATGTTATGGTTTAATTGGTAAAAAATACTGAGCGCGTTCCTTAGAGCAATAAAATAACATTTTCTAGTGTTTATATTTGTTTACCAATGGGCAATAATTCCTATACTTAATGAAGTATCTCATGTGATAAGAATCGATTATTCTCCCTTTGTTGATGTATCAGTAAAAGTCCTCAGAATCTTGATACACATGAAAACTTAGCTTTTGAAAAAAGAGATCATGAAATGAAGGGATTTGTTGATAATATTGTTGAGTTTGAGCGAGACGTTTTAAAGCGTAATTCATGAGAAGTCATATCCATCCATCCAACCGTCCGTCCGTCTGTCTGTCTGTATGTATGGACCACCATCTAATGGTTTATTAGCTTTATCTTTCCATAATCTTAGAAAAAAAGAAGTGAAAATGGTTACTGGTTTATAAGGAAAATAACACAAAATGATCAAAGGAAAGAGCCATCATCCCAATGTTAGTCTGTACGTCAGCCCTGAGAAACTTAAATCTTCTCTGTCTTTTCCGTCAAACTTCGGATAAGGACGTCGAATATATATACGGAACAAAAACGGTATTTCTGTACAATTAAAACATGTAAACAAAAAGTAAACAAATGCTGTGAGTTTTTGACTTTAACATTTCTTTAATTTGTAGAAAAAACGACACAAATTTAATAATGTTATACTAGTAGATAGTTTAAACTTTCAAGTTTATTGTAATTTAATTGTAGGCCATTGGCCCAAATACACAATATAATAACAGAAAGATACATGTACGTCTGATTGTGTCACAAGTTATAAATTACAAAATCGTAGCATTTTATTGTATAACAAGGTAGAGAATAATATACGTTAATGTAAAACACATAATATCAAGTTCAGAAAATGAAAAACTATATAAAAACCCTGTTAATGCATAAAAAAACTTTTAAAAAACTAATTATCTTTATATTGAGTTAACCTTCTGACAATATTTAGGATTTTACGGAAGCGTATCTGGGCCTACAGTTGGTGAGATGTTTTGCGCTAAGTCGACTTATTTTTATTCGCATTGATAAAATGTTTTTGCATTTCTCAATAAAATTTACTGACAAAGATGAGAAGCTTTTAGGCATTGCAACTGAATTTTTCTCGATATGCTTGAAGCTTTTGTCTCTTAGACAAAAATCCTGTCGAAACTTTTTGATTTCACGACTTTGCTTAAATATTTAGTAAGACGCAAAGACGTTACTCGCATTGACAAATATCTCATGTAATTCAACAAAGTTTTTTTGCGATTATTAAAAACTTCTACATATTACGTATTAATCATAATGTCTTAATGGAATGTTTTATGTATTACGTATTAATCATAACGTTTTCATGAAATGTTTTTGGTCAAAACGAGAAGAGACAAGTTGACAAGACGGAAAACGTTTAGATAAGTGGAGGCCCTGATAAGCTTCCGTAGGATTTGGTTCTATATCATTGTATGTCAGTGAATATTTCAAAACTGATTCATTGCAATTTAAAACAGTTACTTAATTTTTCGGAAAATGTAAATAAAAAAAGCGTTCGTTATACTCATTATACAAAGATTACACCTTTTACACTATTTTCAATCCATATTAACTTCGCGATAATTATCGACGAGGTGTTCTGAATGCCATCAAAGCATAAATTCCGTTCAGACTAGTGAACATGTATACATATATACATATTGATTAGTTTTTTTTATACATTTGTATACCTTTTTGGACCACAGTGAAACAAGCTGCTTGTTTTTTTAGCAGCTGCTTTCATTGTTAGTGATATATTTGTTGAACATTCAGTGGACCAAATCTACAATACGGACAATGTATATATAAAGTGACATGATTGTTATGACAACCCTCTGTACAGATATGTTTTTTTGTAAGTAGGAATCTTTACAATTAGGCATATCGTTCATGGATGTTGTTACCCTCTTATACTTGATGTCGGCTTTGCTCGTGCAAGGTAAAGATTATAATATATAAAATTAGTTTAAAAGCACATTATCTCTCAGAAATCCTTTTTCTTTTTAATTCATAAGAAATATCAAACATGTGTTTAATAATTTTCAAATAATGAATTTTGAGCATAGAAGATAGCATTTCTGATACATAATGAAAATATCATAAAAAAATATTATTGATTTGTTGACTGACCAAATAATAAAGAAAATTTTAAATAATAATAAATTTATAAATTAACAATAGTATGTGCATTTTTAAGTTAGATTTTGTTTTATAAATACATTTAAATACTAAAATAATAACAGAAATGTGATATCATCTGTTATTAAAGACAAGACAAATATTTGGTAAAAAATCAGACGCACAAAGAAAGCCTGTCATGATTTACTCTATTTTAATAAAATAAAAGTTATTTCATAATAAACAAAACTTCATGAAATATGTCACGACCATAATTTTTAAATTATCAAACGATTGTGGTCTTTTAAACTAATATACAGATATTACAAATTCTATGAAAGCGTACATGTATATCAAAAAAATAACCGTAATTTCGACCAAACTGACATAGACTGGTTGAACAGAAATTTCTGCAATAAGGTTTTACAATTTCCATTACGCAATTTTTAAACAATTTAACGTTACCATTGTATAAATGATAGCGTATTGCTTAGAAAAAGTTAAATAAACATAACAAGTCATAAAACATTAAAAAATATATAAGAAAACGCTTAAGATATGTTTTAACATAATTATTTAACTTAATTGACTTTGTTTTAACATGATAGCGTATTTCTTTTTCTTAAAATTACAATAACTTATGAGAAAACTTATGTTTTTAATAACTTAACAATTATTTCTATAAGATGGCTATTTCTAAATAAATTGCAAAAATTTCTACAATATCTCATCCTTTAAACTGATTGACGATCATTTTTGGAGATTGTTTTGGTTTTTTTGTTGTTGTTTTTTTCAGAAAAGTAAGCAATGATTTCTTCAATAACACAGTTTTGCTCAAAATGATTTACCATTATCTCTTTCTAAGAAAGAAAAGAAATTAGAATTTAGAAATAAATTCCTTTAAAAAAACGTATACATGTACCAAAATCAGTCCATGCATTTAAAGTTTTATGAAATTTTAATTCATTAAAAATATTCATTTTGTTTTATTTTTAAGAAAGAAAGAAATAACCAAACCCATATGTACAAAACAGCAGCCAACAAAAAAAATAGCGAAGGCTAAGTTACTTTTATTAACAATCATGTCCGCATAATATCTTCAAATGTTGTCTATTGCCCATGTCATTAAAACCATCTAATTTATATATCAAACTATAGGTAAGAGTGTTCCTCTCGTGCGACCCAACTCCTTACAGTTTCTGGTTCTAGCAGACTGGGGCGGACAAAGCCACGCCCCATACACATCTCGGGTTCAAATGTATGTTGCAGAACAAATGGCTGCGACGGCAGATAAAAGAAATATAAGTTTTGTTATTTCCCTGGGAGACAACATTTACAGAGAGGGAGTGCATGGTTGGTTAAGCGACAGATTTGAGGTAAATTATTCATACTTATAGGGAACTTAAATGAAAACAACTCGTTACTATGTAGCTAATATAATATGACATATTTTATGTTTCCCGACAAAAGTCAAATATCGCGTTTGATTCTTCCAAAGTCACGTCGCGCTTCCTCCACTGAAATCTTTCATATTTGGTAGGTAGATACTTGGGACAGGTTTCTACCTTTGGATTTAGTTTTGGATTACTGGAACCAAGATTGGTAAGTCACATTTGAATGAAAATAAAAATAAAAAAAATTTGAAAAGATCGTGTTTTTTTCTATAGATTAATTGACTGTCTGCATAGACTAGAAAACACACAGACAAATAATTATTTCGAATATTTTGCAGACGACATTTGAGCAAGTTTATTACCAGGAATCGTTACAAGTACCATGGTATATAATTGCTGGGAATCACGATCATTGGGGTTCTATTAGGGCTCAAATAAATCGATCAAAACTGTCCTTCAAATGGTAAAAATTTAGAACATTGTATTATTTTCCAGTTAAATAAATCTTATATTTTGCCAAAAAGCAAATATTCAATTTACGCCATGTATAAAATGATACACATTAATTAAAATGTCATCTCATAAACAGTTTTATCCATGACAAAATTCTTTAGTCAGCAAAATATATTTTATTTGACCCTTACCCGTTTTTAGCCGGGTTGCGCATGCGCAAACCCTAGAGATAGTATGGTGATTAAAGGGCGGGGAAAATTTTTCGTAACAGTTTTCTCAGCAACTACTTATCACAGCCTCTTGATATTTAGCATACACCATTTACACATGGTCCCATACTGAGAGATTTGATTTCAGGTCTGTCGCTCACCCACTTCCTGTTTACCGACTTAGTTAAATTTTCAACATTAATGTTGAATGGTAGGAAATTTTCGTTAACATTTTTCTCGGCAACTACTTAATGTAGCCTCTTGATATTTGGTATACTGTATTAACACGTGGTCCCATACCGTAGGTCTGTCGCTCTTCCATCTCCTATTTACCGACTTAGTAAAATTCTCGACATTAATGGTCAATGATAGGAAATTTTCGTAACAGTTTCTCAGCAACTACATATCACAGCCTCTTGATATTTGGCATACAGCATTAACATGTGGTCCCATACCATGGGGTTTGATTTCAGGTCTGTTGCTTATCCGCTTCCTGTTTACCGACTTAGTTAAATTTTCAACATTTATGGTCAATGGTAAACATTTTTTGTAACATCACAGCCTCATGATATTTGGTATACAAATGCAACCCGGCCTTTTCTGTGTTGGTCCCATCTTTTATTCTTTTGTAGTATTGAAAATAACAACGAATATAAAATACTTTTCCGACAGGCAGATATGGCTATACTTTGTGACAAAGTACATGCTTTTTTATATTCTTTAAAATATTCTTTAAAATACAGATAAAATGTAGATCTTCAGTTTTACGCAAAGTATGTTTGCAATAAACTTTCTTGACTTTTTAGCTCACCTGTCACAAAGTGACAGGGTGAGCTTTTGTGATCGCTTTTCGTCCGGCGTCCGTCCGTCCGTCGTCCGTCGTCCGTTAACTTTTACTTTAAATGACATCTCCTCATAAACCGCTGAGCCAATTTCATCCAAACTTTACAGGAATGTTCCTTTGGTGGTCACCTTTAAAAATTGTTCAAAAAATTTAATTCCATGCAGAACTCTGGTTGCCATGGCAACCGATAGAAAAAACTTAAAATATCTTCTTAAAAAAAACCCAAAGAGGTAAAGCTTAGATATTTGGCATGAAACATCTTCTAGTGAGGTTCTAATTTGAAGTTTGTTCAAATAAAAGCCCTGGGGTCAAAACTGGCCCCGCCCCAGGGGTCATTGTTTTCCCTATATGCATATAGTAAAAACTTAAAAAATCTTCTTTTAAAGAACCCAGAGAGCTAGAGCTATGATATTTTGCATGAAACATCTTCTAATGGGTGTCTACCTAGTTTGTTCGAATAAAAGCCCTTGGGTCAAAATTGGCCCGGCCCCAGGGGGTCATTGATTTTCCCTATATGCATATAGTAAAAACGTATAAAATCTTCTTATAAAAAACCCAAAGAGCTAGAGCTAAGATATTTAGCATGAAACATGTTCTAATGGGTGTCTACCAAATTTGTTCAAATAAGAGCCCTTTGGTCAAAATTGGCCCTGCCCCGGGGGTCATTGATTTTATTTATGTGTATAGCAAAAACTTAAAAAATCTTCTTTGAAAAAACCCAAATAGCTAGAGTTAAGATATTAAGCATGAAACATCTTCCAGTTAGTGTCTTCAAAGTTTGTTCAAATAAAAGCCCTATAGTCAAAATTGGCCTTGCGCCGGGGGACATTGATTTTCCTAATATGTGTATAGCAAAAACTTAAAAATCTTCTTTGAAAAAAACCCAAATAGCTTGAGTTTAGATATTAAGCATGAAACATCTTCTAGTGAGTGTCTTCAAAGTTTGTTTAAAAAAAGCCCTGGGGGCAAAACTGGCCCCGCCCTATGGGTGTCATTGCTTTGAACTATAAGTGTATAGTTAAAACTTAAAAAATCTTCTTTTTTTTTTAAAAAAAAACTCAACGAGCTAGACCTTAGATGTTTAGCATGAAACATCTTGTAATGGGTGTCTATATACTCTGGGGGCCTATATACAGGTGAGCGACTTCAGGGCCATCATGGCCCTCTTGTTATTCATTGTTAATTATTTCTTAGTTTTCCATTTTGTTTTCACTTTTACAAACAAGATCAACACAAAAATTACTTTAATTACATGTACATTTCATTTTATCAAGGACATTCCCTCACGTTTACTATAAGAAGTCATGGATGTTGCCCGGCGGTAAAGTTTTGGATTTATTACTCCTCGATACCACAATCCTTTGCGGCAATACCATTGAAACCCCATACGGCAATCGTGTGCTCGGACCAGACAATGTGAATGCTGCCAACCTGCAATGGTCTTGGATAAAACATAGTCTAAAGAAATCCACGTAACCAATTTGCTTATTTTATAACATTACCGGTCGAGGATCTTTCCCGAACGGGAAGGTAGAGGATTTCTATTTTTTCACTTTCGAGAAAGAAAACGTCCCTTTTTCATATATCCCGGGGAATGGGTTACGGGATTGTCATAGTATATCCATTTTTTATGCAGATCGTTTGAACAAGATCTTAAAACAATACTACGTATACTCAACATCACTAATTCCGCGTCATCACTTATCTCACGGTAATGGCATATTTTCATGTGACCAGTGTTAAAATTGGTCAGAATTGACATATTTTATTCAAACACCTTAACAACAAAGTTTTTGTGCAAAATTATTTAAATCTATAGATTTTTATGTAAAACTGAACAACATTTTACAAACTTCTGCAAAAAACAACAATAGTCCATTAAATTTGTGCATACGTCTGAAACAATCATCATTTCTAAATGTTCTTGTTTGTTGAAAGAATAAATTTTGAGTTACAATGTAAAGATACTTTTAATATTTAAAATTATGCAAAATAACATAAATAAATTTTAACTGAAACATGAAAAAACTGAAATAAAACACCATTACCGCGAGTTAAATGATGACATACTGTTTTCAAAATGGCCGACACACGGTCTACATCTCACAAATTAAAACTTATTTTGATTGAATATATTGTTGCTTCCTTGTGTCATATAGCAGAAAAATGACTAAATGATACAGTTTATGACAGTTTTTGTAGTGTAAGTTTATTGTTTGTGTTCTTTACTGTTTTAAAGTGTTAAGTACCGTGAACTAAGAGGAGCACAGTATAATCTAAAATTTTAACGAGCGCAAATTTTAAAACACCATAAGTTTATGAAATACTGGACCTAAATTTGAAAGATATTGCGTAAGAGTTAAATTTTTCAGCACATTTGTAGCCCATACCTCAAGATATTCGAGAAAGATCCAGGACATAGGGAATCTTTTATTTGCTACGTGCGCACGCAATATCTACTACGTGGACACAGTCATGGTAGATTTTATATGTGCACGCGATAGCTATACATGCGCACGCAATAGAATAGGTGGTGGTGTTGGTAGTTTACACTTCAGATCATGACAGTAAGCCTCTTTGAATTTACCTCATCGTTTCTGTCAAACAGTTTAAAACAACTAGTTACTTTCCCTTTCGCAAAGAACTTATTACTTTTTTACAGCCAAAAAGCAGAGGTACAGTGCGAATGATTAATTACAACGAAAATGACCTGCGCCGTCCGGGAATCGAACTCAGGTCGCCTGGTTCACAATCCAACAGAATAACGTAATCCAACACCGACAGAATAACGTAACCACTCGATATATAGTGCGTGTGCACGCGATAAATAGTGCGTGCGCACGCAATATTCATCACGCGGCCAGACGATATGTTTTACGAGGTCATTTAATACTACATTGTATAATACTATAGCGTGCACACGGAATGCACATGTGTCAGTTCCTCACAGTGATATGATCGGCTTTGCATGATTAGGAGTTTTCCCTCTCCTTCCCCTGTTACGAAAGAGCTTCTAATTATATATTTGTATAAAATGTTATTTCAGAGCTGACTTTCTTCTGGTAGGGGGACACTACCCAGTCTATTCGGTCGGCGACAATGGGCCTACAAAATGCCTCTACTCGAGACTGGAGCATCTTCTTTACAAATACCACGTGACAGCTTATTTATCTGGACACGACCACAACTTACAGGTAGAATAAAAATCACCTTTACTTTAATTTTAACTTATGATTGCCAACAATAGTTCATAAAGAGATGATATTAATAAATTCAATTACAGTAAATAAAATGGCTTCTAATCTAAACATTAATTTATGCAAAACAATAAAAGGTCAATATGGTTTTCTGAGGATTAGATAGATATTAAATGGAGCACATACTAAAGTATATAAAGTTGAAGTTTTATTAAAAAGTTAAATCTAATAACTTTTCCTTGCAGCATATTCAAACGAAAAAAGGCGATCGGAAAATGGACTATTTCGTTATTGGAGGCGGGGCCTGGCCTGATGACTTACAGACTAATCTACAAACAGTTCCAGAAGAATCCTTGAAATTTTTTCTTGGCAAAGATGGTGGATTTGCATTAATAGATGTGACTGCTGAAAGAATGGAATTATCTTTTATAGACAGTAATGGAAATATTAGATACAACTATAATTTATATCCACGAAAATAATTCGTTTTGCTGTTTGCGGCACGTGCAAAATTCGGTAAACTCTGTCAGGTTCCGTGCAACAGGCAACTAGAAGTTCAAATTCTCTGTTACAAATATCACGGTGACGTACACATGATGTTTCGCAGATAAAACGGTATTTAGGGCGTCTTTATGTTTGTTGTTCGTTAAAAAATCCATTCTTTCGCAAGATGGAAGAATCATTCAGCGTTTTTCTCCATTTTTACTCTATCTGTTAGATCCACTGTGATTTAGGTAGGAAGGTCATGTGCAATACCACGTTTGGTTCAAATGCCACAGAACTTAAAAATATGAATTTTAAAGACTTTACATGCATGTGTGGTAATGTGCACGGATCCGTACCCGCTATACCTTAAAGCTGCATGTCCCAGATTGATTCATGCTAATTTTCATGATTTTTTTTTAAAATGTTTATAAAGAAAAATTTTGTGAAGTGAATTTACACATTGAAAATGCTAACAATTCACGTCAATTACCAAAAATAGGTTAAAATATAGCCCTAATGCGTTACCCACGTGACCCATAGAAATATGGTGATATTACTGTCATAAGTCAGGTCATGAAATTGCAGTTCCAGATACAGAAGGATTAGTTACGTAAAATCGTTTAATCTCTTTAGTTTTCTTTAAGACATGTGAGTAGTATTTTTCAAGTTGATTTTTGGCTCAACATCTGGAGGCATGGCGCGTTGTAAAGTGTGGGAGTGGATCCCTCATAACGAAGAGAAACAATTGCAAGGCATTGCCATGGATAGACAATGTTGCAACTAAGTGGTTGCTGGCATAACACATGCTTTTTTAATGTATAAACGATTAATGTGTTGGCCCAGGTTTTAGCGACCACTTATACTATTATCTGCTGACACTGGTAATAAACGCTTATTCTATCTATATCATTATCCTTGTAATAGCGACGCTTATTAAATCTATATTGTTGTCCTTGTTATAGCGACGCCCATAAAAGTCAGTATTATCTTGGTTATAATGGCGTTTATTTTATCTAAAGTATTGCCCTGGTAACAGCGATACTTTTTCAGTCTTTTTCAATCTTTATTGTTGCTCTTGTTATATAGTGACACCCTTTCTATTTATAAAATTACCCTGGTCATAGCGACGCTTATTCTATCTATATATAAAACTGTCCTGTTTTCTGACGTTTTTTCTGTCCTTGCTGACCAGGGTATAGCATCTATATTGCTGCCTTGGTTAAAGATAGTGTCGATGAAGAGTAACTTCCCTTAATAACGGATCGTTCTATACAGTTTGTTGGATCGAATTCAATCTAAGATCGATCTTCAGGTATGATATTAAGCCAGCAATAAGCTGAATAACCAAATGTTTCACATTAATTCTTGTTATTTTGGACGTTGTAAGTAATATAAGTCAGTGAATTTGTAACTACCTCTTATTATCAATGAATTCTTTACCATTTTCTAACATGATTACATTAAATTGTTATTCTTTATATACATGTGATAACAACTGATATTAACTGGATTGTCATGTTTTCTCTGTGTGTGTGTGTTTTTTTTTAAAGAAAAGTGTATTTCCAGTTCTTCTGTGACACAGAATAAAATCTATCTTTATGCCGAACGTAAATGACACGTTTAGTTAGTTATTTGCATGTTGCGATTGGTTCAGAAGCGGTCAAGCGAGTCAGCAGTCACTAAAAATCTTTTGCAGATTACATGTGATGTTTATTTAAAAAAAATGAATAAATAAATAAATAGCATTGTGACCAGTTTGAAGTATTCCCAAGAAAGCTTTGTAAAAAGTGTACACTGTCGGGGGATTTACAGCGTTGGCATAGAAACACTTCTCAATGCATATGATTTGAGTCCAAAATGCTTTCTTCCTGAAGCTTTGTACAATCAACTTGCAAGAGGTGGTCACATTTGTAGCCTTCATAGGGAAACAGGAATGGTGCAGCGCTTTTTAAGGTTTTTGTTTCATAAATAGACCTATACCTCCTGTTCTGATATGTGCCTTTTCTTTACCATTGTTTCAATAATGATACTGATTTAAGTAACGTTGTCTTCCGTCATAGAGTACCTGGAATGTTTTAATTTTACAAAGAAATTGCAGAGAATAATTATGGAAGTCACGTTATTTAATACCAGGATATAGAAGTAAATATACAATATTTTGACGGCATCCATTTGGTGCAATATTTTGTTACAGACAATATCAAGTCAACATTTGATATCTTTATTCTTTTTTTGATTTCTTGATGGAATCTTATCTTGAACCTGTTTAATCTCGGCAGGCTAATGTAAAGTTGTTTTTCTACCACCTTTGATTAATTTGGAATATGTTTACACTTGTTAATATTTCTCGTCTGCTGACATTTTGATTGGCGGTTCATTCGTCGTGTGCTCTCGTGCGCGCGTGAGTGTATCAGAAGTAGCAGACGAATCAACTTATCTGCTGCTGTTGGAATGGTTCTCGTGCATTTTCGGCGTCTTATATCACTATTAGTCTACACGGTGTATCGTTTTACCGAAAATAAAACTACTAAGAGATAAAAGTCCAATTTGTCAGAAGATATTAAGATCAAAATCTGTACGCGCAAACTGAACCTTTATTTCTTATCATCTGATAAAATGGACATTATCAAAAGTAATCTTTACCAATAGAACTTTACGGAATCCATTTGTCAAGCTTGAAAGAGGTTGAACAGACAATAACAAATAAAAGTATCTGTTACTTTACGTTCATCTATCACCAGCTATGTTTATTTATAATCTGTAAAATATTCTAGTTCTTAGACAGTATGATCACGGCTTAAAGTGCTTGCAGTTTTAATTGGGAATTATGGTACTTCATGTACTGATATGTTAGATATCTAAGTTGATCGACAATATCTTTTTGATAAATTGAAAACTTTATTGATCTTACATCTTACATGACAATTTTAATTGTTTTTGTTTCGCGCGTATTCAGTAATCCTTTCAGTTGCTCATTCTTAGTAAAATTCCCCATTCTTAGTAAAAAAGATAGATTTTGTGCATTGATAAAAACGATTGACCGTTTGAACAAGACAAAGAAATTTTGAAACATTGAAAAGTGTCTGTACATTTTGATGATGTTTTTTTTCAATACCCGGATTAAGGAAGAAAATATATATGGTGAAAAATCAGTATTAAATGACCAAATACTTTGAGTTAATCTTATTCTTCATCCACTTTACATTCCTAAACTAAATATTGAATTTTTTCAAAAGTCATAAACTTATTAGATATTGACCGTGTGCTTGAAATACCCTTCCCCTGCTTAACCTTCACCTTGCTATCTACAACAGTAGTTATCCATACCACCAGTGCCGCACTACCGTGTCGCCTGCTCATGATCTGTACTGGTCGCTATTCAGACAGTGCATATTTTGAATTTTTCACTAAATGTGGTGAATAGTTTTGTCCCGATTGAAGTCCATTTCAGCCTACACAATCATTAAAAACTTATACTTGGGTTGTTATCATGCATAAATGTGTCCTCACATATACATATATACTATAAGCTGATAGCTGTGTTTTTTCATGGGCTGTATATAACAATTATTATTATCCTCTTGTTGTTGTTCAGGGCTCCATGGAAGATCGATATTCAAATGTAAAATGAAGTATTTTGAATTATTAATAATAATAATAATAATAATAATAATAATAATAATAAATAATAGTAATGATAATAATAATTATTATAATAATAATAGTAATTATTATTATCATTATTATTATTATTATCATCATCATTTTTATTATTATTATTATTACTACTACCTTCATAGATTAACCTGTAAAGAAAAGATTTCGTCTTTTTTTTCACTGGATGATGATTAACATCAGTAATGGTGCTAGCTAATATAAAACACGCCCCCAAGACGCTCAAAACGTCTTCTTACCTGTTCTATAACATACATAGCAGTATTTCCAGGCTTGTTTGAACAACGTGCTTGTTTGATGTGATTTTAAGGTAAGTTTTGTATTTCTTTTTACAATCAGTTTAGTACAAAAATGTTTTAGAAGTTAAAGAAAGCTAGGCATTCTTTTATTTTGAATGAAGATCTTAAAAATGGATTTTGAGGATTCCACAATAAGATAAACACAACAATAAATCTTTCGTGATTTATTTTAAAACAAAATTTGTTTTCTGTAGTATATCTAAATTTTCAATATAGATTTAAATAATTTTTTAGAGTTTTATATTAACAAAATTTTATGCAATTTGTTTAACCGGAAGAATTTTGATCTTAAATCAAGTTTTATGCATAATTATACTGTACAACACAATTAATAGAATATTTGGTGCTGGCGAGGTAATAAGATGGACATTTTAATCTCTAAAATCTTAAATGAGGTTTCTATTTAACCAGATAGCGATTCACACTGATTTCAGTTACATCCAATTTTTTTATTAAAATAATAATTTACGTTTAAAAAAAACATTGAAGTATCTTTTATTAACACATTATACGTATATAGCCAACATGGATGTTTTTTCATGCATTAGGTATACAAATGGCACGAGCACAGTTAGATCAGGTGTTATACTAGAATAAAAAAGTTTGCAGCAAATACCATGTTTAATCTGTCTGTTTCATATTTATATTCCAATACTAACAAAAGGATGCCGTTATTTTATGGTATCTAATTATTATAATTATTCAAGTTTAAAAAGAAAAAGAAATTGTGATTGTTTTTGTGTTGTTACATATCTTTTCGATGTTTTAGGTTTACGTCATTTAACAATAAGTTAAAAAAAAAGTAAATACGTACATCGCAGTTTTTGCTTTCTTCATAAATAGATTTACGGATATGGAAAAAGAGAAAATACCGGATAATGAAGTGATTGACGAAGACAAAACAATAAAGCAGGAAAAAACAAATTCACGCCGTCTTCTTAGAACACCTAAATGTGCTCGATGTAGGAATCATGGGGTTGTCTCTTGTTTGAAAGGTCACAAGAGGTCATGTAGATGGCGAGACTGCACGTGCCCAAATTGTCTTTTGGTCGTAGAACGACAGAGAGTTATGGCGGCCCAGGTTGCACTGAGAAGGTGAGCTTTTTTTTTTTTATCTAAGATTGATCACAAAGAATAAGTTATATCATATGAAGACCTAATGGAGAAAAAACGTTGTAATGGTAACACATGTCTTGGCTTTCTATAAGATATTTAATGCATGAAAGAATTCATTTTAGCTTCCGCTGAAAGCGCTGACTGGTCAAAAAATGTTACCACTTTCTTCTATAAAAATATTCCTGAACCTCTTTAATATAAATTATATAACACAATTTGTCTGCCTACATTTCATTTCGCAAGACTGATATTTTAATGGCTACATATGCTTAGTGCTTTTAGGCTAATAGACATGTTTCGAGGTAGATTTCACCCATTACTATTAACAGTTAACAATTTCTCTTTTTAGGACATGGGAAACATGTTTAAATATATTTTTTAAATAATTGCTTTAGATGCTTGTTTTATGTAGGAAGTAACACTGAATGTGAAATTATTTGTCATAAAAGTGACAAAATGTAAACAAAATGATTCCCATTCAAAATACTTAATCAACGTAACTGAACTGATTGCTTAAAAACAACAGAATTAAAAGATGGTTCAGGACATTGTACAATATTCATATCTATTTGGAAACTATGCCAGGATACCAGAAATAAATAGAAATAAAACCATACCATAGTAACATGCACGTTAAGCACTCTACATTTCGGGCAAATTCTCGGAATTTAATAGTTTAAAGTTTACAAATGAATAAACCATAAAAAATGAACAAATATATTAAAAAAGCCATTACGATAAATAAGAAGGAAAACAAATTTGTTATTTCATTATCTTGAATAGAATAATCAAGTGATATGCTACCCCTATAAACCAAAAAAATGAAAATTGAATGTCTTATGGTCTTATGTGTCTTCAATATAATAATTTGTAAGTAAAATCCTAAAGCTTATACATGTAGTCTAATAAAGATTTTTTTTAATTTCATCTCAGTATGTCACTAAATTCACATTTCGTTATACCGAACAAACATTTGACTGGTTTAGTCTTGACGCATTGATGAATTTAGGAAAATAAATTTAGAAGTCTGATTTTTACACATTTGAATGAGTTATTTTTTTGTTTTTTTATATCCATAATTGAGCCGCGTCACGACTAAACCAACATAGTGGGTTTGCGACCAGCATGGATCCAGCCCAGCCTGCGCCTCCGCGCAGTCTGATCAGGATTCATGCTGTTCGCTATCAGTATCTCTATTTGTTATAGGGTTGGTAAGCGAACAGCAAGGATCCTGATCAGACTGCGCGGAGGCGCAGGCTGGTCTGGATCCATGCTGATCGCAAACCCATTATGTTGGTTTTGTCGTGACACGGCTCAATTATATAAAACTATACTGCCACAACTATATTGATTATTCTACAAATTGAGTATACAATGAAACATTCAGCGCTTTAAGTTTTTTTTTCTCTATACATGTATTCATTCACAAAACAAAGTTCCGAAATATTTAAAATCAACAGATTCTTCATCTATAACAGTACAAGTCATTTTTTCTCTCCTTTTAGTGCTAAATAAAAAAAAATAACAAAACACCAAGCAATTCCAATTACGATGTCATAAATGTTTCTAATGGTTCTAAGAACTTGCATTCAAGGCATCGTGTTCACTTTAAATAATCCGAATCAGGATGAAATGATCCTGATTTTATTTTCATTACTTTATGGAACTAGCATTGATCATATTTTCTCCTTAAACAAAAGGACAAAACAAAATGTCAAAAAGTGCTGATTTGCAAAGAAACAAACATTTTTTATTACATTGATAATATAAGAATAATCGGATCAAAATATAGATGAATTTTAAGATGAAGATCAATTGTTGGATCAACTGCTAAACGTTTATATCTTGTAAAGTAATATTTTTGCACCAAAATTTAAATTTTCAATTTACGTTTATGGATTAATATTGAAATAAAAATCTACGACAATAAAAAATGGAGAATTTTTTAGTTTTGGTCTTTAGTTAACTCGGGGCCGAGCTATAAAGTTTGAAGCATAATGCATTCTTGCAAATGGAATCATAGTATTCGATCGCAGTCGTTTGTTATAAGCAAAAATAGCATCAACTGTTAAACCCTTTAAAGCAAATCTTCACAAAAATGCAATTCTTTTAAACCTGGCATGGAAATCTAAGAAATTCTGATTTAAATCAAATTTTGCCCAGTTGGAAATGTGTGTCCGTGGTATATACTCCAAGCCGAACATAGTAAATTAAAATTTGATTAGCAAAGGTTCAAAACGCCTTTGTTGTTTGTGTGTTTTAAGCCAAATTATGTATCACATAATGAATAAATTTGTATTCGTTTTACGTTTAATTTTTCATTCCAGGCACCAAGCGTCTGAGAACGCCGAGTTAATGAAGGAGAAAGTGGAATTGGCGGCAAACATACTCAGTAACCGGAAGTCTATCCAACGTAGCGTTCGACAATTAAAGCACGGCACGGGACAGCACGGTTAGTATACATGTAACGTGATATTTTATTTCAAATAAGTTGTTTAATTAGCATTTAGATCAAGCATAACACACACAATCTTTTAGAATGCACTCGTTTCAACAGGATTACCTCACATAGACTCAAGGCCACGAGATAAAAAAACAATGGGTCTGATAGGAGCTAATGCTTATATTTTCAGAGAAGAAAACTAATATAATTCCACCATTACAAAAAAGTTTTTAGATACAACATCATGAATTATAAAATATTTTCTTTCTAAAAATTATAGCTGCTGGGGTCTCAAGCAAGCATATACAGAGGGCAAATTTGAAAAACGACATGTTGAGTGACAGATTGCGTAAACGGCGTTGTTTTGCAGACGAAGAACTAGATCGCACTATTCCGATTGCTTCCAGAGGATTTGAACGAGCGTCCTCTACTGGTAAATCTTTGCTAGACTTCCATACTGCTTCAGCCTGCATGAGCCGTGCTGTCCCTGTAACCGAACGTGTCCTCAATACAGCTCTACATCATACTATAAATCTCAGCCAAATTATACCTCGTGTTACATCAAGCTTGTGTGCTCCGGTTCAGTTACAAAGACAAAGACAGTGTACCCCTTCAACAGGAGATGACATGCGGGATATATATTTTAACAATAAATTCCACGCGCTTCAACATACCGGAACAAATGAGAATATGTTTCAAACACCACTTTTACTGATTCCGGGTCAAACAACGTGGACGGCGTTAAGTAAGAGTTCACAAAGTTTAAAACCAGTTAAGACTTATGCTACCTATACTCAAAGCAAGGACTCAGGTTCTTCATCAGAGAAAAAAATCTGTATATCGAAACAACATGAGATCAAACAGAAAAGTAAAATAAATGTGGACACTACTACCTCAAACCTTAAGTTTTCAATTTCATCAATCTTAGGTCTAAAAGAATGATGTAACAGAATAACCTATTCATATATTTTTACTGAAATCGTTTAATATAAGTATCAGAAAACAACATGATTTTATTCTGGTAGTTTGTGTATTAGATAACTTGTTAATACAATTAGTTTTTCAATTTCCCTTCTTGTTGTTTATTAGAACCCGTTTCTAAGGTACGTCGGCACAAATTTCCTGTAGGCTGTAGTGGAGTATATTATTAGTTTCTATGTCACATTGCTTGCGCTTTATCATTTTAATTTAAAAATAAGCAAGAGGTTTGGATTAAATTGATTATGAAGAAAGCAAGCAACAGGTCTGAAGACCTGTTGCTGGAACTAACCAATACCGGTTACATGGTCCTGGCCCCAGTAGAGTTCCAAGATTGAGAGTAAGACATCTTGATCACTAGACTAGAATGTATTTTGGTAGTATTGATGACTTGTAGTATTCTAGATGGAAAATTGTATCACAGATCTTCTACACACAAAACACAATTCTAATGCTGGTAGTCACACCATACTCAAAATCACTACAATTAACTACTTCTCTAACAAACCAGCTGTTGTGTAAATGGCTACTGTAGAACACTGAACTTCAACATTAAATCAACAAATATTCTAGAAAGATTACTAGTATATTAAAGTTGGATTAGCAAAGGATAAATTAATGTAACCATGGTTATACAATACAAACAACCTAGAAACAATGTGTGATCTGCAATCATTTTACACATTTACCTGTAATCTTCTGTGAGTTGTGTCTCTCATTACTCCACACAGTTTTGTTTATATTTGGAAGCTAATAAGAACCAACTGTAATAAGCTTTATTGTTTTATTGTATTTACTCTTACAAAATACATTAACTAATTCTACATGTCATATTCTAAACAATGAAAATGATCTGTTTATAATGTAGACATATTCCTCCAGTGATAATTATAACAACTTTAATGAGTTTCAGGCAGCTAAGCTTATACCAACATAAAGGTAAAAGGCACATAAATGCTGCCTTGTCAGTGAAAAAAGAAAGATTTTGAAATTTCAGAGATCTTGATATTCTGACTTTTTTTGATTAAATGATTATTTTTTGAAAAAAAGAAGAAGATTTTTTAAGTTCACTATACAAACAAACAAACACACACACACACAAACAAACAAACAAACGCACACACACACACACACACACACAGGTGAATCGCTATATGCCACCGCATCGCAGATGCTGCGGTGGCATAAAAAGAAAAAAGAGCATTTCTAAAAGAATATATTTGAGTAGTCAAATCCAAAAAGAATAAAAAGAACAAAGAAATTGAAAAAAAATGAAATACTACATGTATATGAAATGTTAAGTACATAAAGATTTTCTTCTTAATATAAATGCAAAGAAACAACAACCTATAATAAACTACTTACACTTATTATATTCTTTAAGTATAAATCGAAATCTTATTTAATTAATTACATAATTTTATTTTATTCAATTCTAGACAACATTTTGTTGAGCAGTGACAATAGTTTTTTTTTAAATCCTATCTTTTTACATTTTAACATATCAATGCATTCTGAAAGAAATATCGGCATAAATGAGCAAAAAAAATGTGAAGAAGAAATTGAGCAAAATGATTATTTTAATACATTGTAACTAAATTTTGAATCAACTGACTGTTTATATATTTTCAGACTAATTATAGTGTCAGATCTATACAACTTTACATTAACTTGTTGTGGAGTCTACAATTTTTTAGTATAAAGATTGAAATGAATGAGTGTAGGTTCAATACTGAATTCATTATTTATTAAATGAGTTGAATAAAATTAAACTATGAGAGTCACTGGCAAACATATTTTTTTCTCAACTAGCTCAATTAATTTTGTAATGAGACTACACAAAATATAACATTCTATTTATCACATATCAAACTACACAAAATATAATCACATATCCAAAATGAGAACAATTCATAATCATTTTTTCATTAATATGCTCATTGTTTAAGGCAAATATTTAAGATGTCTTACACTAAAGTTTGCACAACACAAATGATGTCACATCAAAATATTATGCATGGCCTTGCAATACCATTTTTTTAGAGTCACAAAAGTTGCATGAGTCATAAAAGTGGCACAGGTATGTGATAAATATGAAATATGCAATAAATTAGAAACATGATCAATGTACAAGACAAAACAAAATATCACAGACTCATAGAATAGATACACAACAAGATTAATAACCATCTTTATTAAATGATAAAACAATTTTATACATCTACATGAATCCTCCTCAATATAATTTCTTATCTTGCCATCACCTCATCCAATTATATAATGTATTTTATGCATGTAAAAGCCACATCAAAAGATTTAGTGCAATATAAGGCTATCTAAATTCTGTTCATTGAAAGGCCAATATAAAGGCATTATTTAAAAAAAACATGGCTTAACATTTATCTGAAAGTCAACACTAAAACACTCAAGTATTATTACAATACAAAAGTATAAAGTATTTTTCAATTACTTTAGTTTAAACACATTTATCAAAGCTTGATTGTAATGAAAGCTTTCAGCTAATATGAACTTAAATGAATTTTCATACAAATAATTATTTTTAACTTAGTATGAGAGTAATTCCATCTTATTTCAATATCACAATATGTACCTAGTTGTCAAACAGGATTTTTCATTTGTTTGGTTGGATTTTACGTCAGACACCAATGGACACCCCGAGTAGAACCACCGTCATTCCGTAAGCTAACTGATTAGCTTCCTTACATCAAAGAACCCAAAGTCCCTGTCGGGATTCAAACCCAAAACGGTGAAGGACAAGTGGTTTGAAGTCAACAACCTTAAGCACTTGGCCACATATGACCCAAAAGGGAATTGAGGTACATACCAGAACACATTTACAAATATCAATTGTCCAAAAACTAGAACAATTTATATATTGTATATATATGCTCTCCCACATGAATCATTCTTGCAAGAGTGAAACAACCGAACATTCATAGAATAACACAATTATCTGAAAAGGTATAAGAAACCCACACACAGTTCAATTGGGTAAAAAAAATTTCAGCACATATTGTCATAGTAACAGCTTGTTGATAATGAGAAAATCTAGTACATGTACAGATATCTATTTATATTCTATATAGGTCTATATTGATTGCTACCACTCTAAATTCTGTGCTATATGTATATTTTTTACAGTCAAAATTGTGCAGTCCTAGTCAAAAATAGAGATACAAGCTAGAAATGCAGAAAGGTTTATGGAAATACTGCCACATAGTATCATTATAAAACCTTAAAATCTTTATCATTTAAAACCAGTCTATGAGATGTTGGCAAGTTAAATTTGTAATATTTTGTAGCAGACAGGGTGTTTTGGTATAGGCCTACATCAAATGGTGTATTATAAAAATTCTGAAATATTATTTCCAGATTTGTTATGTCAAAGAAACCTCAGTGAAGTCTCTTCACTACAGGTGAAACATATTTAAATAAACTCAAGAATTACAATAATATCTGAATCTTATTTAACAACAACCTTATACAGGAATATTTTGTCATATATTAATGACACCTTTGTATTTACATGTTGTGGAATATCATAGTAATTTCAATATTTTCACTTTTTAAATTACAGTACAGATGTTGGTAAATAAAATAAATGGTAAAAAAAGGTTACAGATACACACAATGAAAATCTCTTGTGCCACTATACATATATTCTATTCTGTCATGGCTTTTATCAGAATTCCTGACTGTCATTTTCTGTTTCCTGTGACTTTTTTTTTTGTTTTCCCTGTGTTTTTATGTATATATCTACACTGGTTTATGTTATGGAAGTATGCAAGGTTAGTTAAATCATTTTAGGATATTTTCTGTACAAGCAACAGACCAATCACTGAGTTCGTTCTTTGGCAACAGATGGTGGGCAATCTGAAAAGACACAAAGAAAAACAAACTAGAATTATAATCTTATTAAGGCCATCATCCATAAAAACAGATAAATAGTTTTTAATCAAATAGGCCAGTCACAAGTTCATTGCTCTACTGTAAATTCATTCCTTAGAGAGAAAACATTTTTTCTTATTTTTTCTGAATTTCAACAGTTTTTTAGAGTATCAATTTAAATTATAACTTTTAAAACATTTATTAGAATACAGAAAATGATTTTCTTCTTTAATTCACACAGTAATTCATTTTGCAAACTCTTTGGCATATGAAATGTATAGGTGCCGGTAAACAACCTTCATATTCTATATATAACTTAAGGAACATAAAAACCAAACTACCAATACAATATAATAATTTTGACAATACATGACAAAATGCCAGTAAAACATAGCACATAACTTTTCTAAGTATTTGCTTGGAAAATAAGCTGACCAAAGGAGAATAATTCAGTGAAAAACAATTCTAGTAATGGGTCTTAGTCAGTGACCTACAAGTATGAAGTTTCATTGGTTGTTAAGACAACATTAGGCGTATAAACATTAATTTTAAAAATTCACAGCTATGGGTCTTGGAAAGTAACCTACAGCCATCATCCTGAATATATGATTTAAGCTTTAAATGGATAACTTCAGTTGTGAATAAGACATCCCGATACATGATAAAAGTGTTTATTAAATGCAAACACAAGTCAAAAACTAGTTCAGCAAAAAATTTAAATACTGCTAAATCTTTCTTTGGCTGTCATATACAGTATTTTGTTAAAATTAAGTTTACCAAATATTTATCTTCGCATTCTAAGTTTGGTGACAGCTTGTGTCATAAACATGTTTTTTGTTGTTTTTTTTTCAAATCAAAACAACATTGTACCAAGATGTTCACATGACTGCTTCATTTTCCAGTACACAGAGTTCATATAGGCATAAATTTTTTAATAACATGAATACAAAACTAGAAATGTGTCCATAGGACACGGATGCCCCCACACGCCACTGTTCTGTCAATCTTATGACTCTAGGTCAAATATTTTTTGGACTACATGTGCCACAAGTTGAAAACTAAAAATCGACAAAGGGCCATAATTCTGTTAAATTTGGTCGCAGCAAAAATTCCTTCCTTTACTACCATCTACACATTAAGGTTGTTAATCCCTGTAAGATTAAGCAAAATCTGCCATCCGGTTAAAGAGGAGTTGCGTTCACAAAATTTCTACATAGTATATAATGAAAAAATCAACAAAGGGCCATAATTCTGTTAAATTTGGTTGCAGCAAAAATTCCTTTCTTTACTACCATCTACACATTAAGGTTGTTCATCCCTAGAAGTTTAAGCAAAATCTGCCATCCGGTTTAAGAGAGTTGCATTCACAAAATTTCTACATAGTATATAGTGAAAAAATCAACAAAGGGCCATAATTCTGTAAAATTTGATCGCAGCGAAAATTCCTTCCTTTACTACCATCTACACCTGAAGGTTGTTCATCCCTGTAAGTTTAAGCAAAATCTGCCATCCGGTTTAAGAGGAGTTGTGTTCACAAAATTTCTACATAGTATATAGTGAAAAAATCAACAAAGGGCCATAATTCTGTTAAATTTGGTCGCAGCAAAAATTCCTTCCTTTACTACCATCTACACATTAAGGTTGTTCATCTCTGTAAGTTTAAGCAAAATCTGTCATCCGGTTTTAGAGGAGTTGCGTTCACAAAATTTCTACATAGTATCTAGTGAAAAAATCAACAAAGGGCCATAATTCTGTTAAATTTGGTCGCAGGAAAAATTCCTTCCTTTACTACCATCTACACATTAAGGTTGTTCATCCCTGTAAGTTTAAGCAAAATCTGCCATCCGGTTTAAGAGGAGTTGCGTTCACAAGATTTCGGGACGTACGGACGGACGGACGGACTGACGGACGGACAAGTGCAACGCTATATGCTCCCACATTGTGGGGGCATAAAAACTAACGTGGTGTAAAAACTAAATACAGTCAGTGAGGTTAACCTTAAGAAATGTACACCTCATAGAAACAAACAAAACTTGAAAACATTTCTATAGCCAGTTCAAGTATAAACATTACAAACATTTGCAAATGACCCATTATAAAATATAAGTATCCCTGCCCTTGATTGACACTGGCCCTGTTTAAGACATCTGTCAAGTATTTTGATAATATATCACAGATTTATAGAGAATAACATGCTACTGTCTTTTGATATCAATTTTATCAGGCGAGGCTGATATGGGCTAGAAAGGGCGAGGCTTGCCGAGCCCTTTCTGCCCATATCAGCCGAGCCTGATAAAATTGATATCAATAGACAGTAGCATGTTTTTCTATTTATCATGTAACACATAATAACTGTCAAAATAACAAAATAACCCACTTGTAAATAGCGAATTTCGTTAAAAAGGGGGTTTTTTGTTCAAAGAAATAATTCTTGAAAACAAATTCCTCCGCCCCTGAAATTTAGAATTTGAAATTGGCGGCCATTTTTTCTTTCGACTCTGATAAAAGATATGTTTCAGAATGTAGGCCTAATACGATAACATTCTTACCTGTAATTTAAACATCGATCCAAAATCCGCTTAGAATCACATAAACTAAACTTTACTGCAATTTTTGTCTTGAATTGTCAAATTCAAAAGTTCACGATAATTTCAATCAAAGAATAGTCAAATCGGCAATCAAACACAAGCTACACAAACATGCGTCTTATTTTTTAAACGAAACAATTTGTTCACTTATTAAATAATAATCCTGCGAAATAAAGTAAACATTTACAATTTCTCAAAGAAAATCGTCTAGCCTGTTTGTTATGATTACATGTATAGTATGACGTGAACATCGATGATGTCATTTGCAATATAAATTATGACGTCACTTCATTTAGTTGGTGCTAAAACTATTCGCTATCTAATTCATTCGTAATTGAAATCGAAATAATAAATAAATAGATTTCGCATATTGATTCAAGACTTGTAAGGGTATGAGATTACATTGTAAAATTCACATGCTGATGAAAATGAGAATATAAGCAATTGAAAAAAGTCCGTTAAAATGGGCGGGGCTAATTTTTGATATCAGGTTACTGACGTGATATCAAAAATAATTATCAGGCAAGTGTTATCGGGCAGTTACCATAGCAGTTGCATGATAAAAAAAGTTATCAAGCTAAGAGGTTAGTTCACAAACACAACTTGACCTTTGACCTCAAAGTCCAACATTGACTTTGAAGTTGCAGACATAGGTCTTGCACCTGGCACATCGTCTTAGATGAAGATATATGCCTTATAATTTAACAATCCATTAAGTAATAACAGTTACAAGACAAACAGGATTTAACCTTTGACCTCTAAAGTATGACCTTGGGTGGACATGAGTTTTGCAGAACACAATACACTGACAGTGGCTAAGACATATGTCCAACATTTCGAAAATACATTAAGTAATGACAGTAATTAGCTGGACAGGATTTGACATTTGACCTCCAAGTATGACCTTGACTTTGAAGGTGTGGACATGCATATTGCACACAACACATTGTTTACTTATGGTGATTGTGTGCACCAATTTCCTTTGAAATGCCATCATGCATGCAGGCATAATAAGCCATTATAGACAGGATACAAACTCCAGCTGCACAAGTTAATTTCCTTGTTGTGACCTTGACCTTTGAGCTAGAAATCTGGATCAACCTTGTGACACATTGTCCCTTCCTGGTGATCAAGTGTATCAGTTTAAAGTGAAATCCCTTTATGCATACAACCTTATGGACCAGATACAAGCTCTTACAGCACTTGAAACTATAATCACAAATTTATACAAAAAGTTCAGTATCTTGCTGTGACCTTGACTTTGAGCAAAATACCTGTTATTTTTGCATGTGACACATTGTTTACTTATAGTGGTCTTATCTGCCAATTCATTATGAAATTCCATGATGCATGGAGAAGTTTTTGCCCAGAAACAAACCCTAACAGCACTTCAGCATGTACGAAAAACACACTTAGTTCCATACCATGCTGTGACCTTGACCTCTGAGCATAAGACCCGTATTTGCACAATACACATCCTCTACTTATGATAATTATGTTTATTAAACCCTCCAATTTTATGATATGGTCATAAAAAGGGAACTTTTATTTTTTACATTTTCAGCTTTATTTACATTTAGCATTTTTTAAAATGATACTAGAAATATATGGTTAACTTACCGCCATACTTTGTGGCTCGAGTTCTACAGTATGATCTAGACTGGGTCTATTACTGACAACATTTTTACTTCTACTGCAGTTCACTTGTAAACTTACATTACTTCTAGACTGTAGAAACAAAAACATTAGGTAAGAAATAGACTGGTCATGTAGTGTAAAAATAAAATGAAAATGGAAAATAAATGCAGTAAATCATTATGCATCAATTTAAGGACATTTTACAGTAGGAAAACTAAATTCTATTTTTGGTGTTCTACAACAAGACATTATTCCAACATGAATAATGATTTTTATCATAATCAGTTGATGTTGTTTAATGCTGTGTACAACAAAAGCTATAGCCTTGAAAAAAATGTCATTTATTTTTCATCTTATTTTTATTTTTACAATGCTAATCAAGTAAGTATAGGACAAGTGCAAGTACATAAAAACATTATGGCGTAAAAACTGTGTATATAATAAAGATAAAGCCTTACTTTGTTATCTATAACAATGGTGGCCTTCAGATCAGTCTTATCTGTGTACATGTACAGATCTTTCATATTGCGTATCTTTGTTGGCTCCTCCTGTAACAGTATATTCAAGTTAATATATTATACACTGTACTGATAGCTAAGAGATTTAAATGAATTACAAAATGTTTGTTTTAAAATGAAGTTATCTAGCATTTAGACTTTTCTATTATATGGGACTGCCAGTGATAAATTAAAGATTTAAGAAAACAACTGTTGCTATTCTTCAAATATAAGGAACTTTATACTTCAAGTATGCTTTTTTTTTTTTGGAAATATAAGAAATATTGAAAAAAGTAAGTCATTGTCAACAGTTTACCCTTATATCTATTTATAATAAATCATTGTAAACTTACAGCTCTTTCAATAATATACTGGCAAATTTCTGAGACAAATTCCCTCTTGTCCAGTGACTCAATTCCTGTCACTTTAAAACTAGGTTTCTTTCTCCCTGACTCCTCTACATATACATCAATTCTATATGGACATGCCTGAAATACATCAAACAACATTCTTCTGTTATCATCATTATTGTAGAATTTATACACTTAATTAAAGTGATTCAATGTTTTAACATGCCCATGAATCAATTCAATAGCTTCCATACAAAATCATTTAGAAAATAAATCTTTCACTCAAAAAAAGAAAACAAAGAAATTAAACCAATATTTTTCTTATTAAAACTGATAAAGATATTAAGTTTTGTATGGAAAGCAATAACTATAAACGAGAGCTGTCAGTAGGACCACACAATTAACTCATCTCAACAACAACACAACAACACATCTTTTATTCACTCAAACATGCATACAACATGTAATATGAGGATAATGTCAAAATATTTAACGAGGCATTTATACAAATTGAGATCAGAATATAATTACTAAACAATATCAACATATCTATTACATATTATTAAATTATATGCATATTTTGCTTAGGAAACAATTTTTTTTTTTTAACTTATTAAGAAAATGCAAACCTGAATTTTACAACATTCAAATACTGCTTGAACAGAATGTAAGATATTTATTACTAGGAGAATGTAGCTATAAATGTGATATAATTTGTCATAAAAGTTGTAAAATTAATAAAAGTAATATTTTAACTTCCATACAAAATGCTTATTTACTATACTTGTATTTATTTCTAAAAAAGCAAATTTTGAAATGGAAGATGATTCATGAAATAAACCAGTGATTATTCGTTTAATACTATAAAAGTACAGCAAAAACTTATTCTTATGAGAAATAAAAAAAAAGTATATGTGAGGTATAAAGGACCTTTGCTGTATATAGTAAGAAAGTGGTAAGTGAATATCATTAAAACAAAACTATATCTCAGAACATTACAAAATAACAACTGACTTTAAAATGAAAACATAAATATTTGATTACATTCTTACATTTCTTATAATAATCATTAAGAATTTGCATAGTTTATAAAATGCAGGCGAATCTTTCATTGTAAAAAGTTGTTCTAATTTATACATATTAGGAAGTCTATAAAAATATGGTTTTATAAATTGTCTTCTTTCATTAGCAAATCTATTACATTCGAAAAGATAATGAAACTCATCACCCATTATATTTCTACAAAAAATGCACATTCTTTCATTGACAGGTATATTTGACCAATTTCCAGTTTCAACTGGTAATCTATGGTTTCTTGTTCTGAATTTGACATAATTAAAAATCATTGCATTTTGGGAGTACGAAAGATAAGGTTCTATTCCAAAAGATTTTTTAAAAATTTTGTAAAAAGAACTATTGCTCGATTCATTTATCTTTGAATACCATTCATTTAAGAAAAGATCTTTTAGCTTTTGTTTTACTGTTAATTTTAACCATTTGGTACCGGGAAAATCATGATCAATCCAAACATTGTTGATTCCGCATTTTATTAGTATTGATTTTAAATTATAAATCCACGGATAATTACGTTCAAAATCATTATCATTAATATCTACTGTATTTCTTAGCATATGACGATATACAAAGTATGATAATTTATTTGGTAGTAAACCATTTTCGTTCTGAAGGAGACGCGCCCAAAATGAAACTATTCTTTCTCCGATATCTACATACAATGGCATGCATCCCGTTTCACCGTATATGAAATAACTGGCCGTCGAACGTTTAAGTTTAAGGATATGTTTTAAAAATTTGAGTTGTACGCGTTCAATAATGTCAAGATTACCGTATCCCCAGATTTCAGAACCATAAAGTAATATTGGTTTAACAGTTTTATTAAAAAGTTCAATTTGTAAGTCAATTGGTAAATTTAATCTATTTGAATTTCTTATCAGGCTGTACATCGATCTTGTAGCTTGTTCTGCAATATGTGTCTTAGTTTTAGCGAAAGAACCACTTCTATTAAAAAATATGCCGAGGTATTTATATTCATTTACTATTTTGATTTGTTCATTTTTATAAGTGAAATGATAATTTCTTTGTCTCCCTTTTGAAAATACAACTATCTTGGTTTTAGAAATATTGACTGTAAGTTTCCAAATATTGCAATATCTTTCATATGTATTAAGCGCTTCTTTTAAGTCATTTGCTGTCTCGGCCATAATAACAGTGTCATCTGCATATAACAGAATAAAGATTTGTAAAAAATTGTAAAGCTCGTTTATATTCTGATCATTATGAAGCAAAATTCCACGTGTATTACTATTATTTTGAAAGAAATCTTTAAGATCATTCAAATACATCGAGAAGAGCAAGGGAGATAAATTTTCCCCTTGACGAACACCTATATTACATGAGAAAAAGTTAGATAGTTGACAATTTACCTTCACACATGATTTAATTCCTTTGTACATATTTTGTATAACCTGAAGACATTTACCTTGTATATTAGCATTAATTAATTTTTCCCATAGACCATTTCTCCACACAGTATCAAATGCCTGTTTTAAGTCAATAAAATGAGCAAAATAGTTTTTTTCCGGTATTATTTAAATATTGAATGATATGGTGCAGAATGAATATATTATCTGAGGTTGAAAAACCTTTTCTAAATCCTGCTTGTGTGTTATTAACAATATCATTTGACTCTACATAATCAGTGATTCTTTTATTTAATATGCTTGTGAAAACTTTGCCTAGGCAACTTAATAATGTAATTGGTCTATAATTTTCTGGTTTAACAGGATCACCCTTGTTTTTATAGATTGGATTGATGATTCCAACTGTCCAGTGTTCTGGGATTAAACCCGTATCAAGCACCAAGTTGAATAATTTGACATAAACATGTTTCATCAAAGAGAGAGAGGCCTTAATCTGTTCATTTACTATGTTATCATAACCACTCGCTTTGTTATTTTTTAGATTATTAACTGCTTTAACGACTTCATTGTTATCAATAGGCATATTGAGTAAGTTATTATTATTATTATTATTATTGTTATTATTATTATTATTATTATTATCATTATTATTATTATTATTATTATTATTATTATTATTATTATTATTATTATTATTATTGGTACCTACATTGCTTTCACCTGTACTATAGTTTACTCCTTTGAAATAATTGAATAAATCTGTTATATTTGCTTCAGTTTTATTTTCCTTTTTGCCTTTTAAAATTTTCCAGTATTTTCTAGAGTCATTGCCTTTTATTTTCCTTAACTTGTAAACATTAGAATATTTGTTTTTGTCATGGAATTTCTTCATTGTATTTTTGTATATATTTGCTTTTTTTCTAAGATTTTCTTTTGTTTCATTGTTTTTCCGAAGTTTATATAAGTATTTAGCAGTATGAAAATTTCTTCGAGCTTTCTTACATTTAGGTCCGAACCACGAGGGATTAGATTTATTGCTTTGTGTATCATTTGTATTATTATAATTTAATTTATAGCCAAAAGCTGTACGTGATGTATCGATGAAAAGAGTTGATATTTCGTTAACTAACATATTTAGATCATTTTGACCGATGTCGTCACTTAATATAATGTTATCAAGACTGCTGTTTAACATTTGTATTTTATTTTGAGCAATGATATTGATAAAGTTATCAGCCCTTTTTTGATCCCAAAGCTTCACAGTCGGAGACTCATAGCACTGTGTTTTGATTAGATTATTTAGCTTAAATGACAATTTCAGTTCAACCGAACTATGGACGTCTGAAAATAACGGGCAAAAATCACATACCTGTAGGGATGTGACATACTTGAATATTTTCGAGTTACAAATAAAATAATCAACTGTACTCAGTCCTTTACAAGTAACTTTTCCAGGCATGTCATTAGTTGTACGGCCATTTAGTATATATAAGTTATTAAGATTTAAAAAATCAATAAGCTTACTTCCATATGTATTCAAAGTTTTGTCGCAATTTACCCGCAACTTATGTACGTATAAAGAACTATCAAATCTGCTCATTTCTAATTCATATTCGTCGGCGATATCATCTAAATGCTGACTTTCGAAAAGTTCGGTATCAAGCGTTATATAATCTTTTAGACTTTTAGTTCGAGAATTGAAATCTCCAAACAAGCATATTGAATCATAATTTCTAGAGAATACGTTTAGTTCTTCTTGAATTTCTACATAAGGCTCATTTACAGCATAAATAGAATTATATGGTGGTATATAGACTACTGCGCATAGTATGTCTGTTTCTAGATTACATAATTCTTTCGAAATGGTAAACCATAGTGCCAATTTACTGTCTGATTCTTTTATGTTGATATAATTAGAGATATCATTTCTTACAAGCAGAGCAATTCCTCCACTTTTTTTATTCATGATAGACTTCCTATTTTTCATAATAACGTCAAAACCGGGAACGCTAACGTAACTCAAATCATCACATTTAGTTTCCTGTACTGCTACTAAACAATATTTATTAAATAAATTTAATAAATAAATGTCAGTGCTTGACAATAAATAGAATAGGATAGGATATAACAGAGGGGAAGATTTCAATCAAGATACATGAAATAGTTATGAGTCCTGGGTATTGACCAAGGAAATTTGTAAGTTCACAAAGAGACACAATTCATTTAAAATCTATTGAGAAATCCGCTGGGTGGAGAGACAGATATTTATATCACTAAGCCATCTCTCTCCTTATCCTACTGAATTTGTATCATGGCTCTGCCTTGCTTTGAATATTTCAGACAGTTTATTCAAATATGTTACAGGAATTTAAATCAAAATACATACATAGAGCTACCAATAGAATAGAGTCTTGTCAGACTGCTGACATTAAAGTGGCAAATACTAATTACTTTCTGCTCCAGCAAGTTAAAGTGTTAGAATCACAAACTAAACTGACCTCATCCATGATAAGAGCTTTGTTCATGCCCATACTGGTAAGTGTAATCCAGAGATCTTCAACATCACCCTGTGAATCTTCTGCTTCCATCTCATTTAACTCTATAAACCCTTGTTTTGTTATCTCACCATTCTCCAAAGCTGTCTTCTCTGAATAAATATAAATACAGTATATAAATGTTTCAGAACACTTGGGAACAAGTTTAAAACATGGATTTAGTCTGGAAGAATGAAATTCTTGTAGAATTCAAAATTAAAGTTTATAAATATAAAGCTAAATCTGTCATAAGATTATGGAAACAATATAATTTTGATGCTCAGAAAATTTTATAATTTTTTTTATCATTAGATATAGCTTGATAGTTTAAGAAATAAACTATAAATTGCTAAAAAAAACACACACACAACCCCCCACCCCCAACAACATTGAATTTACTAATCAAGTTTCATAAATGAGCTTAAAGTATGTCTTCTCTTTTTGCATATCTGCAGATATTATTAGTACCTTAAAAGGCAAGGCAGAGCATATGACACCCAATATCTGCACTTAAAAATCTTTCCAGATAATACAATACATTTGTGTATGGGACAAAACAACACATTTCATATGTCCACTATAACATCCATTTTTAATTAACTGGTATGTTTTATCACAAATTAAAGATGAAAACTGTTGAACTGTATCCTTTTTACCTTCAACAACTTCCCATTCATCCTCTCCTAGTTCCTCTCCACTTGTGCGTAAATTGAACCAATTAAATTCATCTTTACTCATAGTTCCATTATCATCAAGGTCACAAAGGTCAAATATCTCTTCAAGAGCTCTCCTGAAATAGTAGTTTGACACCTTATAAAAATATGTTTATTATAATGCTATTTTTTTTAATTTTCTGATAACAGGTACCTTACATTAATCTATATATCTGCTTGCAAGCTTATTAACAAAAAAAATCTTACATCATTTCATAAAAAGCTAATCCTAGCACCATATAACATCAAAAGTATCTTTGTTTCTTAAATGTGTTCAAATGAATTAAAATTTAAACTTGTGTACTTAAAAGCCATTTAAAATCTTTTACACATAAGTAAATCTTAATCTTATTTTCCACTTACATAAAAGCCTGAATATTTTACATGCAAAATCTTATCTACCTTAAATCTATTATAAAATACTACTAAAGGTTTGTACATTTTACATATAAAAACTTATATATCGAAAACCTTGAATATTTTTCACATTAAACCATATCAACCTAGAGTTTGAATATCTTCCACAAAAAAAAACTTGCATATAATCCATATAAAATGTTATATATCTAAAAGCTTGAATATTTCTTTATCACACACCCGTGCCGATTTTGCGACTCCGTAAATATGGTATTGCACGGCCGTGCATATATTTTGACGTGACGTCATTAGCGTTATACAAACATAGTGTAAAGACGCGCTAAATGTAAGCGTTATACTATAGGCGCATCAACGAAAAATGACTCTTATTTTCACTTTAAAGGTCTTTATTTTGGGTATGTGATAAATAGAATATTAAATTCGTGTAAGTTCATTACTGAATTTATTGCACTCGTTGAATAAAATAATATTATGCTCGCCAGAGGCTCGCATAATATAATTTTATTCAACTCGTGCAATAAATTCAGTATTGAACTTACACTCATTTAATATCCTCTATATATCAAACCCTTTTACAAATAGATGCTTGAACAATTACCTAAAAGCAGCAGTAATAACAACTTTATCATCTTTGGTTTTGACCAATTTTGATTCTTTCATTTTCTCTTGTAAGGCCTCAGATCTTGGCTTGAACCTGCATCCTGTGGTATAAGGTAACACCTGATACTCCCCAACACTGAGCTCACACTTTACACCATATGTCTGAAACAAATGGAGATAAATTTTGACCTTATATTCACAATTTTGACTGTTTTACATCAAGTGTACAGAGATCTGCCGAGGACGCGATTTTGCGCCATTGGCGCTAAAAAAATGAGAATGGCGCAGGAAAATCGGCAGCAAAGGGCCATGGGCGCATCTAAAATCTGTGCCAGACTTATAAGAAAACAAAACTGTCTGCTGGTTTATTTAGTCATCCAGTCAAAACTGGTACCAACAGCAACATGTTACCCATGCTCCTGTAATTACGCATATTCTTGAGTTTATCCATTCCTCTATAGCTTTTGTCAATGTTATCTACTTACTGCATTTCTTCTCATACTCCCTTTCCCACACAGATACTCATTTTTACTACCGTAAATTTAATCCAATAAAACAAACAAACAAATTATACAACTACTTAACATTTAAAATGATTATCGGTAACTGAAAAAAAAAGTGTTGCTATTTTAAGAAATGCTGTAAGTTACAGCATAATCTGACAGGTGTTCAACATGATCAACCCTAAGGTCACTCAAGTTCACGCAAGTTTTGGCTGATGAAGTGTAAAAAAAGATGTATATTTCGTCATCAGAATGTTTGACAGGGTGATTAACCAATCAGAGAAACATTGTGCATGACTTTTTTCATGATCAAAAGGTCTGTCGGCAAATGTCTTTGATGTATGCTGTCTACACAGAGGCATACAAGGGGCAATAAAATTCGTCAATATACAGTGGTAAGGGACATTTGGTGCAAAGTAGGAACAATTAAATGGATAATGCACAATATAAGACATTACAAGTAAGAACCAGCAATTATGTGAATAAATTTGCATATCAAATTTTTGAGCAGCCATTTAAAAAATATTTTAATTTTTGCCCGCAATTAATATTAGTTAGAAAGTTACCATGTAGGCATAATTTTTAATTATTGGTAAAGTACTGAATTATAAGTGAACCACTTGTCATAAAATATGATTTAAGTTTTATTACCGGGGAAATTCAATTATCTACAAACTTTTTAACAGTTATTTTGGTCAATGTTTACTTATTTTCCCAAGGCCCATACTTTGGTAAAAATGGCCCATCATTTTCAGACCAAGTGGGCCCAGGGCCCAGTACTTTCAAATTCTTGGCAGATCTCTGAGTGTACAAATCAACATGATTAAGATGTAGGAATATTTTTAAGTGGAATCTATTTCAGCTCTAATGGTAATCTTTTTCTATATATAATTACATATCATTTATTGTTTTTTTGCACTGTACAACCAGAGAATGAAGTATCATTTTAAGTTTCGTCTGGATTGTAATGAAACAATTTTTCTTCTTTAAGCTCATGTAACCATATTGCTCAATGCACAGAACAAAGATCAATCATACTTGGTTACACCAAAATCTGCCCAACATATAGTATCTCTCCTTACCCCTTTTGTATCCCTGTTTTCTGTACAAGTCACAAATTTACCCCTGCTGTCAAATATATAGAGTGCAGTATCTATTGGCTCTGTTCCAGGCAAATCCACTGAAAATATTAAATACATGTAGTGTCATATTTTTAAACTACGTCTTTTATAAATCATCATCATCACCAATCATCATTGTCATCAACAACCAATCATCATCAAAGACCTATCATCATCAACAACAGCATCATCACCACCACAACCACCACCATCATCATCATTATCATCAAAACAAAATCCAACATTATTTCAGATACTGTAAGCAGAGCTTTTGCTGATTCATCCATTGAATTGTTTTACTCACTTGCCATCTCACAGACTGGATCTTATTATCTTTAGATCCATTGAATATCAATATCCACTATGTAAATAGTCATTTGCAAAAAAAAAACCTCTTTGATTTTACATTAAATTGTAACATTTATCTCAATAATGACTTTTCACATGAACAATATCATCAAAATCAGTACACCATGATCTTTACTAAATATAAAACAATGAAATAATCTTACAGCAGGCAGGTTCTTGTATAGGATGTGCAGAGAGGTACACACTACTGTCCTCGGTCAGCTTCAAACTGTAAATATGACTTACTATCTCTTCCTCCTCATAGAAAAAACATCCTTTACTTGTATAATGCATCCAATCCTATATCAAATAAATCAATAACAGCAATGTTTGTGTGTAGGATTTGATATTACGTACAAGTAATTTAATGAAACAAGTATGTGAAAATGTTATGAATAACAGTCTCAGCAAGGCTTACAGGTTTTGTCCTGAACAAGTTTTATAAATGATTTCATCACATATGTCTTCTGCTTTTCCATAACATCAATATGTCTGTTTTTCATATATACATATTTTAGCATTGTTGAAGGCTGTTTTGTTACTGTGTGAGGCATCAGGTTTGTTTAAACCCCAAAACTTTTAAAATTGTTAGAATAGTTGTTGATTTACGTTTGATAATCACTGAACCTAAAAGAGAACAAGAGCTGTCGGTAGGACAGCAACGCTCGACTATTCTTAGTGCTTGATTGTAAAAAAAGATGCTTGATACAGTTACCTCCTCCTGTTTACAGGTTGAGGTCATGATGGTGAACAAGTGTGCAAAGTTTCAAAGCCATATGTCAATGGACTTTGAAAATATTTGAACTATTACAAAAACTTTAACATAAATTCTAAGTCAAACAAGAGCTGTCGGTAGGACAGCAACGCTCGACTATTCTAGTGCTTGATAGTAAAAAATAATGCTTGATACAGTTACCTACTCCTGTTTACAGGTTGGGGTCATGATGGTGAACAAGTGTGCAAAGTTTCAAAGCCATATGTCAATGGACTTTGAAAATATTTGAGGTATTACAAAAACTTTAACGTAAATTCTAAGTCGAAAAAGGGGCATAATTCTGTCAAAATGCTTGATAAAGTTACCTTCTCCTGTCTACAGGTTGGTGTCATGATGGTGAACAAGTGTGCAATGTTTCAAAACAATATGTCAATGGACTTTGAAAATATTTGAACTATTACAAAAACTTTAACGTAAATTCTAAGTCGAAAAAGGGGCATAATTCTGTCAAAATGCTTGATACAGATACCTCCTCCTGTCTACAGGTTGGGGTCATGATGGTGAACAAGTGTGCAAAGTTTCAAAGCCATATGTCAATGGACTTTGAAAATATTTAAGGTATTACAAAAACTTTAACATAAACTCTAAGTTGAAAAAGGGGCATAATTCTGTCAAAATGCTTGACAGAGTTACCTCCTCCTGTCTACAGGTTGAGGTCATGATGGTGAACAAATGTGCAAAGTTTCAAAGCCATATGTCAATGGACTTTGAAAATATTTGAACTATTACAAAAACTTTAACATAAGTGGTTACGCGGACGCCGACGCGGACGCTCGGGTGACTACAATAGCTCTACTTATTCTTATCGCATAGTCGAGCTAAAAAGGGGCATAATTCTGTCAAAATGCTTGATAGAGTTACCTCCTCCTGTCTACAGGTTGGGGTCATGATGGTGAACAAGTGTGCAAAGTTTCAAAGCCATATGTCAGTGGACTTTGATAATATTTGAGGTATTACAAAAACTTTAACGTAAATTCTAAGTTGAAAAAGGGGCATAATTCTGTCAAAATGCTTGATAGAGTTACCTCCTCCTGTCTACAGGTTAGGGTCATGATGGTTAACAAGTGTGCAAAGTTTCAAAGCCATATGTCAATGGACTTTGAAAATATTTGAACTATTACAAAAACTTTAACATAAGTGGTTACGCCGACGCTCGGGTGACTACAATAGCTCTACTTATTCTTATCGAATAGTCGAGCTAAAAACACAGGCTTAAAATAAACAGACAAATCTTATCAACATACTTGTAAAGATTTTGGATCTGGCATTTTGTCACGACTCTTTGTGGAAGGTGACTTTCCTTTACTTCCTTTAACCCTTGGTGATGGTCTTGGTACATCATCTAAAATATATAACAGTGTCATATAATTCTTTATACAGACATTATAAATACACCCATACTATAGCATCAGATTTAATTCATTCATATAACTGGGTTTTTATCAGCATTCAAAGTATATCAAGCTGTCTTTACATTGTTTTTGAAAAAAGTTTCATTCACTCTTTTTAGATCTCTACAAAGAAATAAAAAAAGACATTTATGCACATTTAGAAAGAAAACATTTATTAAAGAGAACGTTTTTTAAAATTTTTCCTTACGTATTTTCTATATACATTTTTTAACACTGCAATATTGAAATCCTTCTCTAAATATGTGCAGACTAAAGTACTTTTAACTTTTTTTTGCCAAATCATGCTATCAAAACAATAATATACAGAAAACATTTTTTTTTTCATTTCCTACATTTACATTATTATGTATCACATGTTAGAAACAACACATTTCACCTACCACCATGATCATACAAGTCATGCAAACATAACATGTTTGGTTTTAATGTTATAGTCATTGTTTTTTTCTTACAAAAGTATTGCATTATATCATTAATAAGCGATAATACACCCAACAATGGTGAGCAAATAAGCAACGATGTATTCCATCACCATAACTGTCTAACAGATGTTAAACATCATAAAAGTTAAGACAGTGATAGAAAGGAGATGAATTTATATCAGAACAGTCCCTAATAATCAGCAAATTACTTTGTCTTACTTATTACTTATATTTTTTAAATTCTACAGGGGAAAATTTTTAAAGTAAGCACCAGTAAATGAAGCAACTACTGTCCCAAATAAGAGAGAGAATGTTAACAAGTATTTCAGATTAACTACATTTCTGATTATACAAGCTATGATATAAAACATACAAATATTTGTAACATCAATATTGTCTTTCTAGAAATTAAAAACAACAACCCTGTCCTAGGGTAAATAAAAAATATGGGCAGTTTGAAAAATAAACAAGATTGCATTTGAGAAAAATGCTATGCCACCGCATTAATACAACACTAAATAGTAGTGTAGGAACAGATTTTCTTTGTTTCTATACAATTTTGAAGATTGTCATAATGCATAGATCCCTGACCTATCTAATTCTTATTATCAGATTAGTGGTTAAATCTGTTGTTAACTCAATAAAAGATCAGAGTAGCAATATATCAATGCACTTGAGTCTAGTGAATTTGGTGGTGAAGGTCATATTTTACACAGCCTAAATTTCATGACTACATCAAAGGACAACATAATAAGACACTTTGTCAAAATATAGGTCAGCTGAAATCAAAGTTCACTTAACATCTTAATCTGTACACATGGTTCAAATTTCGTAGCTGTACATCAAAGGACAAGAAAGTAGGTCACATCATCAAAATCTAGTTCACCTGATATCAAAGTTCAATTTTACAACTAAAACTGTGCACATGGTCAAAATTTCATTGCTGTACATCAAAGGACAAGAAAGTAGGTCACTGTCCCCTTGGGCAAGGCAAAATTTTGGACCCAAGGGTTTAATTCAAAACAATCTTGATACAGGTCCACCAAACAACATTTCAAGTCAAATATCTAAGCTGTAGCTTTCTCCTATTCAGAAAAGATTTGTTTTATTTTCTGTTTTTACTATGTGAACATAATGAGAATCACTGCCCCTGGGCAGGGCCAATTTTAACACTAGGGGCATAATTAAAACAACTTTAGTAGAGAACCCATATATTATAGAGCAAACATCAAAGCTCTATGCCTTGTACCTTCAGACAAAAATATTTCTTTTTTTTTTTACTATATGTACATAGTGAAAATCAATGACTCCTGGGGGTGGGGCCAATTTTGACCCCAGGGCTATAATGTGTACAATCTTGCTAAAGGTTCACTACATAACGTTTCATGCAAAATATCTTAACTCTAGCCTTTGTAAATTTAGAGAAGATGATTTTTTAAGTTTTTACTATATACATAATTATAAGGAAAACCTATGGCCCATGGGGCGGGGCTAATTTTGACACAAGAGGCAAAATTTGAACAACTTTGGTTGAGTACCTATAGATGATATCATTTAACAAATATTCAAGCTCTAAGCCTTGTACCTTCAGACAATAAGATTTTTTTATTTTTTACTATATGTATATATTGAAAATCAATGACCCCGGGGTAGGGGCAATTTTGACCCCAGGGCTATAATTTGAACAATCTTGCTAGAAGTTCACTTCACAATGTTTCATGCAAAATATCTAACCTCTAGCATTTGCTAGAAGAAATTTTTTTACTATAAAGTTTTTACAATATACATATAAGGAAAACCAATGACCCCCGGGGCAGGGCGGATTTTGACCCCAGGGCTATAATTTGAACAATCTGAGTAGAGGTCTACCAGACAATGCCTTATGCAAAATATCTAAGCTCTAGGCCTTTTGGGTCTTTACAAGAAGGTATTTTAAGTTTTTACTATATGTACATATAGTGAAAATCAATGATCCCCGGGGCGGGCCGATTTTGACCCAGGGCTATAATTTGAACAATTTGGTAAGGGTCTATCAGACAATGCCTTATGCAAAATATCTAAGCTCTAGGCCTTTTGGGTCTTTACAAGAAGGTATTTTAAGTTTTTACTATATGTACATATAGTGAAAATCAATGACCCCCGGGGCGGGGCCGATTTTGACCCCAGGGTTATAATTTGAATAATCTTGGTAGAGGTCTACCAGACAATGCCTTATGCAAAATATCTAAGCTCTAGGCCTTTTGGGTCTTTACAAGTAGTTATTTTAAGTTTTTACTATATGTACATATAGTGAAAATCAATGACCCCCGGGGCGGGGCCGATTTTGACCCCAGGGTTATAATTTGAACAATCTTGGTAGAGGTCTACCAGACAATGCCTTATGCAAAATATCTAAGCTCTAGGCCTTTTGGGTCTTTACAAGAAGATTTTTTAAATTTATTCTTATAATTCCTTTTGGTTGCCATGGCAACCAGATTTCTGCATGGAATGAAATTCTTTGAACAACTTTGGAAGCCCTTCACCCAAGGATCAATCCTGCCAAGTTTGGTTGAAATTGGACAAGTGGTTTTTCACAAGAAGATTTTTTAAGTTCACTATATAATCTATATAACACACACACACACAAACAAACACACACACAGGTGAATCGCTATATGCCACCGCATCGCAGATGCTGCGGTGGCATAAAAAGAAGATTGATAGAAATGTTAGTAGCCATCGATACCACACTCAAATTATAACCTATGAAGACACACATTCATTTAGAATATAATTATCAATCTTTGAGAATTTTGCATTCTTGATTAATTTGACCTACAAATAGCTATGAAACAGACCAAAATCAGGGACAAAATATTAAAATACCTATCTCTTAAAACTCTGACACATATTGTTGACCAAACAAATTTAGGTTTATTGTTAGTTGGCACAATAAAGATTCTGTTAAGAGCACAACATACAGTTTTTTCTCTCTGAATATATATATATAAATGTGCAGCAAGCCAGTAAATAACTAGCCAAAATAGCAAGCATTGTGGGTGAGTTTACCTTCGGACAAGCGGGACACAGATTTTCTCGGAGATGGGACTGGTGCACTGATTTCTTTGTCACCTGTAGGATGATATTATATAGGACCAGTCAAATGAAATAAGCTCGAGAATAAAACAATACAAAAAAATTCATCATTTATATAATAATCTAAATCAAGAATCACCTTTAACCTGTTAATGGCCATTTTAGAAAAATAGATATATCTAAAATCAAATTGAAACTAAAATGATTAAGACAATTTTTTGTGACATTAAGTTTGAATGCTTAACTTCAGAGAACATACGATAAGCATGTGAAATTAGCAACTGAAGAAAAATGACAAAATTTCCACAAATATAATATTGCACCTTTGTAATGTTTGTTTTCATTTAATAATCCTGGCATTTATATATATGTATAACACGGCTACTGCACAGATACTTGGAGTGTGGAGCTCCAAATGCCTTAAAATTCAAATACCGGTAAATTGTGCATAAATTTGTCAATCCCAGCCCATAAACTTCTACCAATAAAACCTAATTTAATCATGCTGCTTTGAAAAAAAGTCTATAATATTATACTTATAGACATTAAAAACAGTGTATATTAGCTTTTATTGACATATATGGTAGTTTTTTGTGAATATACAATTTATTAAAATTTTAAGGCTTCGTAGTATGTCAATTTATTGATTAACGTTTAACTTTCCCTCAAAGTAAGGAATTGTGCAGTATTATAAATTTTTTATAGAAACTTTAACACAATACTGGACTGTCAGAAGTCTCTTTTTATATTAATTAAATAAGTAAAGAAAGGGCAACAAAATATTAAATGTATGCAGTGATGCTGTGCAACAAGAACTCTGTAAAGGTGAAAGGTGAAGGTTAATCTACAAATACAGAAAAGGTCAGAGAATGGAAATTGAAAAACCATCTACGGACCTTTCAAAACATACATTTCCAAATGCTGCAAATCTTATTCAAAATTCACTGGAATTTTACAAGCATTATGACATACATTGTATTCGTTTTATAAAGGGTTATGGTCAGCGGAAAAAACAAATTTTGATATCATGGTTTGTTCTTAATGAAGCCGTATCAACAAACCTTAAAAATCTAATTCAGCTTTATATGATATTTGGCAATAGATTTAATAATAAAACTTATTAATTTTTAATCATCCATGGTAAACTATGAGGGTTAAGTAATACTTAATGCAGGTGTTATTTGCAGCTTTTCATGAATTCAGAGAAAATTGGCAGCCCTGTTTATAGCAATGCAGCATTTCAAAATGTACATTATTTATATCCATATGGGGTACCTGATCTAATGGATGCCTGAGAGCCTAAACCATTCTCATCTGTAAACCAAAAAACATGCATAATTTAGCAACACAAATCTCTGACATGTAAAGCATAAACTATTGTTACTGTCTATGTGCTACATTATAGTTACACAAAATAAAATACTGAACAAAAACACAAATTAATACAACATGCTCAGCTAAACTACATATATTATCAGATAAGAATATCTACATCTACATACTTGAAAAAATATTAATAAATCAAAAGTGTTTAAAGAACTATAAAAATTATATATAAAGTTCATTGTGCTAGGACTGAAATGGGGAAAAACTTCAAAATTGTGTAAAAATAACACCATGCATTAAACACCATTCTTGATTTATATGAGAATTTTATATAAACACAGTAAAACATGTTAACATTTCATCAATCAAAAAAGTGAATAGTAAATAAGTGTCAACATGACACAAACAGTATGCTGATTGTACATTAAAAAGCATGAACTTTAGAGAATCACTCCCAGTCAGTGTGTGTATACATGGGACATAACTAATAACTGCAATACATACCCAACAAATACATCATGTTAATTAATAATGAAAACTTGCAAAATTTAATACTGAGATATTAGCTGGCTAATGTATAGTATACATGTGGAGAAAATCTGAACAAAAATGAATGAAATGTCCGAATGTAAAATATTATCAGACAAGTTTGTATGCCCAAACTTCTTTTTTAAAATGATGATATTAAAAACACAAATGAAACAAATATTCTAGCCATTTCTTTTTTAGTCCATAATTTCTCCGTTATAAAACTAGAATTTACATTTCTATGTAAACTCTAATTTTATATTGAAACATATTAGAACAAATAAAACAAAAAGTGTACATTCTCTTTAGTATAAAACCAGGACAGAATAAAAACATTCTTTTCTAGGCAAGCAAAAAGCTCATCAGCTCTAGCTTAGCTCTTACTTCTTCCAGGTGTTTTAACATCTTTCTTGTCTTTTCTTGGAGCAACCTTGGGTGTAGATTCATAACTCTTGTGTGGTTTACTTTCCTTTAGGTTCTCCTCAGTGTCAGATTTCCTCTTTGGTTGTTCTTCTGCCGTCATATCATTAGCAATTGATTCAAATTCTTTTTCTAACAATCTTCTGCTATTCCGTCTAGATTTAAATATTTCATCCACAAAATCTAAGGTAGATAATTTGGTACTTTCTTCACTTTTATTTGACCTTGGCGATGACTTTGATGTTTCATTCTTAGTTTTTCTGGTATTTGAAATTTCCTCACCATTTCCATTTTGCTTACTAGATTTCAAAAGGTTTTCTACATCACCAGTTTTCTTAATTGTCCTCACTGCTTTACTAGAAACACCAGGATCTTCCTCTTTGACAGTATCTATGTTCTTTTTCTTTTCATTTCCATCTGTTTTCTTTCCATCTTCCTTAATGTTCTGTTCCTGTTTGTCACCTTCAGATAACTTTGCATCCACAATATCATTGTCTCTCTTAGCAGTGCTTGAAAGTGCATTACTATCTACCGACTTATTACTTGTATTACCTTTTACATCTCTCGCAGATTCCTTGACATCTTTCTCTTTCTTGTCATCAGACTTTGGTTTTTCTTCATCTTTAAGTTTTGCTTCTTCCTTGCTTTCTTTCTTAGGAGATTTAGCTGCAGTAGCATTAAGGTCTATCCTTGGTGTTGGCCTTCCTGTGCTTACAATATCAAAATCATCATCGAAGTCAATTTCCTCACCGACTGAACGAGCTGAATCTTCAACAAATAAGACATTTTGTTTGCAAATACAACATCAATACATACATGTAAGTTTTAAATAGATTGTTATCAAAATCAATATACATTATAATACATATGTAGCAACAATATGAAATGTAATCAAATTAAAACAACATTAAGCATGTATTGTTTGCCAAAAGTCTTAGAAAATTAACTAATCACGAAGATTTTTCTCTATGAATATTTCTTTTAATAATTAATATAACAAAAATACTAACAATCCTATTATTAAATTGTCAATTTATCAACCATGTTTAAATCAAATTACCTACCTTTCATAGTAGACACATTAAAAGAGAGTAAAATTAAGTAAGTAATTATCAAATTAAGAAATTAATTATAATTATTTCAACATAATTATCTATTATCTATCTAAAAATGCAATTAAGAAATAATAATTTTTCATCACATTCTTACATAAGAGTAAACAAAAAAGAACTTTAACCAAAACCCCTCAAATAATTTCTAAGCATCATGCATTTTAAAATAAAAGAAATTTTCTTCTTTTTCTTTTAAAGCTTTGGTAGGTAAAATAAAATTTGGCATCAAGATGGCAAAAAGCTGCAGAAACACACTGCCTCCAATAAAATATAAAGCAAACAATCACAAACACACATCATAATATAGAGTACACAATCCATGCTTATATATCTTTCTTATTCTTCTATATATTAACATCCTTTTTTTCTAGATGCTTTTTCATAACATATAACTATTGTTTATACAGATGAAATTTCGTGTATATATGGTTCTCTACACTAAGGAATAAAAAAATGAAAAAATTATACCATGACATAAACTTTATTCTATGCATCAAATGTTTTCAAGTAAACATTTTTCCAGTAAAAACAACAAAAAGAACCCTATAGAAATAAAACATTCCCAGTGCCCCATGTAAGTCCCAACAGCTAGGAATATACCAGACTACTGTGGAATTTATTGCAAGCTTCATTTACCAAACCATGATAACTAAAACAAATGCTTTTATTCATACATGTGAACTTTTTTTAATGATCAAGTGGGAGATTTTTCTTCAAAAAGAGGGAGATTTTAGAAATTGCAATAAACAAAGTTCTGACATCAAAAAGAGGGAGAATTCTTTAATTTGTGAAATTCCCCTTATTTTAAGAAAAATCTTTGAAAATATGGCGGCAGAAAGTGGGAGTCTCCCGCTTAAAGTGGGAGAGTTCACATGTATGTTAAAAAAAATTAATCACCCAACAGCACTTTAATGCTAGTTTTTGTCAATTTAATGCTAGTTTTTTGTCAAATTTACACTAGCAACAATGTACTTTAAAATTTACAGACAGCACTCCAATGTTATGTTTTAATTAACCTCAGTTAATAAGAGAACAGTTACCACTGATGCACATATTTCATATACCATACAAGCAAAGCAAATCAGTTCATGCAGGAAAAGTTCCAAAACACCATTGCAAGTAATACACCAAGGCTAATGTTAGATAAATTAAAGTCTGTGTTTTGCATATGCATAAATGAACCATCACTATGTATTTCAAGCAGGGAAATTTTAAAGATAATTAAATACAGTCAATACTAAAATGTATCATTATGAAATAACAACCTGTTTTAATTAACAGAATCTTTCCCATGACAAAAATACTATTATATCTATTATAATACTAGTATATTTTATAACAATTATCTGAACAGTTTTTTTAATGTAAAGTATTGCTTAAAATATTGCATATAACACTGCATTCAATTACATGAAATTCAAATTTAAAATGTGTTTTTAATAAAACAAAGTTGATCACATTTATTTTTACATTATTTAGTAATGCAGTTGTTGCTTATAACTCAATGTATGAAGACAAGATATAAACAACCTGTGTTTAAAGAAAGTGAACAGTTCCACCACATCACCCTAACCTATAACACGTGTATCCATATACCTAATGGTAAGTTTAACTTGAATGATATATGATTCTTCTCAGCTATAAATGTAACAATGCTTTGTTTTAACACTTTGACCAGGACAAAAAGTATAGCTAACAATTAACAATGGATAAGAGAAATGGTTATTAAGTCTGTACCTGCGTATTTGGCACAGTCCATTCAAATTTAAGAATTTTAATATTATAATACAGAATTTCAGATTGTGTAGTATAGAGGAGCCTAGTCAGACTGCAGTGACATACTCACTGGCCTGCCTCTATACTGGTGACAAAGTCTAACTGGTTCCAGCAGACTAAGGGTTAAAACTAACCACTGATCATATTTGGAAAATATTAAACACATTAAGTTATGAATCAGAAAAATTGCCATAAGTACCTAAATTTATCTATGGAGTTTGATTCTATAACCCTCTACTAAAACCTTTGCAATAAATAATATTACAGAATGTGATACAGTGTAACTTCTGAAATCCAAACACTCTGTACTACCCACAAAGTTTAGTATTTTTCACATTGTGTGGAATATAACAAATTTTCAAAAACAATTTACAACTTTAAACTCCACTTTGGGTCAATCTTGAACTCACAATAATTAGTTCTCTTCATGCATCATGTAATTTCCAGATTTCAAAAGTGAAAATTGCATTTGAATGACTAAAATTTTAAAAACTTTATGAAAGTATTGCCTGGTTCGGAATTTGGAAATCAATATTTCATTAATATAAAATATAATTGTCATATAAAAACATGAGATTTGGTTGAAATTGTCAAATTCTATAACTTTCTTGATTTCAGAATGTCTGGAATTTAGATGTAACACTGTTCTTTTGTTCTAAAATAATCAAAATATTGACCTGAAAACAGGGATATGTTAACAAAACAAGAGGGCCATGATGGCCCTGAGGTCGCTCACCTGTATATAGCCCCCCCCCCCCCCCCCAACGTTGCAGGGCCAATTTAACCCAAGGGCTTTTATTTGCACAAACTTGGTAGACACCCATAAGATGTTTCATGCTAAACATCTAAGCTCTAGCTCATTGGCCTTTTTAAAAGAGATTTTTTTCAAGTTTTTACTATACCCATATAGTTAAAAACAATGACACCCCTGGGGCCGGGCCAGTTTTGACCCCAGGGCTTTTATTTGAACAAACTTTGTAGACACTTACAAGAAGATGTTTCATGCTTAATATCTAAACTCTAGCTATTTGGGTTTTTTCAAAGAAGATTTTTTAAGTTTTTGCTATACACATATAAGGAAAATCAATGACCCCCGGGGCGGGGCCAATTTTGAGCCCAGGGCTTTTATTTGAACAAACTTTGTAGACACTCACTAGAAGATGTTTCATGCTTAATATCTAAACTCCAGCTATTTGGATTTTTTCAAAGAAGATTTTTTAAGTTTTTGCTATACACATATAAGGAAAATCTATGACCCCCGGGGCGGGGCCAATTTTGACCCCAGGGCTTTTATTTGAACAAACTTGGTAGACACCCATTAGAACATGTTTCATGCTAAATATCTTAGCCATAGCTCTTTGAGTTCTTTAATAGAAGATTTTTTAAGTTTTTACTATATGCATATTGGGAAAATCAATGACCCCCTGGGGCGGGGCCAATTTTGACCCCAGGGCTTTTATTTGAACAAACTTGGTAGACACTTATTAGAACATGTTTCATGCTAAATATGTTAGCTCTAACTCTTTTGGTTCTTTAAAAGAAGATTTTTTAAGTTTTTACTATATGCATATAGGGAAAATCAATGACCCCCTGGGGCGGGGCCAATTTTGACCCCAGGGCTTTTATTTGAACAAACTTGGTAGACATCTATTAGAACATGGTTGATGCTCAATATCTTAGCCATAGCTCTTTCAGTTCTTTAAAAGAAGATTTTTTAAGTTTTTACTATATGCATATAGGGAAAATCAATGACCCCCGGGGCGGGGCCAATTTTGACCTCAGGGCTTTTATTTGAACAAACTTGGTAGACACCCATTAGAACATGTGTCATGCTAAATATCTTAGCTCTAGTTCTTTGGGTTCTTTAAAAGAAGATTTTTTAAGTTTTTACTATATGCATTTAGGAAAATCAATGACCCCCCGGGGCGGGGCCAATTTTGACCCCAGGGCTTTTATTTGAACAAACTTGGTAGACACTCACTAGAAGATGTTTCATGCTAAATATCTTAGCTCTAGCTCTTTGGGTTATTTAAAAGAAGCTTTTTTAAGTTTTTACTATATGCATATAGGGAAAATCAATGACCCCCCGGGGCGGGGCCAATTTTGACCCCAGGGCTTTTATTTTGAACAAATTTGGTAGACACTCACTAGAAGATGTTTCATGCCAAATATCTAAGCTCTAGCTCTTATGGTTTTTTAAAAGAAGATATTTAAAGTTTTTTCTTTCGGTTGCCATGGCAACCAGAGTTCTGCATGGAATTAAATTCTTTGAACAATTTTTAAAGGTGACCACCAAAGGATCATTCCTGTGAAGTTTGGATGAAATTGGCTTAGTGGTTTATGAGGAGATGTCATTTAAAGTAAAAGTTTACGGACGGACGACGGACGACGGACGGACGACGGACGGACGGACGCCGGACGAAAAGCGATCACAAAAGCTCACCCTGTCACTTTGTGACAGGTGAGCTAAAAACAACAGCAAAGTACATTGTATTAAACATCCTGCGCATAATGTTAGTAACAAATTATCCCACATGTTAATGCTAAATTCATGCATAAATATTCCAAAGTGCACACACTTATTACCGCCAGTTTTAGGTGTCTCCAACTTTTCATGCTTGCTTGCTTTTGCCTTATCAGTACTAGAGTCCTTTGTTTTAGGTGAGTCCGGTAAAGGTGGCTTATCATGCCGCGCACTCAGTTCTCGTCTCGGTGTTTCTTTTGCACCAGAATCTTTCATTGTTTGTTCTCTAGGGGTTGCCTTCTTTACACCACTTTTAGGTAAAGAGTCAGATCTGGATCTTGGTGAAGCTTTAGGGCTATCTTTCTTTGGTGATTCTGGTGCTGAAGTTATTTACATGTAAATAACTTTTGTTCTAATGTACTTCAATATGTAAATGACCAATTATTTATAGTCTTGTAAACAATATAAAAATAGGAAATAAACCTGGTCAAATAAAGTTTAAATAATTGCTCAACAAGAAATAACAAAAACAAAAAAAACTATAAACAATCTCAATCAATATTAATAGAACATAATTTTTAAATTAAATGGAATATTTGGGACACATTTCAACTTGTGAACATAGACTACAATTCTGGTAAAATAATTCATTTCATGGTTCCTTTAAATGTGATCTATATTAATAGATTAAATAATAAATATAATCAACATTTGAGCCGTGTCACGACAAAACCAAGATAGTACGTTTGCTACCAGCATAGATCCAGACCAGCCTGCGCATCCACGCAGTCTGATCAGGATCTATGCTGTTCGCTATCAGTTTCTCCACTTGTAATAGAGTTGGTAAGCGAACAGCATGGATCCTAATCAGACTACGTGGATGCACAGGCTGGTCTGGATCCATGCTGGTCGCAAACACACAATGTTGGTTTTGTTGTGACACGGCTCATTTTTTTCCCATGTAATGATAATTCAAGTTTGTAAATTTTAATGTTAATTTTATAAGTAATCTATAATTTAACAAGAGGGCCATGATGGCCCTGGGGTCGCTCACCTGTACATAGGCCCCCAGGGCGGGGCCAGTTTAAACCAAAGGGCTTTTATTTGAACAAACTTGGAAGACACCCATTAGAAGATGTGTCATGCTAAATATCTTAGCTCTAGCTCTTTGGGTTCTTTAAAAGAAGATTTTTAAGTTTTTACTACATGTATATAGGGAAAATCAATGACCCCTGGGGCGGGGCCAATTTTGACCCCAGGGCTTTTATTTGAACAATCTTGGTAGACACTCATTAGAAGATGTTTCATGCTAAATATCTTAGCTCTAGCTCTTTGGGTTCTTTAAAAGAAGATTTTTTTAAGTTTTTACTATATGCAATATAGGGAAAATCAAAGACCCCCTGGGGCGGGGCCAATTTTGACCCCAGGGCTTTTATTTGAACAATCTTGGTAGACACCCATTAGAACATGTTTCATGCTAAATATCTTAGCTCTAGCTCTTTGGGTTCTTTAAAAGAGTTTTTTTTAAGTTTTTACTATATGCATATAGGGAAAATCAATGACCCCCTGGGGCCGGTCCAATTTTGACCCCAGAGCTTTTATTTGAACAAACTTGGTAGACACTGATTAGAAGATGTTTCATGCTAAATATCTTAGCTCTAGCTCTTTGGGTTCTTTAAGAGAATTTTTTTTAAGTTTTTACTATATGCATATAGGGAAAATCAATGACCCCCTGGGGCTGGGCCAATTTTGACCCTAGGGCTTTTATTTGAACAAACTTGGTAGACATCCATTAGAACATGTTTCATGCCAAATATCTAAGCTCTAGCTCTTTGGGTTTTTTAGAAGAAGATTTTTTTAAATTTTTACTATATGCATATAGGGAAAATCAATTACCCTGGGGCGGGGCCAATTTTGACCCCAGGGCTTTTATTTGAACAATCTTGATAGACAATTATTAGAAGATGTTTCATGCTTAATATCTTAGGTCTAGCTCTTTTGGTTCTTTAAAAGAAGATTTTTTAAAGTTTTTACTATATGCATATAGGGAAAATCAATGACCCCCTGGGGCGGGGCCAATTTTGACCCCAGGGCTTTTATTTGAACAATCTTGGTAGACACTCATTAGAACATGTTTCATGCTTAATATCTTAGGTCTAGCTCTTTGGGTTCTTTAAAAGATTTTTTTAAGTTTTTACTATATGCATATAGGGAAAATCAATGACCCCCTGGGGCGGGGCCAATTTTGACCCCAGGGCTTTTATTTGAACAAACTTGGTAGACACTCACTAGAAGATGTTTCATGCCAAATATCTAAGCTCTAGCTCTTTGGGTTTTCTAGAAGAAGATGTTTAAAGTTTTTTCTTTTGGTTGCCATGGCAACCAGAGTTCTGCATGGAATGGAATTCTTTGAACAACTTTGTTAAGGCTTCACACAAGGAACATCCCTGTGAAGTTTCATTATGATCTGCCTTATGGTTTCAGAGGAGATGTCGTTTGAAAAGTGTCAACGGACGACAGACGACGGACGAAGAGTGATCCTAATAGCTCACCCTGAGCATATGCTCAGGTGAGCTAAAAATCTTGTGTAAATAATAAACTGTATAGTATGTGATTATCGACACTGCATGTCCAGAATTTTTCATCATTAATTTGCAATGAAAAACAACATTTGCTATATTTCTTAAGTTTCAATTCTGTAATCAATTTATCATTATAAAATGAACTGGTATAAAGCTATAGCTAAGGTCATATTCTTAGAAAATCTAGAAACAGTAATATAATATTGTTTCCATAATCCTTTGGAAGATTGTTGAAAGAGTTGAAAAAAAAAGAATATCTCTTTTATTTAATACACAAAATAATGGTTCACAAACAAGACAAAAATTCCAGAACAAACTATTATTCTGCTATTTAAGTTGGAAATTTACTGCTATGTGTACATTTGTGCATGCACCATTCTCTCTTTCAAATTAAATAAACAAACATATTTCTTCCCTTTAGATATTTCGGGAATGTACTTTTTTAAATTTAGAGAATGATTTTGTTAATTTAAGGCATGGAAAGTATAGCTTTATACCTTTTAAAGAAAGTTTTTCTTTCTTTATCTGTAGTGCAAAAGAAAGATAAAGTGTCAAATTCAGTGCTGTCTATAGATTTATAAACATAAAACCACACTTGTGACATTTATGTAGCAACATCAAGCAAATGTCAATACACAGAAAAAAAACATCAAGAAAAAAACCCAATCATGTTAATGGTAATGACAAAAGTTTGTTTTATAACTCCAATTTACATTAAGTGGACAATCAACACTGGGCTTTGGCTTCCTTTCACAGTCACATTCACAGTCAATTATCTGCTACAGCAATTTCACCAAGGCATCAATAAAACAAGTTTTAACATTGATGCTAACTACCCTTCAACCAAGTGTACAAATGTCATTAACTAGTACACTTCTGTTACACAGTACAATATAATATCGATAATAATTGATCAATCTTATATTGTATAAGGGAATAAAATTCCCATCCAAATCACAGCACACATTCAAAACCAAAATCTTACTGTCATGATCTAGGTCATGTGACTTTAGTGATGTTGTATCATGTTCAATTTTACTCCTGTCAGCCTCTACAATATTGAAACACCTATTTATAACCTAACTGTAATAATTAGTAGGAATAATCAATGAAAACACTCAACAGTAACCTTGGCATTGTTGTCTACATCTTAGTACAAATTGATTACTATAACAGTCCTTTAAAAAACTGCAAAACATACTTTAATTTTTTCATTTAGCATCCTTTCTTAGACAAGCCTGTAACTCTGTCCCAACAAACTTGATACATGTACATGTGTAAGGAAGTACTAATGTAAAAAAATTTTGATTATGTATTGAAATTTTCTTGTCCAGTTAGTTCAATAGGTTGTTGGACTGTGTATATATTGTACTAAGGCTCCTTGACATATACAACATTTATACATTTGTGAATCAGGCTACCCCAGTTTTATTTCCGGACCGTGCAGGTCACTATTGTTGTGAATGAAAATTAAATCCTTTCTACAGTCATTTTCACTGTACCTCTGCCTTGGCATGTATAGAAGTTATCAGTTTCATGTGAAAGTGAAGGCAACTAGTACTGGTAAACTGCTTGACAGTCTGCCAGGAATGATGTGGTGACTGAACTGTGCTCTGGTAAATTCAATATGGCTTACTGCCATGATCTGGAGGGTAAAGGACCGACACAATCACCAACACAGAGTCAGTATACAGCATATAGATGTGACAGTTGGGTATGCTGTATACTATCATCTCTTATTTGAAAGTTACAAAATTTTTTAATTATACCAACTTTGATACATATGTACTGAAAATAACATTTTTTCTACCAGAAAATGATGCTGACAATGGTGTATTTCATACAGAAGAAGCAGTATAAAGCAGTAAATGCCAAGATGAAAGAGTGGAAGAAAATGGGAAATTGCTATATATATTCAAAAATAGCCAATAGGATTGCATTCATGATTTCACTCAAATCTGCTTGTTTATTCAGTTTAGATAACATGCACTCTGCTGGATATATATAGATCTTATACATTTGAGCTAAGCTTGAGACAAATTAAATAACCTTTAAACACCATTTTAAATTAGAGGTAAATACAAGACCCAAACCTCTGCAGTCAAACTTCCTGGAAAAATGGCAGTAGACAGAGAAATGCAAGGTAAGCACTGTGAGTCACATTTATGTTTGGCAGAAGCAAGATTATACCTCTTTCCTTTGCAGTCTTTTCCTCTTCTTTAAATGACATTAAAGATGTTTTTGAACCAATAACTTCCTTTTTGACAGACCCAACGGAAACTTTTGACCCTTCAGCAGCTTGTTTTAATGAGATTTGTGAACCTCTGTTGCTTTTTCTAGAACTTAATGAAACTTTTGACCCAAGGTCATTATCTGACCTCAAAGCAACCTTTGACCCACTTGTTTCCTCTTGTAATGTTCTAACTGAGATTTGAGATCCTGATATATTTTTCTTAGATTCAGATCTCAAAGAGGAAACAGACCCAGTTAAACTTTCCCCTTTCCTTGACCTTAAAGATGTTACTGACCCAAAGCTACTTTTGCCTTTACTCTCAGACTCTTGACCTTTTAACCCAGTTTCAGACTGATCTACAACCTGCTTTAATTCATTGGACTCATTTTCAATATTATCATCAATTTTTGTTTCATTATTTTCAGGGTTTAAACATTCTTCATTTTCAAGTGTTGATTTAGTTTGGGTGTTTAAACTTTCCAGTTGTGATGCTGTAAAAATTTTCAATACATTACTTAGATAGACCATAAGGTTTTTAGTTTGATTTCGTTTCAGTCATTTCATTTTTTTTTAATCAAGAATCAATAAATCTGAAAAAGCTACATTTCAATGCAATGAAAATAGCAAATGAATGAACTTATTTATAGACATTCTGCATTGAATCAAACTAAAAGTTTGATTACTTAAGTGAATACGCTATTAAGGTATTACTACATTTACAGAGTTTAAAACTTGTAACTGGAACTCACATTGCTGCAAACATCTAATTATGTTTAAATGAAAATAACATTGATAACTTAAAACTGATAAAGTTATTTTGTTTCTTTTTAACTGAAGTTTTATCAAATTTAAGGAGGAAATTGACGATAAACTTCACAAAACTGCTTCAATAACTGCACCTTCTTTTATAGTTTTGTATGAAAAACATACTTTTGTGTAATAAAATGAATGCCCAAAATGGAACTATATGACCTACAAATAATACAACATATAAAAGTATATTATAAAAAGATAAAATTAATCATGCAAAAAATAAATTTTGTAATAAAGTATTGACATTTACACATATAAAGAATTAAAGAATATACCATTTCTCTAGCATACCTGAATTATGCGATTTTTCAGCCCTTCTCTTTTTCCTTTCTTTCTTTTCCATAACTTTCATAGAAAACTTCTTTGAATCTTCCGTTGTCTTCATTATCATGTTGGTAAACTAAATAAAAAAACAACAATGAGGTGGTAAACTTAATGTAAACTAAATAACAAAACAACAATGTGGTGGTAAACTTAATGTAAACATACCATATAGCCTTCATTATATAATCTGTGCATAGATAAAGGTAAGTTGTTATATCAAGGTTACATTACCAGCTTAGTAAACTAACTAAATCTGGTAAACTAACTAACTAGAGTATAAATGTGATGGTAAACTACATCAATGTCATGGTACAAGAGTTGATCCAGATATTCATAGACTTTTCATATATTTTCTTCATTCATTGTTTGATTGTAAACAATACCTGTCCTTGTGAACAAACATATGCCTCATAAGCCATACTTAGGACAAAAACATGTTTTTCTTTAAAGTTAAAATTATGACCTTGACCTTTGACCTGCAAGCCTTGGTTTTGCATCAAACACAATTCAATGTGCCATATGTTTACTTATAATTATTTCAAAATCCAAACTTGAATGACAAAGTCATGAACCGGATACAACCATCTATTCACAAGTATATTATGATGTTGGATGTTCAAGTTAAACTATTAATTAAAGACCTGATTCTTGCACAAGACACATCTTCATGTCTAACCCATTTATGCTCTTAAAGTGATGTTATGCCCATCCAAGAGTATATAGTAAGTTAACAGATGAAAGTCAAAATAAGTTTTAACTTTGACATATTTATTATAATCTCATAATTTAATTTGCATAAATGATAAATAACTAAATAATAAATAAATAATGTGGCCCAAGTAAATTTCTGTAAATACCCATCGGAATTCAACTGTAACACTCAGTTTATAAAAAGAGTGGGTTTGTCTTTTTATATTAATGGCAGATTTATATTTTATCAAAATAATTTTCCAATATCAACTGTTTGTCAATCACAATATTAACAGTCAATCAAAAATGAGCATAATATCACTTTAAGTAATTTTGAAATCTTGCAGGAATGACAGGTTTGATGACTGGACCTGCTATTAAAAGATGATGATATTAATTTGATCATCTATCATACAGACTAGCATAGTGTCGCTGGTTGGTAAATTTAATTAAGTCGGTATGAAAATAGCAATTAAAGAATCCTACAGGTAAAAGTAACTGTTACAAGACAGATCAATTGTCATTGTAATAAAGAATAAAGTACACTACAGCCTCATTATAACGCTCATGTTGGGGTCCAATGTTTCAACACCCTCATTGCAAAATTACCGCATTACCCCACCCACCGCCTATACATATAACACTGACGATTTTTACTTACAGTTCAATGAATATCAACATTATCTTTTTCTAAAACAATTCAATGATGTAAACATATATTATATTCACTAATAATACTTATTATATTTAAAAGAAACAAAAAACTTTCGAAAGGAAAACATAAATCATAAATGTAGTGTAAACAGCTAGCCATTACAGTTCAGCTTTAGTTGTGTCCCCTAGTTAATCAAACGCCATTTACTTCCTGTCTAGGCCGTTCTATATACAGTGTAGGATTTTAAATAGATTTTTGGCTTTTGTAGGTTAGTTAATGCTGCGAGGTTTGCATGTCACAGTTATGATATGAATTTGAGATTTTGGAAACAATTTTATGTCTGACAGATCGACAGGTAAAACAACAAATGAGCGAATAAAGGCTAACCTACCTGTGCATATTTTTCACACCTTTTGCGTTCACAAATGTCCCAATTACATTTGTTCATTGTACTTGACTGTCAAATTGAACAAGTATTATAGTGGATATGGCGCACTATAAATCTAGATCTACATGAATTTTTTTTTTTTTTTTTGGGGAACCAATGTCTATGAGCGCTATACTGAGATTAGCGTTATAACAGAGAGCGATATATCGAGGCTACAGTGTATGTACAAGTAATACTTAAAGATGATGAACATTAAACTGCCATACAGTTATATAATAATATACAAATGTAGATGTATTTTCATATCAATGTTGTATACTTTTATGATTAAGTAATCAAAACAAATTTCTTATATATACAATGTAAATTTCATGCTGGAATGAACTAAAACTTTGCAATACAACATATAAAGAACAATCAGCTTCAAAAATAAAGTGCTCCCAATAAACATGTATTAATTTGTAGATCAAATAGTGACAAGTGTCTACAGATGTTTCAAATGCAAGTAAAAACGACAATATCATTACACAATCATGCCCTGACACCAAAATGTATCATCAACAAGGGATATAACTGCCCATTTCTTTAGAAGCATCATCTGCTACATGGCAGGAAAGCATGCAACCCTTCATATTTGATTTCCAACAACGTCTTAACATTCATTATAAACTATATATTTCATAAGATATACAGCCAAAACAATTCCCAGAAACCCATGCCAAAGATCTAAGAAAATAAAATTCATAAAAAGCAAACAAAAATGCCTATAAATAGACAAGCCCTGACAACTATTCTGAAAATAAATTATTAACTTTTCATGACTGGATTAAAACGTAGTGTAATTTGAGGATTTCAAAAAACTGTTACTTGAATGAGTACATCAAAAACAGTGCCTTAATTTAACACAATAATAATTCATGAATATGTCATATTAATTCTATCAGAATTTCCCTTTTTGTCAGCAAATTTTTTAAAAATAATAACATTTTAACATTTACGCCACATTGGTCACCATTCACAGAGGCCCCTGACTAAGACACAGATGTCCCATATTAACTACTTAGCCACAGAAGTCCCTATCTTAACCACTAAGACACAAAGGTTTCCATGTTACCTACTAAGAAACAGAGGTCCCCATGTTAACCACATAGTCACAGAGACCCAATTGTAATCAATCAGCCACAGAGGCCCAAATGAGAAAGTGAAATTGTTTTGCATTCTCAATATAGTGTTAATTGGCAAATGTCGTTTTTTAACAGTCTAAATAGGAAATGTCATAATATAAACCTTAATGTAATCTGATATAATATTATACTACAAGCAATTCTCCTGGCCCATTCTTACACCATTTAAAGATTTACATTCATAACTATATAAAACAAAACTGTAATGCACATGTGGTTGGAAATAAACAATCATGCTTGCATTCCTCTATTACATGTCCCCATGCAAATACCTGATCATAAAATATCTTATCTCTCCAAATCACTGGTCTTTTAGAGGGATATATCTTAAAATAGTAAAACAATGCAAACCTGATCAGTGTGGTTTATCTTATCATATAACGTGAAAGTTTGTAAACTGTCTGTATCAGTAATTATATTTGAAACTTATAAAGAATAATTGTCTGTTTTACAATGAATTCAATACAGTTCACAAAGTATCTCATATAAAAATAAAGCTGTTTTGTTTTAAAATTCCATGATAAAGTGTGATTCTTCATTCACTTTCTCAATTCAAAAGTTAAAAACAACAACAACAATATGATACAAACCTCAGACAAACAAATATCACATTTGTTCTTTTTTCTCCTGTAAAAATTCTTCCTTTTTATATATATCTAAATAAGAATTTTCAAAATATAGTAACAAAATGATTTTATATACAGTAGTAAACCGTGTTAAAGGGTTTTGATTGTTTCAAAATTTTTGTATAGAATGAGTGTATAACTGATGAATTACCTCCCCATAGTCAAGTCTTCCATCTTTATTCTCATCTACCTCATCAATCATTTTCTTCACATCATCTCTTGACATACTCTCCCCTTGCTACAATAAAACAGAAACATGATAAATATATGTTAATCCTTATCTCAAAAATAAAACATGAAATATCATATAACTGAAGTTTTCAAAGAGCAAATTACAACAATTCTGGAAACCCCTCCTACTTGGTATATTCTTACATCTGTTTTTAAATTTCCCTATAAATTTCATAATCTACAGTGACCCCTAAATATACACTTTCTTTTTCAGTCCCCTAAAATGTGCGTTTTTGTTGGGTTTTTTTACTGAAATTTGCTTAACTTGTGTTTGCCATGTGAAAACTAAACAGAAATTGTAAACAAATATAATTATGAGATTCATGTCAAAACTCATTTTTAATTTGAATATTTTTTATCAAAATGTGAAAATGGTAGACCAAAAGTAATGAAAAACATTTGTATATTAAAAACTTCAACTCAACTCATTTATTTATGAGATAAGCCACTGGTCATTGACAATGAACAATTCCAAAAAATTAATTGGTGTGTACACAATAAATACATTTGAGATAAGTATGATGTAAACATACTACATGTAAATTGTTATGCCCTTAACATATAAGTAAAATGTCAACAAAATATTGCAATTTAAAATTTATGAAGATTTTCTTCAAGTCTTCAATACATACAGCATTCATGATTTTATAGAGTTCATCTAGTGATATGTAGCCATCTCCGTTGATGTCAATTTTTCTAAAAGCTTTCATCAAATCATCTGCTGTAGTCACGGGTTCTTTACGACAAATGTCCACAAAATCATTGAATGACAACTCCTCTGAAATATTAATTAACAATAAACATTCATATACCCTGTAAACTTGCAATAACATTTTTTGTAGTTCTTTTTTCATTTTATAGAAAATAAATTCTCAACTTCCTTTTATATTGTGTATTACACAAATTGAAATATTTAATATATTTATGTACAGTAACTGATTTGTTTATAACTTATCTGCAAAGAATCTTATAATCATATATCTTATACAAAATGTAGAAATTAAAGCATTATTCCAATCGGAACTCTGACAATTATTTTTCATAATTATCTCCCAACTTAATGTATTGTTTATTCTCAAATCTGTATATTTTCTTAATTTAGGTGTACTTTCATGCAATATATTAAAATAAACTTAGTCAACAAATCCTAGCATTTACTTCATTACTACATGTGTATTTGTTTACATATTTAGTTTTTTTGTGTAAATTACACAAAAATGCTGTATCTGTTCTGTGTATTCTTACTATTGTGCCTGGGGATTTTATTGAAAGACTGATGAGAAGGGCTGAAAAGTATTGATTGGCATTATTCACATCTAGAGTACCAAACAGAAATTCAATTTACCTGTGTCTTTTGTCCAGTACTTGTTAAGAGCTGCCTTAGTTGGATTTCTTCCGGACTGTTGTAATACTGTAAATAAATGTTCAAAATAATTGAGCCGCGTCACGACAAAACCAACATAATGGGTTTGCGACCAGCATAGATCCAGACCAGCCTGCGCATACGCGAAGTCTGATCAGGATCCATGCTGTTCGCTTACCAACCCTATAACAAGTAGAGAAACTGATAGCAAACAGCCTGGATCCTGATCAGACTGCGTGGATGCGCAAGCTGGTCTGGATCTATGCTGGTCGCAAACCCACTATGTTGGTTTTGTCATGGCGTGGCTCAAATATTTGCAACAAAATATGATGTCATGTGATGTGATGAGCTTGTTTACTACAGAGTTACACAATAATAAAGTGGACTGGTATAGTTGTTTATTTATCCAAGAAACTACATATTTCAGGTGTATGGTCAGTTTAAAGCTGCATGCCAAAATATTTCAAGAAAATCAAACTTGAGACAAAATGTACAGTGATTTTTAGAAAAGTAAAAAGGTGCAAGATAAAAGTAATTATTTCCATGTAATGTGCGAGAAATTACTGATTTGCAGTATTTTTCACCGTATTTCTACTCTGTTACCAAATTTTCATAAAAATTAGCAGGAATGTGCCTTTAATATATCAAATTAGTAGACTAGACAATTTCAATAACATCCATAATAAATGTATCATAAAGTATACCATAAAACAAAAAAGAATAAGTTTTGTATAGTCATTTAGATTAGAAAGTTCAAACAAATTTATGTATTATTATAAAAAGTAAATGTTTAAAGTCATCCATATTAATCAAAAATTTGTTAATTATTCTTATTGACATTCTCAGAGCTCCAGATAGAGTGCGTATCAGCGTAAAATATGCATAGAAAATCTAAAATACGCATCACTTTCAAAATTCGTGAGGCAAAGTTACGCACGACAAAATGAAAATACTCTTGTATGTCAAAATTTAAGCGTGAAACAATAGAAGTGTAAACATTTGATTTTTAGAAAGAGGATGTTTTATACTCAATATTTTCGTACCCAGTCTACAGTTACGGACAATTTTCTCTCAGACCAATACTTTTTTTTTAAGGAAAGATAAAAAAATCTAGTTTATTTTTCTTTTAACATAATTTCATAAGGTACATGCCAACAGAAAATTATTGACTCCTAGAATATAAAATAATTTCAGGGCTTCCACTAGTTGAAGTTGGGAGTCATTAAATTACTCTTTTATTTTGGCTTGTGACTTCCAAAATCTAATACTTTTCCTTCTTTACCTATAAAATGTGACTTCCATTATCAGCGATTTTGAAGTCTTTGACTTCCAAATTTTGAAAATGGAAGCCCTGATAATTTTGCTGTGTATCCTTAACTTGAGTTCCAGTATACTCTAGAAGTCTGACTTTATAGAGCATGTTTTGTATTCTTTCACATTGAATCAGTATTTTATTTGTAAAAGTTTTTCTAAAAAAAAAGAAAATAAACAAACAAACAAACAAAAACAATAAGTTTAATTTGTTTATAAAAAATGCAAAATGCTTTTTTGACAGATTTTACCCCTTAAGTTTTTCAGAATTTGCATTATACCCCTCACTCTAGATTTTGAGGGGTAAAAACCACTCGGCCAAAAAAATTATCTGGAGCTCTGCATTCTTCTTTAAGATTATCATCATCATTTGAAGGAAACTAAAAACAAAAACACAGCAGTATATACATGTTAATTAAAATATTAACACAAATGTATGCTTATCAAGTACTAACCATTATTTAGCCTTTTCTTTGACTCTATTTTATCATTAATGTCATCATAGATGGACAAAAATGCAGCCTTACACTCCAGAAATATCTCACTACCAGTGTCACTTTGTCTGCTTGATCGTCTTGATGATGACATGGCTGCTTCACCTTAAATGCTGAAGAAAAATGAACTTCAATAAATCAATCATATAACAAATTATTATTAAATTTGGGGCACCTGCGGCTAAGTGGTAGGGTATTTGACTTCAAATCACTTGCCCCACCCCGCTGTGGTTCGAATCCCTACAGGAACATTGGAATATTTCATGTGAGGAGGCTATCCTGCTAGCTTACAGAACATCAATGGTTTTACTAAGGTGACCATTTGTGAATAAAATATGGCATTGAGGGTCACCTAAGGTCTTCCTCCAGCACTAAAGCCATATGACTTTTACAGAGTTTGTGAGAAGGTCCAGGAAAAGTCTGCTAAGTTTATCACAAGAAACTACACCAACAAGCCCCATGGGTGTGTCACACAAATGCTTTGATATCTGAAACTACCTTCACACCAGGACCGAAAGGAAGGCTGACAGACTGACAATGTTTTATATGGTGGTTGGGGGTCTGTAACCAACCCTGCCTTGCCAGGACTACTTGACGCCAGCCCAAGCAAATAAACCTACATGCAGTGAAAGCTAAGACTTTCAAAAATTGTGCCACAGATAACAATAACATTGCAAATCAGATAATAAATCACTAAATGCTTTAAAACTGTGTAGTGTAAAACTATAAGATATAACTAATCAATTTTTCCATGGACAATTGGAATAAATTGGGTGATATTTTAACACAAGCAAAGACAGTGGACAACTTCATATCTGCCGTATTCCACTTGGACTAACTCCTCTCTCTCATTGCTTATATTCTGAAAGGCACTGCCATCCAGATCCAGGCAGAAGCCATTGAATATGAACGGCGGCACGAAATACCCAAATATACCCAAATGTTGCCCAAATATACCCAAATATAGCAATATTTATTTTTGTTTGTATAAAATATAGATTATAATGAGAAATAAATAAATATTTATAAAATAATATGACTTAGCCTGCTATAACTTTCATTCATTCCGTTGAAATGGGCAGTTAAGATGTTGTAAGAAAATAAGTTGTGACATTTGCTTATCTACAATATCGCTTCTTTATGAATGCAATTTTAATTCAAGATATGATATTTGTTGTCTACACTTACATTTCTAAGGTGTAATTTTGTTGAAATTTCATATCATATAGAAGAAGAATGTCCGTAATATTAAAAAAATAGCTTTAATTGAGTACATATACTGTATCTCACAGGCGCTAGTCACACAATCAAATATTTTACATTAACGGTCTATATATGTATATAAAGATATATAATATATCTTATTATAGTATATAGCCCATATAAAACTTTAAAAAGTTTGTTTCAAGCACCTGTGCTGTATCTTGGTTCAAAACATAATGATAGGAAAATGTATATTTGGGTATGTTTGATTATATCTTAGTGAAAGTGTATTTTGTATTCATGATTAAAATAGCACTTTTTAGTATAAAACATTTATTTTTAGTATAATTGGACAATATTTGGGTATATTTAGGCAATATTTGGGTATATTTGGGCAATATTTGGGTATATTTGGGTATTTCGTGCTGCCCAATATGAAGCAGATAATTTAATAAACAAAGATGAATAGCCTTACGAATTTGCAAATGATTAGACGTTGCTATTGAGAGTGCTAATAACAGCAACCTCAGGCCTATTTATCGTACTTGTAATGCACATTTGTCGCTGATTATTTGATTTTATGGTAAAAATGTTATCAATTGTTTACATTTGTTTACAAACAACGCCTTTCCCCTCCCACTTTTGCTAATAAACGCTTGTTCGAAAACGTGTTTGAACTTGCAGACAGTAGAAAATTAATGTAAAAAGAATCTTAAATCGTTACAAGAAACTTACATCAAATGGGTTAAGTTAGCTTTGCAATTGCTTTCAGACTCTGTATTATGAATAAGTTGCAAAGTGCCTCACACCTGTCAAATTTTGGAAACTATGTACGCCATTTGTTAGCTACTGCACATGCGTAGATGTAGATTTTACGCTTCCGTTTTATTAAAGATCGCCAAGTGCCGTTACCGAATGCCCCGTTACCAAACCGTACATAATTTTGATTTAGGCCTTCGCCCTGGTAATGTCATGGTTAACAACATGAATCGAAGATTTTAACGCATTAAAACTATTTGTAATTGGTTTACAAAACTTAAAATTCAATTAAAATGCTATGAAATATATCGTTTAATCTATAAATGAAATAAATTGGGGGACCAAGGAGACCAAAAAAAAAAAGTTTTGTGCACGTAATCGGACAATATGTTATAAGTCAATAAGAATGCTTTTGTAGCTTGAACTCCATGCTGAAGTAAAAATGTTATTTTTTTTAATTTATTTTCAGAAATGTTTCACGGCATGCTCCTCATAAAATTTTTTAAGACAGTATCATTTAAGGACCACAATTGACCAGCACATGATCAATGCAACATTCTAGGCCCATCTTTCAGTGTTTGTACTGTATCAAGTTATACATATAATTCCAGACGTTTTTTGTGTCGTCTGGTATAGAGAAACGGCGACACAGAGGGATCACTTCACCGTCGTCTGTCACAAAACGTGTACAAAAAATATGAGTGCAATTTCATCCGAATAGACCAGAAATACTGATCAGTACCAAGTCTATATAGTTGTACATATCGCCGGCTTTTTCCAGTTCAATGAGTTAAGTAATAGAAAGAGCATCGAAACACGAGGCTATCTGATTTGTACGAGGGGGCGTAGCGCCCGAGTATTAATCAGATTGCCGAGTGTTTTGGTGTTGTTTCTCTTTTGTATCATAGTCAAGCATAAAAACTCTTTCCCCGTTGTCACAATTTGAAACCCCGGCAAAAAGGAACCAATGAACAAACATCTGAATATGATATTTTTGTCGCTTTCACTCTGTCTGCCGTCACAATATGTAAACCCCAGCAAAAATGAGCCAATCAATGGGCATGCTCTGCAGTGCGGGTAATAATACCTGCACTCCAGTTTACGCACTGTGCATGTATATGTATACGATTTAACTCTGACACATTTTTCAACAGAAAGGTCCCAAATTTATGATACAAGACCTTTTAATGATTTTTTAAGTTTGTCCGGACTACTTCTCTTATGCCACGTATGCACTTTCAGTGAAACTACATGATTGATCGGTACCTCAGTTACTTGCGCATATTTCACGGGTTTTCAATTTGAGTGAAATTTGGCTGAGTTACCTTAAATAAAAAAGGTAATTTGTACTGTTAATGATTTTTGTGTCGCCAGCCTCACAGAAGCTAAAACATGCTACAAAGAAGCCACAGCTTAATTATACGGATCACTTCTCCGTCGTCTGTCTGTCCGTCAAAAAAATTCGTCGGCAACTTCCTGTTCAATCATTTTCGTTAGAGTTATGGCCCTTTTTATTTTTTGTACGGACCACTTCTCATACTACTAATGCAATTTAAGTAATAATGTACAGAATTGATTGGTCCCTCAAGTACTTGCGCATATTACAAGGGTTTTCAGGTCGAATGGTTTTTATGGCCCTTGTTTATGATTTTTGTGTCGCCTACTTACTACACAGTAGCTGCAACATGCTTCAAAGTAACCGCGACACAGTGGTAACAAACGGGCCAATCGCCCCTTAATACTTCTGCTTAATTGACTATCATCAGGCGACAAATGTGATCTCTGATCGCACTTGTGCTTTGCACAGTGACTTTCAGCAAGAAATTCATACTAGTACTTGCTACACTGACAAACATAAACGGAAGTGTAGCATAACAGTGTGGGTGAACTTACATCGTAGAAAAAATTAAATAGAACACTAATATAACAAAAAAAACTATATTGTTAATAACACTTATATTTCTAACTTTATTTTATGACCATCTCTCACTAACACAATTTTCTGCACATTAATTGGGATATGTATCATCAAACTATTGTTATCAGTGTCGTCTGCTTCAAGGGCGTTGAATTGCTTTTGTTTACCAGGTTCTCTCTCCATTTCAACATCTTTTTTCGAATATGATTTTGTTATGTCAGATTCTTCTCTATATATGTTTGAATGTTTTAAATTGTTCTCAGCATAGGAGTCAAGATTGTCTGCACTTTTTGCATATTTTCCTAACAACGTTTGTTGTTGTGAAACACTAGATCTACTTGCAGAAGACGATTTATCAGACTTAAACATTTTCTTAATTGAATGGATAACACCGTGGCGTTTCTTATTCTTGGTACTTTCAGTACTGAAAGGTTGTCGCAAATCATTTGCCAAAAGCGAATTACTTTTCATCATAGCACGCCGCTTATGTTTTTCTATCTTTTGCATTTGATTAATAAAAGTATTTAATTTGACATTTTCTAATTCTAATATATTTTGATTTTTTATTTGTTCATTGTCTTTAAATTCATTTTCTTTTGGACATTCCTCGTTTTCTGTTTCATCTTTACCACTATCATCGTAAAATATATCCCACTTTGTCGGAGATCCAAGTTTCTTCACCAAGTCTTTCTCATTTATACGTTTGTTCCAGTTTTGTATTGTCTTGTCCGATTTAGGCATATATTTAAGTTCTGATTTTTTATCTAGTTCATACCAAATGATTTTTGCTAGAAGATTGTTAAAACATTCATTTTGTGTCCTATATGTAAAGTATATTGTACTGCACGTGTCGTTTATATGCGTTGGTCTACTGTATAACGAATTATTGAGAAAACAAACAAAATCTACTTCCACTCTGTCTTGGAAAATGATTTGCTCGGATATCCTTTTCAAAAACATCTCCATATTGTTCGGCCTCAGATAAAATCGTGTTGTACATCGTAAATCTCTTAGATTATTCCTACAGTATACAGCAACACTTGAGGCATACGCCTGTACTTTCTCCTTATCAACTTTCTCTATGCACTGGTTGAACGAAGACTTCGTAAGTTGAAAAGTTGCTTCGCCATAATATTTTATTTTCTCTGCTGCAAAACCAGCGATTGTGGTTACAACAGAGATGTCTAGCATTAGAACTTCCTCGCACGAAAATATAAGAGCGCCATTTTTCTTGTATGGGACACCGGAAGTTATGTCGTCATGACAGTGACGCCCAATAACAATACCGTGAATGACATCACTGAACGTCATCATATGGCGTTTAACCTTAATTACAATATTTTTTTTATACAACTTACGTCAGTGAGATCTCTATCTTGACACCTGCTAAACATACATTAAAACATATCTTTTAATAGTTATTATATAACTAACTGTACGATTCGTATTTTCTTAATTTTGTATTTTTTGATTGATTTTGGTTCAATAATAATGGGAGTGCTTATAACGAATACTCTAATTATCTTAATTTAGAATTAGAGAAGATATGTAGATGTACAGCATCACAAATAAGCTTCCAACAGGTAGCTCAATTATAATATTTCAAAAAAGTTCAATATTCATATACATGTACTTGCAAAAAGTGCGAATCGTTTCTTTTTTTAAAGGTTTATAAGTTATAAGTAATATTCCCTTCGAAGCCTTACTTAACTTCGTACTTAAATCATGCAGATGTGCATTGATAACAGCTCTGTTCAATAATGGAAGTTTTCATTAGAGGAACTTCACTGAGAAAAATCATTAAGACTTAGTGTGCAAAAATGACCCATTAATGAAGTGTTTAAACGCCTTTAACCTATATCAGACTGGGAATCGCACAAAATCTGACCTATCAACTTGTTAATTCTAAATATATTTTTTTATCATCTTTTGCACATTTTCCGTTTTAAGTGTTCCAGTTGATTTACATGTATGTAAAAAATGTGTTTTTAAATTCTTGGACCTCAGTCCTATGTCATTTTTCTTACTTAACTTCAAATCACTTGCCCCTCACCGCTGTGGGTTCGAATCCCGACAGGAACTTTGGATTCTTTCATGTGAGGAAGCTATCCAGGTAGCTTACGGAACGTCGGTGGTTCTACTCAGGTGCCCGTTCGTGCCTGAAATAATGCACGGACGGGCACCTGAGGTCTTCCTCCACCAGTAAAGCTGGAACGTCGCGATATGACCTATACTGCGTCGATGTGACGTAAAACTCGAAGCAAACAAATAAACAAACAAACAAAACTAAGTCTAAATGGCTTCAATGACTTAAATACTATCATATTTTACTACCGTCACAACTAATAAATTCTTCATTGAAGCATATAGAATCTAGGTATACTAGTTTCTGAAGCAGTATGTATATATCAAACGATTTAAAATTTATGTCAAAATTGTTCACATTTTTTATTTTTATATATCAGCTCCATAGCAACATTCAATATACGCTAATTATTGCTTAAGTTTCAAACTGAATATTGGACTCTTTGATCTTTATATTTGTACATGTACCTATAGAAAATCACGGTCTGTTTCAGTTGATTTATTATCCAAAATATACTATAAAACTAAAGTTGTATCATATTGTGCCTTGTTATATTTTTCCACAAGGGACACAAATAGATAAAGCAATATATTATCCCTGAAAGAACTTAATTTAGCAAGGATCATAGTATAATTATATGCAGATCTAACATTAATGTCGTCGGTGACAGTATAAATAAAGCAGCTTGTCTAAATAAGTAAATATAGGTTGGTAGTTTCCCTGGCCGCTTTGATGATGTGCAAAATGTTTCACTGAGCCACCGACCATACCGAACGGTACTATCCGATGTAATCCGAAAGGCATGTCATATCCAGTGTGGTTCTCTATCAGAATTCCTATAAAAATCGGAATGAATATCATCCGCGTGAATGGGTGGCTGTTAAAAACTTTCAGTGCAAAATTGGCAGATAATATCAAAGTTATTCTTTCAACAATCGTTAATTTATTTGTAACGTGATTATGAAGCACGCCATGCTCGTGGTGCTGTCTGTGGACGTTCTTGTACAAGAAGAAGTTCTTGTGGAGTGCGTAATGAATGATAAAAAACAATGCGTCGTATAAAATAAGGCTTGCAACAAGCTGGACGGCTATTGCCACGACTGACGGGGGTGCACTTGGTAATGCCCGTGTTGACTGTATGAACATTTTTTTCTTTTCAGTCCAGACGGACGGATCTACTCCGTGGTACTTTTTGACCGTTATTGTGTCCAACATCATCAATGGAGTATTATAGACGATCAGCATCTTAAATATCTCTACAAAAGTAACATGCTCATATTGCACGTGCGGATCGATTTTATAAATATCCAACTTTCTAATTTTGCTAATGAACCATGGGTAAACAGTGATTACCGCATAACAAAATGTAGCAAAAAATGTCTCAAAGTAAACTGAATTAAAGAGATAGGTTGAAAGTAAGTATGTATAACTGGAGTTGATGCAAGTCTGGATATGATCATAATACATTATAGCTGATACAGTAACGAAGACGAGAGAACACCGCGCAGCGACGACATACTGTTGTCCATGGTGGTAATTAGGAGGTTGTTTATCATTGCCTGAAATAAAGAAGATAATTATCAGTTACAGTACTAATATTTGAAATGTGATGCCTGAAGATGAGACTGTCATTATTTTAAGCCTTAATTTTATAGAGTTAAATAATCATACACATACATAAATGTACGCGGGTTTCCCCCCCCCCCCACAAAAACGCGGTATTATTCATGCCGGAAGTAAAGACATGTCTTTATTTTTTTTTACCACAAGTGAAGTTCAACTCGCATTACACCGTATTATTTGTACGTTTTTTCCTTATCTAATTGAAATGATCTGCTGTTATAGTAAATTCACCACTTCCTCGTTGATACAATGGGCTATAACAATCGTTTATACCTATTAGTATATCAATTTACAGATACAATGATCATTCATGATTGAACCAAAATAAATCCCTGAATAAATCGATACGATATCCCTAGCTTCCACATCCTAGACAATACAGAATACGTCAAGGTAAATCAATCAATACACTATCTGATGAAGGAAATAAAAGTTCCTTTTTAACTGCCATAAATTTATCAAAAGGTATCAACCATAAAAGTTGAACTATCTTTCGAGCCAGAAGGCCATTCATTCACTGAAAAAATAAAAAACAAAAACAACAAACATTTCTTACCTGAACTTTTAACAAATCTGTCCATGTTCCTCTTCCTTTTTTGTTTTATTTTCCGGTGTACTTGATAATTTAGATGACTGCTTCAAGGTTTTCAAATCCTTTAAAATAAATAAGAACGTTCAAAACGAATCATCTCCCAAACAATTGATCCCTCGTATATACATGTTTATTTATATACCTGTTTATGATTAGACTTATGTGGATACTAAATAAACTTATGCTAACCTTATGTTATACTATATATTTTAGCCTTAATGGCCGTAAGGTGAAATGATTTTCATCGCCAACAATCAGCTAAACAACAAAAAAATATTGTAATTTATTGAATTACCTTAAAACTTCAGGTCCATCTGCCTGCTCTGTAAACAAGTCATCGATTTAATGTATTTCAATATATCCGGTATAAAAATACTTTACGATCTTGTTAATCTTTACCAGACAGCGGTGAGTTCAATTGTCAGTACACATGTAATTTAACATTTCTTTATATACTAATTGAATTGCGTCAATTGTCAATTACGTAAGTTCTACTTTAAACTATCACAATGTAAAAACTTAATTAATCTCTTGCTCACAGCCGTATGGAATTTTGTTTCAGACATCAAGGAACACAAAAGAAATACTACATCTTGTTGTGAAATACCGATTTTTTTCACCCCCATCTTTTTCAATGAAGGAGTCATACATTTAGATTGGAACTATGAACTATTTTGGCATGTCCCAGCTTCATATGATACATCATTTTGGGTACGGAAATATGACCATGATCCATAAACAACATTAACCTATATGTCAAATCTCTATATTTTTTTACAGCGCGTTGTATTTTACTATCCAGTTTTTTTCCACCGAAACTGATACTTTTTTTTTTAAATTATATCTTGGTTTATGATTACAATTTATGATTTCTGAGTAGGCATAAACAAAATATGCATACAAAAAATGGTGATATGTTTTTTCCTGTGCACGATTGTACATGTATAATTTTACATGAACCAACAGTAAACGTACGACAATGCTATAATTTATTAAACTAGAGATTTATTACATTTAGAACTCAAATTAACAAATACCACAGACGCAATTCAAATTTCACAACTATTTTCATAGCAATAAAATTGCAGAATTTTTTTCAAACAAGATTATGAAGGCATTCTGACTAAACAAAATAACAAGAGCTGTCTGTAGGACAGCACGCTCGACTATTCTAAGTGCTTGATAGTAAAAGAGCCTTGATAATGTTAAATTTTTTAAGTTCACAAAAGGGCTAATTTTTTTTTTTATAAATTCATGTTATAGGCCTTAGAGAGAGTCTAATTATACAGTATTGGCTTGACTATTCGGAAGGTAATGTCACAAGGGTGTTTTATTGAGTATAATAATACTAATTACCTATGAATACATAAATTTGACAGAAAAGGTACAAAGGCTTTTTATTAAGATGTTTTATCAAGTAAATCACTGCTTTATTATTATTAATACATAAAATTGTCCCAAAAAAGGCACAAACCCTTCAGTAGTTATTGAGATAACAGCTTACAAGCAAAACTTTACCATAAATTTCTAAGTTGAAAAAGGGGAGAAAAATCAGCCTAAATGCAAGATAGAATTATGGATCTTTGTCAGTGACCTACAATTATGACCCTAAATGCATATGTGAAGTTTTAAATAAATTTCTTTAATAGTTATTGAGATATGTAAAACTTGCATGTAAACATTAACCAAGAGACTAAGTAGAAAAGGGGATATGAATCAGCCTCCAATTATGACCCTAAGTGCATGTGTAAAGTTTCAAGTAAATATCTTTGAAGACCTTTAACCAAAATTTCTAAGTTTCAAAGGGGCAAATAATTCTGCAAATATTGCAGGCAGAGTTATGCAATTTTGCAAACTGATGTACATTGTTACTATAAAAAAGTATTTTAAATTTCAATTGAATATCTCAAGCAATAATTCAGATATTTGACTTAACAAAAACACTTTAACCAAAATTTCTAAGTTCCAAAGGGGCATAATTCTGTCAATATTGTAGGCAGAGTTATCCAACTTGTCAATCTGATGAACCTTGTTACTATAAATAAGTATTGTAAGTTTCAATTGAATATCTCGAGCAATAATTGAGATATTTGAATTTACAAAAAACTTAAACCAAAATTTCTAAGTTAAAAAGGGGCATAATTCTGTCAATATTGTAGGCAGAGTTATCCAACTTGTCAATCTGATGTACCTTGTTACTATAAATAGGTATTGTAAGTTTCAATTGAATATATCAAGCAATAATTGAGATATTTGACTTTACAAAAAACTTTAACCAAAATTTCTAAGTTAAAAAGGGGCATAATTCTGTCAATATTGTAGGCAGAGTTATCCAACTTGTCAATCTGATGTACCTTGTTACTATAAATAAGTATTGTAAGTTTCAATTGAATATCTCAAGTAATAATTGAGATATTTGACTTTACAAAAAACTTTAACCAAAATTTCTAAGTTAAAAAGGGGCATAATTCTGTCAATATTTTAGGCAGAGTTATCCAACTTGTCAATCTGATGTACCTTGTTACTATAAATAAGTATTGTAAGTTTCAATTGAATATCTCAAGTAATAATTGAGATATTTGACTTTACAAAAAACTTTAACCAACGCAGACGCGGACGCCGGGGCGACTACAATAGCTCTCATATTCTTCGAATAGTCGAGCTAAAAAACGAGATCCTTCTTATATGAGGGATGGGAAGATTCTCACTTAATTCGAAGGTCTTGACCTTGGATAACGTCCTTACACAAAAGGTTTTTACCCTATGGCAGGATGTATCTTTTCAAGCTTGTCAATGCGAGTATGTTAAACAAATTAACATACGAGTGATTTATTCATATACTTGGTAACCATAACAATAAAGAAAATATCAGTGAAACACAAATATACATTCTTTCACTTGATATAAATGAATGAAGTCTGATATGAAGTTTCATGTTAGATCTGAAATTTGAAAGTCAAGAAAATGAGACACAACATTATGGGAGATAAATCATAACTGTAATGCTCAGACCATTATTTGATACTTTTGATGTTGATTTATCCCAAGACAACATCCTAACCAAACGAACTTTATAAATTGGTTCCAGCTAGAACGGCTGTTTATTCTTACTAGAATAAGTGAATTAACTCAGTTTTATTTCACATTTTGGAAGTACTTTATGTTATTAATTTGATCATACCTAGATAAATTTTAAGCGACAGGTATTTTTTTCAATTGAATACAACAAATTTCTCTCCATTTACAGTTGATGACATGAAAATATTACATGTAATAATTTTCATATTTATTGAAAAAGGCTATCAATTCATACAAATTAAAGGTATCCCCATAACAGTAAATAGTGACTGCAACAGTTTACCTTTTATCTTTCAATGGCCAATGTACATAAATTAAAATGCCACAGTGATTGCAAAACATTTATCTTTTTGTGTCTATTTGCTATTATATAACAAAAGCTTCAGGTTTCAATGATATATACATTATGATCAACATTTATAGCATTAAAATACATTAGGTAACTATGCTATGATAGAGAGTCTAGCAACCCGATATTGTAATGATGTATTTCCTCTAACTAGAACAACTGGTTCATTTTCTGATCCCTCACTGTTCCTAAGTAAAGTTATCAGTGCCAGAGTTGACACAAACCCTACCCCACCTCCATTCCCTGTTCCTAGAGAATAACCTCCAGAGTTCAGGTACCCTATTACATCTCTACAACCTGTCCTGACAGTCATCTCATCTTTCTCACTAGTCAGTTTCAATGTTCTGTCTACTTTCACTTTCTGTTTCAATCCTTTCTGTTTCAACTGTTTTTTCAAATCCTTTTTCTCCACAAGAACTGGATCTACATGTAGAGGCTCCATAGGTCCGCCATAGTTATTATTCTTATTAAGCAGTTCAATATCTTCTTTATTTGGAACACAAATGGTGGCAAACTGAACAGGAGACCCTTTCTGTATCATATCTAGTCTAACAGGAACTAAGGAATCTCCATGATCCTTCTCTAAAATATTCAACACTTCATTTTTCACATCAAGCTTCCCTTTCTGAGAAGATCTGTTTTTTGACACATGGCAAATATTTTGTAGCTTCCGGAGCAGTTTAACATTCCTTAAGACATAAAACTTTTCAATGTTCCTGCATTCTTTATCTGACTGCGAAGTTGTTTGGTCAAAGGCACCTTTCATATCAATCTTATTTACATCCTTGTTATTTACGTTCCCAGTATCATCATTTGTCTTTGAATGATCACTTCCTCCATTACCATCTTTTCCTTTCTTCCATTCTTTGACTAATAAATCCCAGGGACAGCTGAAAGGGGAAACAATTCCATACTTGGTGAAATTTGGTTTCTTTGATGCTGGAATTTTGTTGTATTTCTCAACTTTTTCCTTTTCAAGATCTTGCTGATACTGATCACCTGCCAAAGTATCAGGAAAATCATTTGGGAAATACAAGGACTTCTCCTCATAAGCATTACATTCCTGCTCCCTCAGCCCAGCACATCTTGTCCCTCTGAATACTAGAGCAATCCAAAATGCCATACCCCATCCCTTTGGCACAAGGAGATCAAAACCACTTCCTCTCCCTAGGTTAGGTGCGTGTCCTTTAGTGTTGGGAAGGGAAGTAACTCCTGGCCTCTGGATAACAATTACTGGAATCCTTGATTCTTCATCACCTAGTTCTAGAGGAAAACCTAGAATTTGATGGAAAGCAATATTTCTATGAATGAAAACATAACACTAGCAAAAAATTGTCAAACTCAATTCGCCATGACTTATTTTATTTTTCAGTTAGAGATTATTTTGGCTTATTTTTCAGGCAAGTTTACTTGCAAGATTATTTTCGAGTAATGGCTGTAATGAAGTCGCAAAGGTTTATTTTTAATGCATTTCATTGACATTGATAAAGGCTGTATTTGGGTAGCTGTTGTGATAGTATTCAAGGGTACAAAATAAATCTATAGATTTAACCAATCACAGAAATATGGTATATGTAGATGGTAAGTAGTTTTTTTAAAAATAAATATACATTCTCTTAGCACCCTTCAGAAAATCTTACAATGACCACAAGTTAACTTAATGAATCTGATATGTAATTCTGTTTGTACTATTATTTAACCTTTGCAATCAAACACATAGAATTTGCATGCTACAAACAGAAGTAAAATGGTCATTACTCACACTTTAATATCATGTTTTGGGTAAAATTATAGCTATAAACTTATTTTCAGTTAATTTAGACTGCTTATATTCACAACATGACTATTATTACGTTTTTAGGGTAAATACATAGATATTGAAAACTCATGGAAAGCATATATATGTTGATAAAACTTCAGATTTACTTGAATTATTTCATTTTATTTGTTTGTTTGATTGGGTTTTACGTTACACCGACACAGTATAGGTCATATGGCCACATTCCAGCTTTACTGGTAGAGAAAGACCTCAAGTGCCCTTCCTTGCATTATTTCAGGCACTAACGGGCACCTGAGTAGAACCACTGATGTTCTGTAAGCTAGCTGGATAGCTTCCTCACATGAAAGAATCCAAAGTCCCTGTCGGGATGGGAAACCACAGCGGTGAGGGCCAAGTGTTTTGAAGTCAACAACCTTAACCACTCGGCCACGGACGTCTCACTTACTGCAATCAAATATTTCAAAAGACCTTAATATAAAAGAATACCTGGAACAAGATTCTGTGATTTGAGTTCATGTATCCTGAAGTCAGGGAGTTTTGTGTTGGAGACCTCATTCCTGATATTCTCAATCCATAGTGGGGAGGTGGAGATATCTATAGTTAACTTTTCTTTGAATGAAGACAAGTCCTCACTTATCTCTGAAAAAGAAACAATAATCTATCTTACCTGTGTTTGGTATACACATAATAATAGTAAGCCCCTTTCCTGATTCTTGTCAGTAACCAATTTTGTAAAAAAGTTTTATGCATTCAGTCAATCATAAAAAGGACATTTTGTTAAACAAAAATTGAGAGTCATGCCATTTGAAAAAAAGCATTTTGTTCTTGTCAGAAAATGATGAAGTTAAAAAATAATCAAATTGCTAATACAATAAGTATTAATTAAATATACACAAATACAATATATTGACTTTGAACCCAGTGACCCCAAACTTAACACCACTAAAGGTATCTAAAATAAAACTGACGAACTAGAAATTGTTTAGATGCTTACTGTCTTCACTTGCCACCACTTTTGTTTTCTGTACAGGTCTGGTCAGTCGAGGATCCCTAGTTGTCATAGCAATAATACAATGGGGAGGTAACTCTGCTGGGGATTGACAAGCTTCCATACTTTCCATGAATTCTCGTTGGGTCACATGACCAATGGAATGTTTTGGGTTTCCATAGTAACTATTCCACCAAGATGGATTATCTTTTGCTGATACATTGACTGGTACTATATTTGCCTGTTGGAGGGTATCAACAAGAACAGCAGTTGATTGTGGACCAGTCAAACGAAACCTCAACAAAGATCCTGTTAAAGATTTCATTTTTACTTGGTTTTCTCCATCTTCTGCTAAAACATTTGATTTATACTTGTCACAAATGAAAGGCTCGTCTTTTTCTTCATTATCTTTTTTAGTGTCAGTGTTTAACTTTTCACTGTCTGACTTTTTGGAAAGTTTAGATTCCTTAAGGTTCAGACAACTTGATATTTCTTTCCATATCTGATCAAACATGCTCGGATGGCACCAAATCCAAAGTTGCCTTTGATTGGTTCCTTTGTCCTGACATTCATCACTGATTGGCTGACATGAGTTCCACATGAATGAGACTGGACCAATGGCTTGCCACGGATACTTGTCACATTGATACATGATTGTGTTTCCCTCTCTGGTACCAGCTAAACATGAAACAGCTGCAAATGTCTGACCTGAACCAGAACAAAAGATAACATTGTTCTACATGTACAAATAATTCATTTACATGACTTTGATCTTATGGTGTATTTAATAAAAGTCATCAACTGTTCCCTCTTGTAGATGAATCAACATAAGTATTTGATTCTTGTTTTCATATCCAATTCCAAAATGTATAAGAAATAATATGTGTTCGCTCTTTTTTTTTTTTTCATAATATGTTAATTATATAAGTATAACAAGCAAAATACAATTTGTAATGTACATGTACTACCATGTACTATTTTGTGAATAAAATATTGTTTAAACTAAATGTTCCCTCTCAGTCATGTGTTAAAATGCTTTCTATGAATATATGAGTTTCATTTAGATAAGATACAGACAAATGTGCATTTTTTCTTAAAACTATATATTACTTTTATTAAAGACACCACAAGACCAAAGTTGTCATTAGGACATGGCTGAAAGCCAAAATGACTGTCTCAAATACATTTTGAGCATCATAAAAACATAGAAAACACTTTTTTCTGTGATAAACCAAACATAATGCCTATAATTCAAAATGGATTTTCTCCGGAAAATTTTAATGACAATCAATGAAACCTCTTCTGTAGATGCTGTATTCGCATTACATTATGACAATGCTTTGCTGAGGACAATTAATTTGTGATTATGCAAGTAGCCAATACATTGATACAGTGATTCATTTAAATTACAGTTTTTTCAAAATAAGTGTGTAAAATGTTAAGTATAAGCATAATGTACCTATATCAGGAGTTGTTACATGTGTCAACCCCTGAATTATCTCATCTTGTGGTCCCTCTATTTCAATACAGCTCATGAATGACAGGTCCTGAAACAACATATGTGATATAGCGTTTGTATATGATAAAGTCATACAGACCAAAAATACAATTCAATAATAGATCACATTACATCTTACCTACAACTATCACTGAAGGTGATAAATCACCAATTCCATCCTCAAAACAAAAGCCATCACAAACCGGGGCCACATTTTACTTTTTCTTTATAACATTTTTTCTCCTTATGTCTTTCAAAGGTCAAGATTATATTTGAATTACCCAATATGAAAGTTTGATCTTGAATACTGTTTTGTCCAAGTACAAATCAAATTCATTATTAACTAAAACAAAGTTATCAGAAAACTCTTTAAAGGGCAAGGCCACATATGAATTATTTTACATGATTGTTTGAAGTTCTAAATTTTGTTATTGTTCAAGTATGAATCAATGAGCATAAAAATAACTGACATCATGTTAAAGGTTCATGAACATGATGATGTCCAAAATCCAACCTTAAAATAAATCTTAAAATATGCCGTAAATTTTTTTAAAAATATTGTCTATGAAAAGAATGAATTCACTCAAGATTAACTCGAGATTTTGAAATTGATTTTTTTTCTTGTGACTAGTGTATTACCTGAAGTAAACAATGTTTACTGGTTGCCCTGTAGCAAGCTCTCTCACTTTTCATTGTAGGTTTCCATGGCAACCTATATCCCCATTTATCAACCATATGGAACCTTTTGGCATGCCAGATATGGGTTTCAAGCCAGATATGTTTTCTTTGTCGTCTTGTATATTCAGCTAGTAAATTCTTTGGTCTCCTACGATGATATCTGCTAGGTTTCTTCACTTTTGTACCAGTCTAAATTTTATAACAAAGAACTATTTGAGCTGCGTCGCAATAAAACCAACATAATGGGTTTGCGACCAGCATGAATCCAGACCAGCCTCGCCACAGCACAGTCTGATCAGGATCCATGCTGTTCGTTATTAGTTTCTATACTTGTTATAGGGTTTGTAAGCGAACAGCATGGATCCTGATCTGGATCCATGCTGGTCGCAAACCCATTATGTTGGTTTTGTCATGGCGTGGCTCAAATTTTTGTACATATTGTTATTTAGAATAAACCTAACAAACATATACAATAGAAAATTTAAGAATGTGAAATCCAAGCACTCTTAAACCACACAGCTAAGACAAAAACTAGGAAAACAGTTGAAAATCATTTCAAGTGAAAATAAACTTGAAAAAAGAAGCATTATTTTTTTAATTATCACTAATTTCTATCATGACACTCACAGGTACACAGCTTCACTTAACAACTGAGTTTCTTATAAAATTATAAAATATTTTACTATCTGATAATAGTACTTTCTAATAGACTCACCAAATGGGCTGCCTGTGCTCTGATACTTTTAGGCAATCTTTTTACATTATGACTCATGGCACGTCTTCTCATGTGAGGAGGAATTTTCTGGGCGATGTTTTTACCTCCACCGACAATATCCACCTTACTACTGAGCACCTGTATCTCTTTCGCATGACTTTCAGCATAGCGTACAATATCTACCTCTGATAAATACAATTACTTGTAAGTCTCTAACATAAACAAAATACCACAAAATGATTTATGCTATAAATACATGTTTTGAATATTGTGTACAATTACACTGTTTAGAGAATTAAATCTTAAGGCATCTTGATCCACCAGCTTAGGCAAAAATAATTTTCATATCCACCAACCCAACCCATGAAAGTATGGGTCTGAAGAGACAAACAAATAGGGTGGCGTGAGAAATCATAATAACTGCATGCTAGGTTTACAATGTACAGCCTCATGGGTAAAAGATAAAAGCCTAAAAAGTAATGCTGATAGAATAATATACATGTACATGAACAATATACTCTAAGAGTATTACATACGCATGCTGATTTTGTGACTCTGCATAAACAGTATTGCACGGCTGTGCATATATTTTGACATGACGTCATTTGTGTTGTACAAACATAGTGTAAAGATGCACTTAATGTTAGTGTTACACTATAGGTGTATCAATAACAAAGTCATCGAAATTTAGCACTGGCCCAGTGGCCAGTGAAAATTAGTTTGGGCCAATGGAAATTTTAAGAAAATTTAGTTAAATATATAGTAGAATATATTCAATATCTATAATTCATTGACTGATAACAAAAGAGGATTATTTTCACTGAAAACAGTTCTTATGTTGGTTGTCTGATAAAAAAAGATTATATTAGTGTAGATTCATAACTTAATTTATTAAGCTTGTTGAATAAAATAGCATTATGCAATATAATTTTATACAAATCCTTAAGCATTCAATAAATTCAGTATTGAATCTACACTCATTTAATATCCTCTATTTATCATTTTCTATATCAATTTGATAATCTGCAAAAAAAAATTAAAAAGAAATAAGTTTCAAGGAAAAAAATATATATGTAAGGCCTAAAAAAAAAAAATGTTTTGTTAGGGTAACATGCTCTCAAGGAATAGGTAGGGTAGGTCGGATTTTTTTTTTTTTTTTTTTCACCAGTATATTGAAATTTAGATATGGAAATTTCTGACATCCCTCCCGGGTGGCACAAATACATCCCTTCTATGTTTTCAAAAGACATTTCAGGTGTAACAATCTTAAACTCTCAGCGTTCTTCTGGTGAAGATCACACGCCGTTTTACAAATATTGACGATGTGATCCACCATTTTGTAACTAAGAGCGGTGATAAAACCTGTACCGTACCCAGGGCTCATCCTGGGGGGAAATTTTAGGGAGAAGTGACTTCCTGGTGAAAAATCGGCAGAAGGGAAACATCCCAATGTTTATGCATTAACATGCATGGCTATACATCCTTTAACTAGAATAGAAACACAATCTATTTATCAGCTATTTATAAGCTTTCTCATATATTTTTGATAATCATGTGTAAGAAAACTATGATGAATAAATTAACTTTATATTTTTACTTTCCAGATAAAGTTACATTGGATAATGATTAATAAAATCTGTCTATCCTGTTCTGTTTACAGAAATTTCTTTTATGATCCTCTATGTTGTATTGTCATATTTATGTGCATATAATTATGCTTATAAAACAATTTTCAAATATCGAAGAATATGTAAAATATGTACTGCAAACATTTGTGCACATTATATTTGATCACTAAAATTATATACATTCATTTCTTATTGAAAAATTCGACTGAGAAATTATAGAAAATAAATTTCTAATTACCTCCCTTTATTTTCATGAAATGTTAAACTCGGTAATATCTTTATAAATAATGCTTTTTGAAATTTACAATATTAATAAATCTTAATCTGAGCGTCATATTTATGACATTAAAACAAATATGTATATATTGAAACAATAAGAACACTTCTTTCCTGACAAATTTTGTTGTTATATACATGAGCACATGATATAGGACGGATATGTCGCATGCCGATCATGATTCGTAGTTTTAGGATGTCGTGCCCACGTGCGTACAAGCTGTGTCAAATTTGGCATTTGTACAAAGATAACAATGCAAAACACTCTCACTGTCTACAACATACCAATCATAAGATTTTTGCGAATTGACTCAAAACAGTTTTGTGATAGCCGTGAAAAACCCATTGCACATCGCCTTTACTTCGGTTAAACACCGCGTGTATATCAATTAGGGAAGATTTGCACGTGTTTAGATGATCGGAAAAAATTGAATCTATAATTATCGCCAAATCCAGTATTAAACTCGCAAAATATACCTGTTTCGGGCCGATGCTCTCATTATTTACTGTTTAGAGTAGGCGGTCTATCGCTTTGCATACAGGTAGAGGGGTAGTATATAGCGATGCTCTGATTGGATAATGATAATTAGCAGTCGTCATATGGGCGGATACAATCACTGCTCTTTACATCGGCAAGTAATTACTCTTTGAGAATTAAGATTTTATCGGCGATGTTGACTTCTCTTTGATCAATTGGGAGAGCGAAATGGAAATATACTCAGCGAAATTTTCGCCTGAATTGCCCTTCACACTGCTCAGTGAGTACCTCAATAATACGGTATTTTCATGGATTTTTTTTTTTTTTTTTTGGACACGAAAAAAACGGTAGGGTCGGCGCATATTATTAGGTAGGGTCGGGTGACCCGAACAGAACAATTTTTTTTTTAGGCCTAAAAGAAAAAGAGATATTTATACCTCTTGGAGCAGCTGACAAAACATCTTCTACTTTACTCTTCTTATAAGGTCTCTGATAATCAGGACCTGTCTTTCTCTTACCACCAAATTGAGGAGGATTCATTTTAATTGGCCACACACTAAAATAAAAGAGTGCAAAAATGTAAAGAAAACTAAACAAACAATACAGTTATCTTTTATTTTATCTGGTTTTTGTTTCAAGTTGTACTTGTATTTATTAATGTCTATGATATAAATTTTATCTAATCATTCTTAAATTACAAAATGGATACATTTATTAAAGATTTATTTTCCAATTGAAATATGTTTCTGTACATGATTTGTAACTGTTTTCAAAATTTGAAATTATTATAATTCCATGACATTCAATGACCTTTAACTTTAATACTTGCATATTAGCTGTTTATGTCCATTTTATATACAAAACAAGAACATGTTTGTTAAACATAAATGCCCCCGGCTCAGATTCTTGTCAGTAACAATATTTCAAAAAATGTTTACCCATTCACTCAGCATTGCCAAAAAATTGTAAACACAAGTTATATAGCTTGACAGAGTCATGGCATTTTGTAATTGTGAAATATATAAGTTGCCAAGTCATTGCTATGACTTGTGAAGTGCTAAATATTCAACTTTATCAAATATATATATATATGTAAGAAATCTATACTTGACACCCCTGACCTTAACCCACTGACACCTATAGAATATCATGCAAGTTATCTTCCTACTAAATATGAAATACACCTGTCAATAAATAAAGTCTGTATGGGCAAACATGTTAAAATCTATTTTGAGCATTGATGACCTTGACCAAACTGACCCCTAACTCCATCCAAAGGAAGAATACCATGCAAGTTATCTTCCAACCAAATATGAAATAAATCTGTCAATAAATAAAGGCTGTATGGGCAAAAGTGTAAAAAAAACTATTTTTAGCACTGTTGACCTTGACCCAACTGACCCCTAACTCCATCCAAAGTAAGAATACCATGCAAGTTATCTTCCTACCAAATATGAAATATATCTGTCAATAAATAAAGGCTGTATGGGCAAAAGTGTAAAAATCTATTTTTAGCACTAGTGACCTTGACACACTGATCCCTAACTCAATCAAAAGGAAGAATACCATGAAGTTATCTTCCTATCAAATATGAAATGCACCTGTCAATAAATAAAGCCTGTATGGGCCAAAGTGTAAAAATCTATTTTATGCACAAGTGACCTTGACCCACTGATCCCTAGCCCAATCAAAAGGATGAATACCATGCAAGTTATCTTCCTACCAAATATGAAATATATCTATCAATAAATAAAGGCTGTATGAGCAAAAGTGTAAGAATCTATTTTTAGCACTGGTGACCTTGACCCAACTGACCACTAACTCCATCAAATTTTATGTTCCTATCAATTAAAAATGACATCTGTCTATAGAATATGGTTAATACACCTGTAACAAGAGCCACCGCCGGACGGGGGCAACGCTCGACTTTTTACTTTTTCTAAACGCAAACATAGAAAGGTTTGAACATATATTGATGTTTCCTTTTTATAAATTTAGTTGGTCTGTCTTGTCACATTAGTTTTGTTTATATATTTTGTATATATATGAATAGAAACATTAAGCATATTTCTAAAAATAGCAACAGTACGCAATTTCTAAAAATAGCAACAATGACGCAATTTCTAAAAATAGCAACAATGACGCAATTTCTAAAAATAGAAAAAATGACGCAATTTCTAAAAATAGAAAAAAATGACGCAATTTCTAAAAATAGAAACAATGACGCAATTTCTAAAAATAGAAAAAAAAATGACGCAATTTCTAAAAATAGAAACAATGACGCAATTTCTAAAAATAGAAAAAAATGACGCAATTACTAAAAATAGCAACAATGACGCAATTTCTAAAAATAGAAAAAAAATGACGCAATTTCTAAAAATAGAAAAAAATGACGCAATTACTAAAAATAGCAACAATGACGCAATTTCTAAAAATAGAAAAAATGACGCAATTTCTAAAAATATAACAAAAATGACGCAAATTCTAAAAATAGCAACAATGACGCAATTTCTAAAAATAGAAAAAACATGACGCAATTTCTAAAAATAGAAAAAATGACGCAATTTCTAAAAATAGAAAAACATGACGCAATTTCTAAAAATAGAAAAAAATGAAGCAATTTCTAAAAATAGAAAAAAATGACGCAATTTCTAAAAATAGAAAAACATGACGCAATTTCTGAAAATAGAAAAAAATGACGCAATTTCTAAAAATAGAAAAACATGACGCAATTTCTGAAAATAGAAAAAAATGACGCAATTTCTAAAAATAGAAAAACATGACGCAATTTCTAAAAATAGAAACAATGACGCAATTTCTAAAAATAGAAACAATGACGCAATTTCTAAAATAGAACAAAAATGACGAAATTTCTAAAAATAGAAAAAAATGACGCAATTTCTAAAAATAGAAAAACATGACGCAATTTCTGAAAATAGAAAAAAATGACGCAATTTCTAAAAAAAGAAAAACATGACGCAATTTCTAAAAATAGAAACAATGACGCAATTTCTAAAAATAGAAATAATGACACAATTTCTAAAAATAGAACAAAAATGACGCAATTTCTAAAAATAGCAACAATGACGCAATTTCTAAAAATAGAAAAAAAAAATGACGCAAATTCTAAAAATAGTAACAATGACGCAATTTCTAAAAATAGAAAAAATGACTGAATTTCTAAAAATAGAAAAACATGACGCAATTATATATACATGTATATATATATGTATATTTATATATATATATATATATATATATATATATATATATATATATATATATATTTATATATATATATATACCTGCATATATGTATATATATACACACACACATTTATATATATATTTATATATAATACATATACTATACATACACACACACCGATAAATGCACAATCTGAGAAAATTCAGTAATATAACCTTCAAGGTCAAGGTCATTAAAGAGCCCAAGCAAATTTGGGTTTGATAAACAACAAGGTCTGGTCCTTAAGAATGTTCTGTTATAATATGAAGTTTATCCCTTCAAAAATAGCAAAGTTACAGTCAGTTACTGCCAAAACAATGAAAATTTCAATAATTTGACCTTCAAAGGCAATGTCATTAATGAGTGAAGGTCAAGGTCTTTCGGTATATTTTTAACAGTTATCTTTGAAGATTATTATGTTCAAGTTTGAAGACAATCCATTCAAAAATAACAAAGTTACAGCCAATAATAGCCAAAAAAATGAAAATTTCAATAATTTGACCTTCAAAGTCAAGGTCATTGATGAGTGAATGTCAAGGTCTGACTGGTTATTTTTAAGGGATATCCTTGAAGATTATTATGTTCAAGTTTGAAGACAATCCATTCAAAAATAACAAAGTTTCAAACAGTGAAATTACCAGTTTTATATCACTGATATATTTCTATAAACCACCGAAAAGCATGTAATAAATTTATTTATCAACCACTGAATGACTGTAGTGTTTCAAATTTGATGTGTTTAACATGTTGACCTCAAGTTTTTGTTTACAAAATCTGCCTCGAAAGGTTGTTCCTTTTACCAGATTACAGGAAGGTACTTAAAATTGTCATGTACACAGGCCATTGACTTGGTAAAGTTCTATAAAAAATGTTTAAATTATCAACATTAAATAGATAAAAATGTAAACTGTAAAATGTAAAAATAAAGGTATGGGGCTGATTTTTCAGCTATTTTTGAAGTATTCACTTTACTGTTAGTATTTACTGATGTAGTGTTCAAACACAATGTTTTGAATACCTCACTTAGGACCTTGAAAACTTACTGGTACTGGTAGAATTTTTTTTTTAATCAAAGTTTGTTTAGGTGGATCAAAATTGAAAATGTACACAAAAATAAACAAGATATTGCAAAAAACACCCTGATTTAGTGTTAAGGTTATCTCTCAAGTTTTATATTGGTTATTTGTTAAGTTTTATTGGTTAAATCTGTACATGTACTTATGTTACCTTTTTATGGCAATCTTCTTCTAAACTAATACAGGTATTAAGCTATATCATTTTGTGAACAATTATTTACACCACAACAATATATTATGGTCTATGTTATGCTGATGTAAACACTGGTAAGTTGCACTTTTTTGAAAATCTGCATAATACAATAATTGGTGCATCACAACACTGGAAGTGGTTATTATTTTACTGATCAGAATTATAACTAGATATGAAATATGGAAATGAATTTATGTCTGAAAGTTACACTTTTTCAGTGGATAAAAACAAAAAAGTTCATTTAGAACAGAAGTTGTGTTTATTCTTTGTCGATAAAAACAGACTATTACCAGTGCTATAATGCAGGTTCCAAAACATGATCATTTTTTTACAACAAACAATTTACAGATAAAAAAATCAAAATATTTAAACAAAGACTGGTGTGTGATTTAATAAACCAATTTGTGTATCATATTCTAATTTGTGCATCATGCACTAATCTGGCGATATACTAGACTGGTTTAAACTGTTAAAAAGGTAGTCCTATATATATATGACTTTGCTTTGAAATATTTTTACTTCTTGATGGGCTTGACTATCATAAAATACAACTAGCCCCTAACGTCTAATATATTGGACTATTAACAAGAGGGCCATGAAGGCCCTGAGGTCGCTCACCTGTATATAGGCCCCCCAACCCCCACCCCCCCTCCAACGTTGCAGGGCCAATTTAACCCAAGGGCTTTTATTTGCACAAACTCGGTAGACACCCATAAGAAGATGTTTCATGCTAAACATCTAAGCTCTAGCTCATTGGGCTTTATTGAAAGAAGATTTTTTTAAAGTTTTTACTATACACATATAGTTAAAAACAATGACACCCCTGGGGCCGGGCCAGTTTTGACCCCAGGGCTTTTATTTGAACAAACTTTGTAGACACTTACTAAAAGATGTTTCATGCTTAATATCTAAACTCTAGCTATTTGGGTTTTTTCAAAGAAGATTTTTAAGTTTTTGCTATACACATAAAAAAAAAAATCAATGACCCCCGGGGCGGGGCCAATTTTGACCCCAGGTCTTTTATTTGATCAAACTTTGTA